TTAAATTCTTGAAACATCAATATTTACAGAGTTATTAAATTTTCCAAAACAAAGAATATTAGAACACCCTTACCTATAAAAGCGTAACGTAAAGTTTATTTGTAAAGGTCACAAAGTATATGAATGGGTTGAATGAATTTAAAAGAGACAAAACATACTGTTAGAAGGAGAGGCTTGTAATACGACGCTGTGGCGCGAGTTGTAAAGGATGTTACAAATTTTGTTTCTTCTTTACTTAATTAGTTTGTTTGAAAAATATTTTTTTTAATTATGGATTTTGTTTAACGTTAATATTTTTTTATGATTATTGGCAAGTAGCGTTAGACGTGTGTTCATTTATTGTCGCGATGGTAACGACACGCTGTATAAAATTCTCGTGTCTCAGTTTTCGTTGCCATACTCCTCCGAAACGGCTTGACCGATTTTGATGAAATTTTTTGTGCTTATCCGGTATCTATGAGAATCGGCCAACATCTATTTTTCATCCCCCTAAATGTTAGGGGTAGTCCACCCCTAAATTTATTTTTATTTTTTAGACAAAATTTTTAATTTCTATTTTTTTATGATACAACATACAAAAAACATACAAACCTAAATTTTCACCCGTCTACGCAGACGTAGTCGCGGGCAGCAGCTAGTTTCCTATAATATGACATTTATAATAGACAATGCTCTTTCAATACAATTTTTTAAGTTCATAATTTCCTACTGCTAGGCAAAGGCCCTGTTCCAATTCTACATACGTTCCAAACTAGCTGCCTAGTAGTGCCGAAAACGGCATGAGATTTTGTTTGCATCGAAATTTCGTATTCGTTTACAGTATCAATTTCAATTACATTCCCAGCTTAATTAAGCGATAAAGAATCGCAGTTAATATATTTTTCGTTGCAATTAAACAGCCATTTTATTGTAGGCATTAAACGCCTCTCATCTATCGTCTACGACGACGATATGCTATTTCGGGCCGACGTCGAAAAAAAAATAAGTCACAGATAAATAAAGCGAGTCGTGTTCATTTTTACGCGAGGCAAAAGCTATTTTCGTGGAAGCGTAAACAAGTTACGATACAGTTTCAGTCGGTTAAAACTCCGTCGAGTCTCCGTTACCATTGTCACCCGTGCTGTGGGAAATCGAAAATTTGATTTTAAAATTTATTAAAGCGTTTGTTTAATAAAACAGTTAGTGTTAACCGTTACAGCTTTTGAGCGCCGGCTGCGAAAGTGATTTAAAAAAATAAATAAACAATTGAATTTCGAACGCGAGCGGCATTTTTTTCATTCGCAAGGTCCGTCGACGCGCTGGACACGTATTTAAAGTTCCGTTAAAGGGTTTTTCGGTAGGGATATTGTTGAAAAAATTTTCTACTGTAATAATATTATGTCGGTGCATACAATACCCTTGATAACGCCTTTCATTCGTGGCACGAGGTTTCCTTGCAGAAAGAGTGAGTATAACAAAATTTTAATATCATATTTGATTAATTGCTTGCATTGTTTATGCGGAACATTAAAATCCTTAGATATTCAGTGTTTCCACGAAACAAAAATATCTGAGCCTGTTATAAAAACATTCAGTTTAATTTTCAAAAGAAAAGAAAAAGAAAATGGACTATGTGAAATTTCAGAAAAATATTCGCCGAATTAACATGTTGAATAGACTCAGTAAATATTTTTTCACTGACATTTTAAATGGATTTCAGTAAAAAAATCATAGTACGATTTACGTCGCATAGCCTGGCTCCGTATATGCACCAGGTCGGATTCGAACACAAGACTTGTGTCGTCAATCATGGTGTAGTTCTCTTAGTTGTCGAGTTTGAGGCATCTTTTAATGCTGTGGGGTCATTGACCCATCATTGAAGATTGGAAGTTTATTGATGTAGTGTAGAATGCGCGTGTATTTGTGTATTTGCGATAGCTGATAGGCAAAAAACATAGTTGATATAGGCACAGAATTTAAATATTAATTGAAGCACCGTTTTTATTATTTTGAACCGAATTCAAAAAGGTTGTTTTTTTGTTTCACCTCAGAATTCCGTCATTTAGGAATCTATTTTAAAAATTAGTTTTGTATTGGGTTCTTCGGCTTAGCATTCATTTTTACCTCATAATTAAAACGAAATGTTACCGAACATTAATTGTGAGATATTTAGTCTGCAGTTTTTAATCGGTTTTTAATTGACTTTAACTAGCGGAACTGTCACTAACCTAAATGCATTGGTTTGTTTGAATTTAAGCTGTTCTGTTTTATACCACCTCGATGGTGGGACGGGACAGTAGATTAGAACAAATACGTGGATCGAAATCCAACTGCTAATAACGCGTTTCTCTCGTCTGTGTATTTGTTGCCATAGCAACCATGATAGACTTGAAACGATGCGTGGTTGCAACTGTTTTGTGCACGCTCACCACCTTTGTCGTAGCATTTGAGTGAAGCGACACGCTGCTAACTCACTTTCCGGAGGTAATGCAACGGCTCGTAAGGGAAACGCCTCGTTTTGTTAGTATAGGAACCGGGCGTACACTCCTTTTATCTACAAGTCGTTATGAAAGTTACGGAGCTATGTAACTAACGGCTAAAATTGAATATAGGTAAAAGTAAGTAAAGTTTACCAGCCTATACATGTCCCACTGCTGGACAGAGGCCTCCTACGTACAGACGGTTTTGGCCGACTTCACATATATTCGAAATGTAATTTTTTTGTTATTATTTCGTATTAGTGCAGGTTTGCACCGCCGGGCCGTGATGGCTCAGTGTCCGGGCGCTTTTAATTGAATATACTCGAGGAGCCACTCAAGTTCATATCCCGGTGTCGGCAGCGATGAGCTAGTGCCAATGCTATATCTAGTTGTACTGTCTCCGTGACAACCCAAATGTCTGCACACGTCGATGAAATGCCTATTTAGTAAAAGACAAGCATATGTCTGCTGTATATGATAGCTCAGTGTCCGGGTTGCTCGCCTTTAATTCAATATACTCAAGCAACCTGAGTTCGATCCCCGGTGCCGGCACCAATGAAGTTTTTAACTTTAAGTGCTGACAGCACGTGCTCCGCGGTGAAGGAAAATATCGTGAGGAAACCTGCATATTTTCGAAATAATAACAAAAAAGAAATATATATTTCGAAGATATGTGAAGTGCGCCAATCCGCAGTGGTGGACTTTTCCCTGATACCCTGTGTACAGAGGCCTTTACCCAGCAGTGGGACATGTATAGGCTGTTACTTTACTTTACTTTACTATATGTCTGCTCCTCGGCTCGGATGTTCGCGTGGTGAAGACCACACCACGACACCAATATTAGGACCATTGTGTCGGGCTCTGACCTTGCAGTGGCTGCCTATATCTCGATGCTTCTAGAAGGTTCGACCTCGCGACCGTTCGCATAATCGTGGAGGATTAAGCATGGCCTACCCGTTCAGACAAGTTGAATGACCTCGCTAGTTTTTTTATGGCCCGCGCGAAGCTCTGGTTCGGTTTCGGCGACTGGTATGCTCAAGCCGTTCTGTGGTGGTGTGGGTTTGAGTAGGTTATAAATAAAAATAATAGAGCCATTTGATTCGGACAATAGATACATTTGTTACTTAAACTACTGCACAATAACATATTTTTTACCTAATTAAATATTTTTTATTCCTTTTTGCGAAAAGTAGCCAAGCGAGCTGGCGGTTCACCTGATGTTAAGTGAATACTACAACCCACGGACATCTACTAAACCCGAGGGTGGCAGATGCGTTGACAACCTATTGAAAATTGGGCACCGGCCACCTCACTCAACAGACGAAACGCGAAAGTATTATACTTTCACTTCACGCCGGTCTTCTGTGAAATCGTGGTACTTAACCGGACGAACGTGATTATTTATGAATTAAAATTCATGTATTTGGTGCTTCTTCGCAGAGTGCGTTTACCAGTTGGCAAAGCCCTCCAACCTACTCCGTTCTGATTTTACTGTGGCTACTCTACTACTCCATATTATCCCTGCAACCCGCCTGATATCGTCGCCCCATTTTTGTGCAATTGGTTCAATAGGTTACGCAGTAGCAAATTGTTGAATAACACAAGTAGTATGTTTACCACTAAGTTGCAAAAACTTACTAATTGTGTTTTGCGTGGACGGTGTTGGGTAGTAAGTCCCAACTACCACTGTGGGACCTAGAAAGATCCACTCTAGTCTTCCTTCGAAGACATTGCCACCTTACTGTAGGATAGCGTTATCCTGTTTTGGTAAGGACGTTTTACATAGATAAATTTCACATGGAAAAACACCGAGATACGAAACAATTATACGCGGGTCACACAAACAGTTGTCTCGTGTGGGAATCGAAGCCACGACGCCGAAGACACCTTAGCAACTGCGCCACTTAATCGAGTGCATAATATTTATCCCGCAGATTATCGTACAGCCGCTTGCCTGAGATGTCCATACTAGTTATATAGATGTGTTAGTACATATGTCCGTTTGTCTCTATACAATTGCGTCCCAACGTACTGTTTTGTCAAAACTTCGACTGGAATAATGATACTGGCACTGAAATTGAGGCGCTCAAATTACACCAATTGGTTTAATTAGATTGCAATTCTATGGACTGCTACCTCTTTCCATATCATACGTTCTATATCACCTGTCACATTCATTTATATATGTCACATAATGTAAAGCGGAACAATTTTTAAACGCCACGCAGTATGGGCCTGCGTCATTTATATAATTAAACATCATTGGGCATAAGCTTTTTTATTAAATGGAGGAATAAAATGACCAAGTGGTTACATAAACATGTGCGCTTGTCCGTCTGAAAACGTTATTGCGACGCCGAAACGGCTCTCAGCAGCCGTAAAAGTGTAGACGCCTTTATTTGGGGTGCTTGTCGGGGGGGTGGGTCGTGCGGGGTCGGGGGGTGAGGGTCTGAGGTCAACGGGAGGTCAATGAGGTCGCAGTGTGGCGATTGAGATTGGAGCGCCAAAGTTGGCGAGTAGCGGGACGGTGCACGTTGGCGAATGCGGCGGGATGAGCGCTCGGCGTGGGCGAATTGGGAACGAATACGCGATAGACCATATGCATTAGATACAGTCGGAGTGAGACAGGCGTATGTAAGAGTTCAAACGTTATTACCTTGATTCTAATATTTTAACTATTACTTAACTTGAATATTAACAACTATTACTTAACTTGAATATTAACAACTATTACAACGACAAGCAACACTAGTGGTTATATCACCGTCCGGAAACGCAGCCGAAATGCAAGTCCCCGCTGCTGCAAGCAACCATATGTCCCTTCGCTCGAGTAGATAACCATATCCGGTATACAGTGTTGCCAGCGAAAACACGTATGTTTGTTTTATGCGAGAGGGTGGCAAGCGAGCTGGCGGATCACCTGATGTCAAGTGTTATCCGCCGCCCGTTGACGTTTGCAACACCCGCAGCGTTGCAGATGCGTTGCCACCTTTCAATATAGTGGGAACCGGCTACCTCACTCACCAAACGAAACGCAGGAGTATGTAAGACAAAACACTCCACTACACGCCAGTCTTCTATGCGGTCGTGTTACTTGCCCGGATGGACCTGCCCATTCGTGCAACAGCCTGACAGCAGGACACCTGCTACGCACGTAGACCCATCTGCAAGATGCGTTGCCCACCTTTTGTGCCCGGTTCCTGTATTCAACGAACGGCCGTTAGTTACATAGCTTCGTAACTTTCATAACGACTTGTAGATTAAAGGAACGCTAGTAACTCACTTTCCGTAGGTACCACGGGACAATGAGCTGTTAAAGTGGCCTCCGGGCTCCGGCCACCCCGGGTTGTAAAGCTTTCGTATTTGAACTTTGGTTGATCTAACGCTAAACGATTGTGGATAACAACTGAGCCACTGAACCGTTCACAGCCACGTCCACGTCCACTCGAGCGTGCCCAGATGGCGGTCAGCAGCGCCTTGACTCTATTTCCGTCAAGGTTTGGGGGGGAGGCATTTATTTACCTATTTGTTGTTGTTTACTCGTTTATCTATACGAGTTTTTTATTCCTTTTAACTGATGAAAACCCTTCAAGTGCGAGTCGGACTCGCGCACGAAACGTTATCTATAAAAGCTGCAAGAAAATCTCTATTGTTTGGGAGCCACAAATAATTCTGTTTTTTTAGTGTCTGTTATAGCGGCAACAGAAATACATAATCCGTGAAAATTTCAACTGTCTAACTATCACGGCTCATGAGATACAACCTGGTGACAGCGTTTGGGTCCGGAACCCTAAAAATCTCCTGCATTTACTAGTGTAGTAGGTGTAGAAGTAGAAATCCCTAGCCCACATTTCTAGGTTAAAACCCAGTTTGGGGTGCTTGTCTTTTTGTGTTTTCAACCGACCAAAACAGGAGTAGGTTCTCATGTATTTTTTTATGTTTGTTACGAGTACCTCAGAACTTTCGGCGAAGTGCACCAATTTTGACGATTCTTTTTTTTATTCGGAAGCTGGTGCTCACCATGTGGTCCCGTATTAAATTCATTGGTATTGGATCTTGGGCTCCGGAGACACTTGGGGGACTCCTGGAAATCAATTGTAAAATGTAGACGGAGCGAGATATTTGAAGTCGGTTTTCTTTTTTGTTTATAAATGGACTTGTTACTATGTCCGCTGTGGGAAATCCACTTTGAATGTGACCGACGCAGTTGTTTCTCGAAAGTTGTTGACATTCTGACGTCACTTGATAACAGCACGATAGGCCTTGTCTAATTAGGCTAGACTGTCTTGTGATTAAGCTGGCTATCTCTCGAATCGTGTCTGTATTATTAGTAAGATTATACACGGTTGTAGGAAGCCCGTGTCGACAGCGACGTTTGAGTTTACAACGGTAGTTTCTTCTCAAATCTGGATAAATTCATTGGAGACTTGTTTTTAGTGTTTAAAATAAATTAGCACCCTCGCTTGACCCCCTGCGATTGGAATTTAAAACTGATTCATAGTCAAAGCGAATTCAATACAGTAGGATTTGAAAATGCATGAAATAGCAATGACCTAATTTTCCTCTAAATTATCACCTGTGCCAATACGTTTGTGAAAAAGACATCAAATACAATTTATAATTATCTATCTATGTATAATACCTTTAAGCGAGCAATTCTTGTATCTATATTAAATTTGAATTTAGCTTGCTAATGGTGATAAATCGATCTTGCTAGGTTTCATTTTTAGAAAATTTTGTTTTATTCGTGTTAACAGCCAATGAAAAATATTATGAGAATACGAGTAGGTACTATAAGTTTGAGCCGTGATAGCTCAGTGTCCGGGCGCTCGCCTTTAATTCAATATATACTCGAGCAACCTGAGTTCGATCCCCGGTGCCGGCATCAATGAAGTTTTTAACTTAAGTGCTGATTTATCACGTGCTCCGCGGTGAAGGAAAACATCGTGAGGAAACCTGTATATTTTCGAAATAATAACAAAAAAAATATGTTTCGAAGATATGTGAAGTCTCCCAATCCGCAGTGGGGCCGCGTGTTGGACTATGCCCTGATACCCTCTGTATAGAAGAGGCCTTTGCCCAGCAGTGGGACATGTATAGGCTGTTACTTTACTTTTTTCTTTACTTACTATAAGTTTATAATAACTCGAGCGATAATCGGGCGTTTTCGAGAAGGCCTGTTCGAGACCAGTTTTTTTCCTTTAGTTTTTCCTCTTTTATTCAAGTTTCTTTCGTTGTACGAAAAAATTATAAATTTAAATTTTCATAAAAATTTCCTCCTAAATTTAGGAAGAAAATTCCTAAATTTGCATCCGTTTGTTCTATATTCATAAGTTTTCACAACCATTGATCGCGTCGCTCGTGACTCTCCAACTAGGCGACGAATTTAAACTGCGCAAGCGATGGAGCCACTATACTCCTTTTACTTGGTCGCTATCCTGGCACTGGCTAGTGTCAGACTACAGTCTCAGCTGAAGTAAGACAGTCTTGCCTCGCTCGGACAGTCAATGATGGTTTGGACTTCTATAACTCGATAAGCTTACGGTGCGTAGCATTGGAAGTCTCTAACTGGCCCTAAAGGCTGGGTGATGAATATCCCGTCAGTGGGGTGACCCCCCCCCCCCCCCCCCCCTCCTCTCGTCCACACCTGCTGCCCTCCCTGCTGCTGGCGGCCGAACGCTGGCTTCGCGCCAAGGTGTCTCCTGCGGTGTCGTTGACACCAAACCACCGCTGCAATCGTTGTGGCAGGGCTTCGTTGGTGGTTTTTTTAAATGTGAAAAATTGCCAAGCGAGCAGGCGGTTCACCTGATGTTAAGTGAATACCACCTACCATGGACATCTGCTAGTCCAGAGGGTTGCAGATGCGTTGACAGCCTTTTGAAAATTGCCCTCCGGCTCAACCGGTGTTTAGCGACAACCGCCGGTTGCGGATGCGATGCAACCCTTTAAAAGATCAGACCCCGGTTACTCGCCGGCAGAAACGCTGAAGTATGACTCGTCCGCTTCACGCCGGTGTTCTGTCAGGTCGTGCAAATACAAATAATATACTTTGTCTTCATCTGGAATGCACAGACTAGCTCTAGAAATAAAATCTTGGATTTATTTCCTTCATGTAAAACAATAGCACTTCATACGGATTTTGCCTTGTACATTACTGAAGTAGAGAAAAACAATCGTATACTCATCGATGACGTCATTGGCATTCGTAAGGTGATTTCAAATATTTGATGATTTTCAAGCATCACTGAACTATTTTTTTCTACGGCGAAACGGTATCAGAATCGGTCAGAGCTCTACTGAAATGGGAACAGGCGAATCGTATATTGTATTGTTTTTGTACCTTGTCATACTAGTTAAGCTATAACTTGACAAAATGAAGTTTGGCACGACTGAGAGGGAATCTACTCTCCTTTCCATTATTAGCCTTGTGCCGTACGCGCTTTGTAAAATTTAAGGTTGAGAAGAAGGGGTGAGAGTTTGCATTGCTCACGGTGACTGTCTTGTTGCAGGCAAGTCGCCGTTCTTCCCCGGCGTGGAGGAGGCTGCGGTGGTGGCGGGGGCGGCGGGCGCCGGCTCTCCCTCTGTGCCGCCCGACCAGACGCAGGACGTGGTCTCCAGGCTCAGCGCTGCCGGTGAGCATACACCTCGATCCGGAATAGGTTTTTACTGAGCTAGCGCGCTTAGCATCAACGGCTTCATCGCCACGTAATATCTGGTGGGATTGCAGTCTAGCGCTGGCCAGTTACAAATAAAAAAAATTTCAAATACAAAGAACGTAACGTTTAGTAAAAAAAAAAATACACATTCCAGTAGGCAAGTATATCAGGGAAAGCCTGAAATTGGAACCAGTGGTTGAGAAAATGAGGCGTGGTAGGTTGACATGCTTTGGGTACGTTATGAGAAGGGATTAAAGTTACTACAAAATTTATTATCAATCACTATCACTTAATATCAGGGCTTTTTGTCAGCTATGCTTTAAATAAGACTTTAAAACGCTAGCAATGTTCGTAGGCCCCTCTAATTTTGCTGTTCTGAATTGGGTAGGAATTGACAGTTCTGGCGCAGTTTGACGCAACTTAATGGTAAACTTAGATTCCCCGAAAGAATACATTTCTTAATAGAGTTGGACTAATAAGAGGTTATTACTATCCATAAAGCACTATAACAAAACTCCGTGGCGCAGTTTGCAAGATATTGGCTTCGGCGCTGTGCGTCGTGGGTTTGATGCCTACACGGGACAAATATATGTGTGACCCACAGTAATTGTTTCGGATCTGGGTGATTGTCTAAGTGTAATTTATGTATGTAAAATGTCTAGAATGATATTATACAACACTGTATAATATCATTCTAGAGTAAGGGCAATGCTAAAAAACAAAAACTACGGGAATTGAATTTTGATTCGAAATGTTGTTACTTTCATCGCCTACATTTAGAACCACAGTGTGTGGGTTGGTCACTTGTTTGTTTAATTTCGGACAACTTTCAAAACTGGCTCTAGTGCGGACTATAGGTAGGCATCTTTCTCGTCAGTTGCACAATTGAGGCGATAGTTTATTCGCGCCGTTTCCAGAGGCGACAGCTTTACGAGCGCCCGATGCGTTTCGCGTAATTCGCGTTCTCGTATTGGTGCCGTTTACAGTTGTGACGTCGCGTGGCGATTTCGCAACCTTCGGTTGTTGGTCGTGCACGGTACATTATCGTTTGTTCAAATAATTCACACACTGGATGTTCCCTTACGGGGGCGCCTCTGAAATTTTGCGATTATTTCTAATCGCTTTTGCGGTGTGCACACACCAAGTTGCGCGAGTTGCAACTCGAATAATACAATAACCACTTAAGCCCGTGGGTTCTGGCTAGCCCACCGGTTCTGCGTTCGATGAAGCTTTAATAGTGTAAGGACTGAAATCGTAACAACAGTTATAAAAAAAACAATCTATTACAAAAGACGAATTTATATGCAAAGTAATTTTAGCCTTGTTTCTGAATTTTATTTTGTAGTGAACTAGATGAAGTTATGACCTGTTTGATCGTGCGGGAAGGTCGATGAATGCAGGTGTCTCAGGATCATCGTTAAAGCTAAAATGCATACCTAAAATGATGATGATAATGATGAAGTACTGATCCAAAGATTTACAAATCTAACAATCAAGGCGATTTTATAGGCTTATATAACCGCAGGCGGATATTTTGATTTGACTACACCAGCGATTACAACAGCGATTACAAATTTTAAAGCTTCTCTGCTCAGCTTTTTAATTCGACGGTCACTTCAGTAATCATTGCGCAAAATTTTTATTCGGAAACTTGATAGCATACAATAGTCATATATATAACAAACTAAAACAATTAGCCATTTAAGAAGTTGCAATTTACATTCTTAAAGGTATGATGAAACAGCGGAATGACTTAACAAAACTATAATTATGTTTATGCGTATATTTGTGTGTGTGTGTGTGTGTGTGTGTGTGTGTGTGTGTGTGTGTGTGTGTGTGTGTGTGTGTGTGTGTGTGTGTGTGTGTGTGTGTGTGTTCGTGCGTGAAAGAGAGATTGCAAGCATGCGCATTCACGCTCTAAAAGATTTACAAAATCTAAGTGAGAATCAGAGTTTTTCATTAAACTCTTAAGCAAAATACAACAATTACCATGAGCTGAAACGAGCATTCAGATTCATTACCCATCGCTCGAGCGAACACTGTCTCGAGCTGGACTCGAATAAAGTACCTGAGGGCGCGGAGATCGATAGATTAGCAACTGCGCCATGCGCGTCGTCTGTGGTGCTAATACTGGCCACTTGAAATACCTCTCGGCCTCTCGGGCGACGGTGTGATTTGGTAATATTTATACTTCCATCTGTCGCATGAGTGACGTCACTGCAAGTCCACATGCCTTACGTGGGGTGATCAACCTACCAAAATGTGGAGGAGTTCGCTACGTTATCTCTCAACCGTGCCAGGTGGGAGCGAGTGGAACCATCGTTTAGTCAGTTTTGCCGCAATAGCTCACTGTCCCACAGAGTTCGATCTCTGGTTAAGGCACCGATGAAATTGTTAATTTTAGGTACTGACCTATCAATTACTGAACTGTCATGTTTCCGAAATACTAAAAAAAGATTTCGAAGATATGTTAATCCGTAGTGGGGCCGTGTGGTGGACTATGCCCTAGTACCCTCTGTATAGACTGTTACTTTACTCTCCTCTGGAGCGACTGGGACCAGCGTATTGATCCAGGCCTAACTCTTCCAGGTCTGTCGATGTGCGTGAGCGCCCTGGGCTCTCCGGCGCGCTCGTCGCCCGTGTCCGCTGGCTCGGAGCACGGCGAACGCTTCAGCCGGAAGGTGTTCGTCGGCGGGCTACCGCCCGACATTGACGAAGGTGAGTGGCTCCGTCATAAGGGTGGCTTCGACCGTGGTAGAGCCTTCCAGAAACTTAATTTTGCACGAGTCGGCAGCTTGGTCTGCCAGCTTATCGCAGGAGACGCGTAGGGTGGATGCAGGGCTACTGTTAAGTTTTCGTCTGGCTGTTGCCAGGTGGACCCGACTGTTACCCACGCGTGTTACAGATGTCACGCCGCCTGCTCGTTTGGCACCTTTAGTAGGGCCACGCAGCAGTCTACCCTGTAGCAAAAATGCCCCTGCTTGATTGATGCTGAATGAAAAGCCTCATTTATAGACGCGACACTCCTCTCTTCTGTGTATTTATATAATTTACGCCCGGTTTCTGGAACACTGATCATCGCAAAAATTAACTAATTATCTGTGGCTTTAAAAATGGCTTTTCAAAGCCATTTGAGTTGCCAAAAATATGGTTAAACTCTCTGAATTAATCGGAAAATAAATGAATTGAATTGAGAATGAAGGAATTTGACAGATGATTAGTAAATTTCTGCGATGATCGGTGTTTCAGTAACCGGGCGTTAGTGTCACACTTGAGTAAGTAACGGTGACGCTATTCAGGCGACCTTACCTCGGTTATTGTGACTAAAAGTCGACTGGTACAAACAATCTGACTACCTGTGATATATACACATTTTATTAGATTTGCGGCTTGTATGATTTGTCATTGCGGTGAGAACGATCAAAGGTTATTGCCATTGTTATCGTGGAGGTTGTGGCTAACAAGCATTCAATACTTTAGGTCAACATAATATAAATCCTATGCTATAACATTAGCAGCCAGTGTTTCCAATACCGTTTTAGGAGTACCGTCAGATGATTTTGCTTTGTTGTGTTTGCCCTTTGTTGTTTAAATGATTTGGACGTATTATCCTTTGGAACTTTCACTACCTGAATACCGCTATACCAATTAATCGAATTCCTTTAAAAGAGCTCCCAATGTCTGTGGAGGGTGCGGCTAGCAAGCATTCATTACTTTTGATCAACATATTATCCTATGCTTTCCAATACTGTTTTAGGACTAATTTTAGATATATTTGCTTTGTTGTATAAATTATTTGAACGTATTATCCTTTGGAACTTTTCACTACCTAAAGACCACTATACCAAGTAATCGAATTCCTATACAAAGAGCTCCCAATGTTTTTAAATGTGTTTTAGCCTTAAGCGATGACAGACAGCAGACGTCCCCGCTAGAAAGAATGTAAATAAAAACCTGAACGTATCTAATTTTGTAAAAGACCTTCACTGCTTTCTTAAAGACGATACTATTTTCATCCGAGTTAATCTAGCATCAAAATCGTTCACTAGCTTCCAAGTTTGAGTCTTTCTTTCAATGATTTGTTCCCTTTATATCAGGACAATTTTCTGGAACTTACTTACGGACTTATGTATAAATTATTATGTAAAATTCGACCTTTCATAAGAATGGGCAAATAAAGATATCTTGAATTTGTGGATGCACAAAGAAAACTCTTGTTATATATTCTTTTTTTGTCTTTCATACTAAAGATAGATTGGACAGAGACGTTATTGAGTTTATTGTGCCAAATTCCTATTCTTTCACACCGTTGTGATCGCTAGAATTTGCTCCTCCCAATTTCATTTTAAACTTTCTCCGTTCTTCCTTTTACGTAGCTCACCGCACTGATTGAATGGTCGATTATTACAACTTGAAACTTTTTTTTCATTCTCTTATAAACGTGCTGGATTATCATGTGGAAGAAAAACACGTGAGGAAACCTGAATTATTTCAGAATAGTAACAAAAAAGACAAATGTTTGGAGCTTTTAAAGGTGGCAAAGCATTTGCAACCCTTCGGGTGTTGCATTTGTCCATGGGCGGCGGTTATCCATCTGGTGAACCGCCAGCTCGTTTGCCACTTTTTCACAAAAACAAAAAAAATGCCTGGCCATACTCAATAGGGTTACGTGGTTGACTACGCCCTAATTCTATGCAGAGGCGGCCTTAGCCCAGCATTTTGGGACACAGTATTATACTTTGCTCTCTAATTGGCATCCTTGATATTCTTTGTAATCTTCGGTAACTTAGATCGATTTAAATGGACGATTACAATAACGGTCCCGCTTACTCGGGTTGAATGTTTAATGTGCATGGCGACACTGCTCTCGCCGAGCGATTCGCGCCAGCCTTGAGTGCAATTGTCGTCGTTGCCTAGATACCGCCACCGGCAAACATGGCCGACTTGCCCGACGTAACTACGCGTAAGTAGCAGTTGCGAGGACTATCATTGCTCCTTTGAATGAATGAATGAATGAATGAATATACTTCATTGCACACCAAAAATGAAACAAACAAAAATTTTAAACTTAATGTGGAAATGATAGGTACAATGGGCGGCCTTATTACTAAGAGTAATTTCTTCCAGGCAACCTTTGGATGGTCTAAAAAGAAATTAATTTGGGAATTAAAGTGGTTTGCGGCTTGTATGATTTTGTCATTGCGGTGAGAACGATCGGAGGTTATTGCCATATATATCGGTGGGTTAACTAAATAAATGAAATAAACAAATACTTGTCTACAATCAAAATTAATGTTAATGAGATATTTATGAATATGTAAGTAAATAATTAAATGTATATACAAAAGGCTAACAAAATATGTACATACAATTACACTTTTACATGTAAATGTATACATACCATATATACAAACACATATATAATTGTTAGGAAATAACATTACAGAGATAAGTAATGATTTTTTACAAAATTCTTGAAAATAGTCTATGACTGAGCACGCCAGTAGTGGTAAGTCATTTATGGCATAAATGACTAAAGGCCCATTTACACGATGCCATTTTCTTGAACATACAAGAGCAATAATTGAATGCAATAAATTGCGCGCAATAATTGTTTAGACCATTTGTTGTTTAGACCATGCAACTCATTTATTGCTTCAATTTAATTGTATACAACAGGCAAGAAACTTGCACCGTGTAAATGGGCCTTAACTCATTAACTTTGTTTTGTGTACGATATTTTTTTTAGATCCAAGTTTTCTGATGATCTCAAAGACTTAGAGTGGGAATCACTTAGAAATGGGAAACGTTCCTTTAGATAGGTGGGATATGAAGGATTAAACGGCATGTTGTAAGCAAGAGTATGTATATAAACAAGAGTGTGTATATGAAAGTATGTGCGAATTCCGGCGAAGGCACTTGAGCTTAGCACGGGAATGTGAGATATGATCATATTTTCGCTCTTTTCTCTATCTATATATTATTCTTATGAGCCGTTATAGGTCAGTAATCCGGCACTCGTTTTTAATTAATTATACTCTAGCAACCTGAGTTTAAATCTCGCTGCCAGTACCAATTAAATTGTTAATATTGTTGCTCCGGTGGCCACTGACTGTATTGATCGTTGGTTGTGGGTGGAGAGTTGTCCTGGAACGGGGGTGAAGACGATCCATCGATCTAGGTTCTCGTGTAAAGTTGTCGGCTTTGCCGAGGAATCTTCTAACGTCTTGATAGTCTGGCGATATAGACGTTAACCCATGGTTTTGTTGCATAATCAGGTGGTGCACTCCATCTATGCTCCTTTACAAAAAGCAAGCAACTTGTGAATAATTTGGAGAACTTAATAAAAGTCGACTCTCATTGATTTATCGCGTTCGACTATTTTTTGATGTATATGGGCGTTTGGGGCTGTGTTCGCTGTAAGACAAATTTGATGCATTGATAGCACACGGAAAACTATGAAAATTCTTTGATTGTTTAGATCCTGTGATGTATCTTTTTATTTATACATTAATCTTTTCAAATCATTAATTTTATTCAACACCCTAGACAATTCAAACACACATTCAACACACAAACACAATTATTATATATTCGGCCTAAACCGAAACGTTAGTTAACGTAGTTTGCTGCCATTCAAACGTATTCGGTTTGAGCCGAAAACGTTTGAATGTATTCGGCTTAAACCGAAACGTTAGTTAACGTAGTTTGCTGCCATTCAAAAGTATTCGGTTTAAGACGAATACGTTTGAATGGCAGCAAACTATTTCATATAATAATGCATGTTCCTGTTCTCATGTCAAAATGCGATCATGATTTATTTCAACTGTAGTAATGTCATGCAACAGTCTTCGCTGTTGCACGAATGGGCAGCTCCATTCGGGTGAGTACCACGACCTCAAAGAAGACTGGCTTGAACCGGCTCGAGTTCTGGTGACTGAGTTAACCGTGACCCGCTTTTAAATATGTTGGCAACCTCTTTCTTTTCTTCATAAAAAATGCAACCAGATTTTGCAAATATACGGGCGGCGGTGGTCACAACGTACTGAACTGCTTACTCGCTTGCTTAACATTTTACTTACAAAAAAAAACAACTGCAATCTAACAATAAAGAAAAAGTGGAAGTGTTATAAATTCTGCGTTTCGTCTGGTGAGTGAAGTGGCCGGGGCCAACTCTATTAAAATTAGGCAACGCAGCTGCAACCCTGCGGTTGTTGCAAATGTCCATGAGCCGCAATTATCATTTAACATCTGGTAAGCCGTCTGGTCGTTTGCAACCTTCTCACATAAAATAAAAGGCCACGTGGCGTCGTACTATACCCTATTTCCAATAATACATAAGGTTAGAACCCAAGCGTAGGCTGACAGTATATCCGACGCCGCTGCGTAACAATGTCAGCGCGTCGCCGCCAGAGATGCGAGAAGCCTTTGAAGTCGATCACTGGGAAGCCTTAGGGGCTGAACTGACCGCGGGGTGGAATGCGCTGTGCGCCGACACCGATGTCTTAACGCCCCGTCTCGTACGTGACGTGAATCTATGACCCAGATTTGTGGTCGTGGCGAAAACGGAGCGATCTACCTAAAACTGGAGGGATTCCGCTGAGAGAGTAATAACATTTAGTAAATCTCTATGCGGGGATACACTATATAGTCGTGTACGATGCAAAAACGATGAGGCCACAGATTTTTTGCCGTTTTTTTTCTGGACAGGTAGTTTTTTGACGTTCAGTAAGAGATTAATACAAGCCCATATTGAATAAATAAATTTTGAATTTGATGCATGAATATAATTGTGAATAAATAAGCTTATATGCTGGCTAAAATTTCGGTCCTAACGCACAACGATCCGACGGATCTCTGTAAACGTTTTTGTTTCATTAATATATTAATGGATTTTATTAAAATTAACACTCCAAACCGTTTAAAACCATTTTTTATGTTGATTCCAATACAATTAATATTTGAACCCAACCGATAACTCATTTTTTTCAAAAATGTTTACTAACAAAACTTTAAATATATGTAGTACCTTTCTCACACATGCAAGTTACCATTTAGGAGCTAGATTGTTTTTTATGTTTCATTCTTGGTGTGTAGTAAATTTTTAATTCTATCATAATTCGCTGCACTGGGCGCAAACCTAGCCCCGATACATTTGTAACGCTTATCCTTTCAATCAACTGGCTTGATATCCACTTCTGTTGTCTATGCACTACTGCCTATCTAGTCTGTCTGATTATCCCGTTAGACTGTGGAGTCGTGAGGTTTCCGTTGCGCTCGCAAACCGGCCCGGCCCGCCTACACGCTTGTTAGCGCTTCTGTGTCGACGCGATTCAGCGCGCCAAACTAGGTGCCCTAGATTGTGGACAAAGCCTAGGTGACGGCGTGTCCCTAGCTTAAGCCCCCCCCTCTCTTCTCCCCGTCCTCCCTTTAGACTTTGCCTTTATCGATCTGATGATTGCTCGCAATAGATTGAGACGGGTCAAGTACGCTGTGGATTTTTGTTACTCTGTTCTTCGCTCTTTGTTGCTCTAACACTAACGTTCACTCCAGGATATATGGATGAGCAACCTTTGAAGGTCAGAGCTTGTCGACATTTCTTTATTGCTGCATTCTAAATTGACTAGCTGTTGGGTGAAAGTCACCTTGCCCTTTGCTTTAAATAGCCATAAAACGTTGCCACGGTTGCAAACTAACCTCAATATATAAAAATATTTATTAATTATTATATCTTTATATAGAAAATTGTTCTGTGCGGGTTTATGTCACTGAACTCCTCAATTTTTTTGTGTGTCTTAAGGTCAATTCGGTTTAGTATAATTGTATAACATGTTTACTATATCAAATAATACAGATCTAAAGATGTGGTATGTACCTCATTACAGACTTGTGAAATAAGTGTTTATTTTTATTACAATAAAACCCCAACGGACTTCATTAAAATATCTAAATCGCTCTATATTCGAATTATAAGAAATTTAACCTTTCAACGTAAAACGAATGACCTTCTACGTCTCTGTCGAAACTATTTGCCTTGAGGTCTACTTGATACTATAATTAGCATTGTTTACTTAATTAACTTGTACATAGTCATTAAAGCCGTGTATGTCATAAATAAACATTTATTTAGATAAACTGTTTTCTTCGTATGTGTTTTGCTTCAATCAATTGTTAATTCTATATTGATAAGTATATATTTGAGAACACGTTTTTATACAACGTTCTCTAGTCCCTGAGCAACGCTTGTGCTTTGGGTACTTAATAACTGATAAATAAATACACATCCGCGGTGAAGGAAAACATCGTGAGGAAACCTGCATATTTTCGAAATAATAACAAAAAAAAATATTTTGAAGATATGTGAAGTCCGCCAATCCGCAGTGGGGCCGCGTGGTGGACTATGCCCTGATACCCTCTATATAGAGGAGGTCTTTACCCAGCAGTGGGACATACTTTACTTTTTTCTTTTTTTTAAATACACATACATATTCTTTTGTAAATAAAAACATGTTATTTAAACACTGAGACACTGGGGAAAAAACTACGTTCATCATCCACATCCTCTGGCGCTAAAGACGCTAAATCTAATCTCGCTATCCATATAAATTAGATCAAGTTCTTGTATAATTTTGTAAAAAATCCTCCATCGTATAATTAGTTTAATGCCCATTATTGTTATTGAGAATTGAGATTATACTCTCTCTCTCACTCTGTTGTTACATGCCAACGTAAATAATTGAAAAAGACCTTTAATTTTATGTGCCAAGTCATCATTGGTATCAATTGGCATATACCTGTGACATATTTCAGAAAATATTTCAAGAACAGGGAACTTTACATAACCTATATGAGGAACCTACCTTATTGTCTACTAAATCTTGAACGGAGAACGTAGCAATATATAAACCACTTTGTTGTTTTTCTTAACACAGTTTGACACAGACATGAGTCGCACAATTTTTTAATCATCATCATCATAATTTCAGCCTGTTTCGAGTCCACTGCTGAACTTAGGCCTCCCCCATAGACTGCCACGTAGTACCATCTTGAGACACCTGCATCCCTGCATCGGGAAGTCGTTCCCGCGCATTTGCGCAGGTCGTCACTCCATCTAGTAGGGGGTCGTCCTACACAATAACCAATGCTGTTATGAAAATTACACCACTATATTAAAACTGTTAGTCCTCGATTAGCTAAAGCTTTAGGATTACAGACTTCTCTTGAATTACAATCACAATAACTGGCAACAATAATCGTGTTATAGATATCTTGTGTGTAAAAAACATTTACGCTATTTCTTTCAAGTAAGGCCATGAAAGGAAACTTCCACTAACATTACGTTACTCATCAATGTCAAAAAGATGAGAGCATGCTTTAATGATATTAAATAATGTTTTGATAAGAACATTAATTCTCTCGAGTACTGAAGTTTGGCATATATGACATTAACATTTTACAATTTATCTATAATAGAAATCATTAACATTAATAATATCAACCATATTTATAACATGAGTAATTGACAGAACAATGTGTACAAATTATTTTATTTTATGTTCTGTACTGAACAACAAAATAATAAATTCGTAGCCAGTATTAAATTCTAACTTCATCTGACATTTAACTTGACCTATTTCAGATGAGATCACTTCATCGTTCCGGCGCTTTGGGCCGCTGGTGGTGGACTGGCCGCACAAGGCCGAGAGCAAGAGCTACTTCCCGCCCAAGGGCTACGCTTTTCTCCTGTTCCAGGTCTGTGACCCTATAGATTCTTATTAAGGTGTGACCCTATAGATTGTTATTGAGATGTGACCCTAAAGATTCTAATTGAGATCGTGTCGGTGTGACTTGGGATGCTTCACACGATCCACGATTATGCCGCCTTGCATTTGACTCATCAATACGTGAACCTAGTGCAGGTTTACTGACCTGAAAAACTTTATCGATACTTTTTTCATACAAGTTTTCGTATAAAATGTCGCTAATATAAATTTGTTATCCCGGTTTTGTATCGATAGACAAATCTGAGCTGATAGAGTAAAACTTTTCCTTTTATAATTTGTGGATATTTCTAAAATGTTATGTACTATTTTTTATACAATGACATTGAATATGTCGATAATTAAACCGGAGAACTATTAGAATTAGTTTAGCAGATACACTAATTATCCATTCTAAGTAAAAGTCAAGTAAAGTTATAGCTATCAGCTTTTGTGTGTGTATGTTTCCCAGCTGGTAAAAGGACTCCTCTGAACAGGTGATATTAGAGCATAGTCCACCACGTGACCTCATCATTGACATGTCTTTATTTTATTTTGTTAATATTTCGAAAGTATGCATATTTTCTCACGATGTTTTCCTTCACAGTTGAGCAAGTGATTACATTGACCAATTACAGGGGTGCCCCGATACCAGAATTTGATCTCGGGTACTCGAGTATATTCAATTAAAAGCCTTTAAATATAACCTAACTATATAACATAGATGTAGAATACGGCTATATAGCAGTGTACACAGTGGATATCCACTCATAGCGACTCACTACATCGTGACATTTGGTCTAAAAAGCGCACCTTGCTCCTTCCACAGGACGAGAGCTCGGTGGCGGCGCTGATGGAGGCGTGCATAACGGACGATGACAAGCTGTACCTGTGCGTGTCGTCGCCTACCATTCGCGACAAGCCCGTGCAGATTCGGCCGTGGAGGCTGGCCGACGCGGACTTTGTTCTCGACGCCAGCATGCCACTGGATCCGCGCAAGACTGTGTTTGTTGGTGGAGTGCCGCGCCCGCTCAAGGCTGGTGAGTCAGTGTGGACGGCTAAGGCTGTCGCTGATGATGTTATGCATGGACATCTGCTACACCCGAGGGTTACAGATGCGTTGACAACCTTTTGAAAATTGGGCTCCGGCTACCTCACTCACCAGACGAAACGTGAAAGTATTTGTCATACTTACACTTTACGCTGGTCTTCTGTGAGGTTGTGGTGCTTACCCGGACGGACCTGCCCATTCGTGCAACAGCCGAGGCTGCTGCGTAGCCCTACCACCGTTGAGTTGTATCAGCGTGACAGCATATTTGAGTGGCAGTTAAGGCGATTTTATTCCGAGGATTGTCGCAATATGTGAGGCACATGAAATTGGAAAGATTTTTGGCTGTGGTGCGTAAGGTGGTTGTACGTATATTCTACCCCAAACCTCGAAAGGATGTTCCTTTCGAGGTTTGAGGTCGAATGTGCGAACCATGTAATTCTATTAAATTACTTCTTTGCTATTCAGTAGCGTAATCTCTTTTTTGGATACCATTTAGATTGCCTTACATTTGCTAAATAAAGCATGATACTTTCTAGCACGAGTGATACTTCCATTTTAATAACCCTATAAAAGCTGGAATTCTCTGAAATTTCAATCGTCAAGAGGTCGCTCGCATTCCGGATAGTTGACCCTTTTAAGATGGGACGAGAAGATTAAGATGAGAAGATTTTTGACAAAAGGAAATGCTCCGCTCCTTCCTATAACGTAAATTTTATGATTGAATCCTACTAATATTATAAAGGCGAAAGCTTGTATGTATGGATGGATGTTTGTTACTCTTTCACGCAAATACTACTGAATGGATTTTAATGAAACTTTACAATAATATAGCTTATACATCAGAATAAAACATAGGCTATAATTTATATACATATTTTAATTTATATACATACTTTGTCAGAATGTTACGCCTTCAGGCCTATTCTACGCAGACGTAGTCGCGGGCAGCAGCTAATATTAGAATATTTCGAAAATACAGTGTGAAATATATGTAAAGTAAACTATCGATATTTGCTAATAGAAGCGTCCTTTTCAGTGGAACTCGCGATGATCATGGACCGGTTGTATGGTGGCGTGTGCTACGCCGGCATCGACACGGATCCGGAACTGAAGTACCCCAAGGTCAGTTAATGAAGGTCTCTTATGAATATTAGTAAAATTCCAACGAGAAAGTGTGATCAGATTATTTTATAACTGTTGTCATCAGGATTTATATGAATTAAAATGAATTGATTATACACGTGATTGTCAATAACTTCGACATCGGAGGTCGTTCGTGGGTTCGATTCCCACTCGAAAATAATATCTATGATATGGGTGCTTATTCCTAAGGAGCGTTAATATCTGGCAGAGATGACAGGTCGTAAAGAACCTAGCCAATTACCGATAACACAATATGATTCACAACGTCTGCCGACCCCACAATGGCAGGATAAGGGCAGCAGAAAGAAGTTATTGTATGAACATTATTAAAAATAAAAGTAACTAATATAATTCTACTCTTGTATTGCTAATCTGCACTCAACTGGGTAGTGCTGTCTTTACTGTGCTGTGAGGTCATTCTCCCAATACTTTACTACCAGTAAACTGATGGTAATTTTTTCCAAGTATTCTAGACTGTACCCTATAATTACCATCATATCGGTTCCTTTTCTGTCTGGTACATGGTAGATGAGCCACCGTCGTTCATGCTGAAACTCGGTCTATCTCGAATGGAGATGGACCCACTTTGAACCGGCTGATTAAATCGTGAGACGTTGATTTAACCCCGAACTGTTTCTCTCGAATCCAGGGCGCTGGCAGAGTGGCGTTCTCCAACCAGCAGTCGTACATCGCGGCGATCTCGGCGCGCTTCGTCCAGCTGCAGCACGGGGACATCGATAAGCGTGTCGAGGTATGTCTGGTTGGTGTAGCATGGCTAGTGTGGTGGTGGTGGTGGTGACCACCCAACATGGACGACACTGTGGCGTAGTTGCCGAGGTATTGGCTTCGGTGCCGGGGGTCGTGGCGATCGATTCCCACACGAGACAACTGTTTGTGTTACCCACAGATAACTGTGCTCTAATAACACAGGATTATGTTATGCTGCAGTGTGAGCAATGTTTTAAAAAGAGTGCCATTCGGCTGTAATAGCTTCGCCCGTAACAATCGCGTTTGGGGAACGGTCGTTTATGGTACACACTATCCGTCGAATTTAATAGCTTGGCAAGTTCGCAATGCAAGGGCACAAGGACTTGCCTGGTGAGAGCTTCCTATCTTAGAGGGGTTTTGGGAGGCCAATTTGAGTGGATTCCATCCATGGAAGTGATAACTAATGTAAGGTACATTGTGTAGGTGAAGCCGTACGTGCTGGACGATCAGATGTGCGACGAGTGCGCGGGCGCCAGGTGCGGCTCGAAGTTCGCGCCGTTCTTCTGCGCCAACGTCACTTGCCTGCAGGTGGGTACATAACATCCTGCGGCAGTTCCGCCCGGGGAAGTGCCATGACCTTTAATCTATTCCTATACTTAACTATATTATATTATATATTATATTCCTATACTATATATAACTTCTCGGGACAGGCCCAATTTAGTGGACCGGTGGTAGTTATTTGATGTGGTAGACTGTGGTAGGGCCACGCAACAGTTTTGGCTATTGCACGAATGGGCAGGTCCGTCCGGGTTAGTAGCACGACCTCACAGGAGACCGGCGTGAAGTGGAAGTGTTGCACTTCTGCGTTTCGTCTGGTGAGCGAGTTAGCCGGGCCCACTTTATTGAAGTATAAGAGAAAGAGATAAGAGAACGCATCTGAGACCAAATGTTGTGAGGTGTTGCAAAATGCCCATGGGTGGCGGTTATCATTTAACACCAGGTGAAGTGCCAGTTCACTTGCCATTTATGCACATAAAAAAAAAAAACGAGTCAACCCGCAGTTTAAGACCTCAGCTCGTCTAACATGAAACCAACTTTGTCGTTGCAGTACTACTGCGAGCACTGCTGGGCGACGATCCACTCGCGGCCCGGCAGGGAGTTCCACAAGCCGCTGGTGAAGGAGGGCGCCGACCGGCCCCGCGCCGTGCCCTTCCGCTGGTGTTAGTGGCGCTACGACGTAGCCGTCCCCGCTACGGTGCCTGCTACGGCGCCGGGGGCCGTTTAAGCACCGTAGCGTCGGCCTCGCGTCGGCAGCTCGCGGGTTGCGTCTCTCGGCTGGGGCCCATTTGCTTCGTTTGTCCTATGTCATCTGTCTCTCTCTCGCTCTTTGCCTGTCGGATGGCTGGTGGAAGTGGACGCTGGCTGAGCTACGATCGGCTGAAAAGCTCGTGTTTCGAAGATTGTTTTTTTTTTATGTGCGGCAATGATGGCTGTTTCGGCTTGTATTATTTGGATGGCCACGCGAAGAATGTTTGGTGTCGTTTGCGGGCCGCCTGTGTGCTTCGGCAGCTGCGAAAAGGGTTTTTTTTTATAATTTTGTACGCCGCCTTGTTTGCTTGAGCGTGTAACGCGTGATTGGATTGTGCTGTTTTGATTTGGTGTGTATGGTTGCCGACACAGCTTAGCCAGCGTCTAGTTATCGCCAGACGCCAACTGGACTTGGGGGCCGCGTAAGCGAATACGACTGTAGGGTTGCTATATAACTTTGTGGTCCTTTGGGCTGGATCCCACGAGCTGCCGGCGCTAGGACGTTGGCGCGACGGCGTGACGTCACCGCACCGTGACGTCACCGCACCGCGACGTCACTGCGCCCCCCACAGCCCACTGCTCGCCCGGCGCTGGAGTTGGGGCGGCGTGGAAATGCGCCACTCGCCTGCGATGTCTGACGTCACCACCCTTCAGCTTCGCACCGGTTCCAAATTGTAGTGTTACGTAACGTCTAGCGCGCGTAGGTTCGGAGAGGCTGCGAGCGGGACGTGTACTGTCGAGTAATTGGATTAATGAGAATATTATTAATAATTTTAAAAAAACTTAGCTAGTTGTCGGTTTGTCTCGTTGGTAAGGTCTATCCTCGGAGCGGGGGCCGCGCTGAAGCGGTGGCGGGGGGCTATGTCCCTTCACCATTTGGCCTAGGCGCGGCCGCTTAATCGTAAGGCGTAATCTAAGACATAAGTGCAATGTCTGGTTTCTGTCGACAAACAAACGTATTTGTACCTGTGTAGCTAGAATGAATTTTCCTCTATTTAAACTCTCTCTCTCTCTTTTGTCTTTGCCACCCCCACCCCCCTCCATCCTTCTTTTTTTGTATTGGTCTTGAATTTAGTCTAACCCTGCCCCCTCTCACATTGGGTTTTTGTTTCTCGTGGTGCGTTACCACGGCGAGTACTTGTCACGGCTGCTAGACCAGATTATGGTGTACCGGTGGGTACCACAGGGCGGCGGTGAATGCTTATTAGTAGCGAGCGTTTCACCAAAATTTAATGGACGCTAAAAACATTAGAAGTGATTGCGAAGTTTCTTCTAGCACGTGGCCCATAACTACATCACGCCATAGACAATTCTCTGATGATGGCAATGGACGTGCCGCTGACGGCTTTCACCACCGCGTGGTGGGATTTTTGTTGCAACGGGCTCACTTGACTTTAAATTTCTGCGGGCACATGTTCGACGAATCGCTATTTGCCGTTCGCTCGCGCAGTACAAACCATTGACGAAGCGTTACCAGTTTGGCTGTAGATTCCTCGATTGTGTATTCTTAGCGTAATAAATGTTGTTATATATCGTATTGTGTATAGTATTGATGTTTTTTTTTTTTTTTTTTTTTTTCGTTTTATTTTTCGTTTCGTTTTTCAGTGTTCGCCGGGAATGTGCAATAGACGGTAGATTTAGTGGCCCTTCGGACCGGACATGGTTTTGGTCCGGGGTCGGATGATTTAGCTGTTACGGGATGTTAGGTTCTTTCGGGCGTTGGCCGCGTACGGTTGAGGCTTTGTGTTTTTGACCTCGGCGCCTCACCTATGTGAAAGGCGTGGGTATTGGACCCGGGACTGGTTGGTGGACCCCCTGGGTAGAAGTTGGATACGCCTTGAGCCTCTGCTCAGATCAACCTGGGTTTAAAAAAAATGTCGTCAAGTGTGAAATGTCTCACCCGGGACTAGTGACCAGTCTCTGAGTTAGGCTCGAGGCACTCTTTGGATCATATCAGACCTGGTCAATCTGAACGGGCCACTTCGCGCCACACCATAGGCGGGGCCGAAGGCTTCTTTAGGGGGGTATGTGTACTTAATCGAAACGGATACAGCCACCGTATCCCTAATGACCACACGGACGTATTGAGACTGCAGTGAAAAGACTTGCGCGGATTTTTTGACGTTTTTTCCATGGTTTTTTGTAAAAGTTTTTTCGTGTCGTGTTGTGTATGTTTTTTGGAAATTCAAGTGAGGCGAAAGTGCCTTGTGTTGTCGGTGAGTGTTGTATGTCCCCCCCCCCTCCTTCTCCAAGCCCTCATGCCGGTTCAGTCCAGTACTCCCCCTTTCCTAGTAATTTAGAAAGCCATGGTTGCTAAGTTTGCTGGATTTAGAATTGTGCATAATGTGTAGCTTTTAATTTGTGCAAAAAAACTGGGCCCGGGAACTTTTTGGCCTTAATTACACTTTGGAACTTGAATGATTAGATCTAGTACCGAACATAGCAACCGTCTCTTTCCCTATTGACAACGAGACCGTTTATTTCAATGCACCGCGCGTGAGGTTTTCGCTTAGTGACATCGCAATACCCTCATATGGCTTCGAGGGATCCCAAAGGGATGAAAACATATTAAAGCGATATATTCCGATATTTAATTAGGGGGCGTTGAGGAATGAATATTGTCACGTGGCTAAGTTGCGGCCATTTAAGATGGCTGTAGTGCCGATAGTTTTGGTAGAATGCGGCTAGGCTCGCGGTTATCTCTCGGACTAGACGTTTATCCCATAGGGTCAATTCTCTAACGTATTTAAGCCCAGCTATTTACGCTTTTCGCACTTGCCCACCACCCACCTCTTGACTTGTACTCCGACACTGTCGATTGCTGCTCTACTCTTCGTCGCATCTCCCCCTACACCCAATAATCTCTCGCCTTCTGCCGGGATGCGTTTTTGCGAAATGCCCGACGGTTTCATTCCTCGAGGGACTGTCTTGCTCAATGTTTCTTTGTGGTGTGTCTGTCTCGTTGCGAGAGTCCCCTTTTGTATTTTTGTATTTTTATAAGTGAGGCTGCGACTCGTCGGTTTGTGTGCAACTTGTGGCAGGCCGGTGCCCGTACCTCTCTTAGAGGGGAGGGTTGGTTAGCTGGCGAAGGTTCCGTTTTTGCCGGTGGTTCACGCGTGCTATAAGCTGTTCTGTTTGGTAGTTCCCCCATCTGATGGAGGTTCTCTGGCCGGTGGGGCCGTGTAAAGTAGCATCCCTAACTCAGTATGTTTCAGCAAGGCTTGAGGGGGCATACGCCAGGCGATCGGGGCACCGGCTCGACGTCTCGATACTTGGGATATGTGGTCTTTGCGAGCGCTTGCCTGGTCTTGATTAATTTCGCCTCGCGCGGTATCTTCGCCGCAATGGATGCGGTAGTTTTTTTCCGGAGTGGCGTTTACGTTTGACCAGTTTGGTTCGTTTTTTTTGGTTGTCTTCGCCGTACGGCCCCGCCGCATACGGTCGGTCGCGCGGTTATTTCGCATTTCTGTTTGTTTTCCGTTCCCTGTTGCAAGGTAGCTCGTTGCCTATTCTCTATCTCTCTCTCTCTCTCTCTCTCTCTCTGTTTGACTTTCGTTTTCTCTTTCTTTGGACGCTGTACTCTTCTCTCGTTTGACACATCACCGAGTGGGATTTCGGGCCGCACGACCCGGGGGCGCGTTGCGTTGCCGTTTATATTAGTCTTGTATGCGCAAGCGATGCGATTTTGTAAAACGTGTTGTGTATCTTTGTACGTTTTTTATAATAGTGTCGTCGTCGTAGCTGAACCTTGTGAGCGGGTTGTTGCTGTTGATTAATGAAGACTATTTGTCCCCCCTTCTCTTACTCCCCCTCACCCCATTATCATTCCCACCCCGTCTCAAATCCTCATCCCCCATATCAGCCCTCGTCGTCTCGTCCCCGAGTAAGTTTTCGGCACTTGTTCACTTGCATGTTGTATATAGTGGAGCGGTGCGTTGTTTCTTAGTAAAGGAAAATGGAAAATCCGCAAAAAAAAATATTTTTTATGACTCTTCGGCGGCGGACCGAGATAGGCAATTTTTTCTTAGCGCGTCGCCCGTACAGTATGGGCGGGAACGTTGCGCGACTTAGTGAAATTATTACCTTAATAAATCTAATAAAATAGCGGGAAGTAGCGCAATTCATTAACTAAACTAGTTGATATAAATGATGAACATAGTACCTTTAATAATGAATTACATTGTAAACGTTGCTAGTGATGAATATTAAGTTTGTACAAATGTTTCTTGCACTGTCTTTTGCGTCGGGTAACTTTTCTATTTTCCACACTCGCACATACGGTTTTGACGTTTGACACGGATTAATAACAAAAATAAAAATGTTGAAGGGCTGTCCGCACACCGCGGCGGTTCGTTGATCGGCCCCTCCGCGCCGAAGCGGTGTGAGGGCAGCCTTTGCAGGCCGGGCCGGGATAGTGCATAGGAGGATATTTTTTTACTAAATTTTCAAATAAACCGACTCCCTTTCGGTCCTGCGAATCAACGGGCCCCATTCGGAAAGTTTCTAAAGTAAACGGATTTCAATGCGGCTCGATAATGTGGAGCGAACAAGGTGTTTTTATGGCCAGTTTTTTTTTTAAATAAAGACAAGACTACGCGGAAAGTTTCCGAATTGTACAGATTTTCTATTACGTGTTATTTATGGCCAGTGATTTTTTTATTTAATAAAGAAACTTTATGGAAAGTTTCAAAAAGTGTACAGATTTTCTTATCCTATCGACAGATGGCCGGAAAGGGGTCGGGTTCGTTCTAATTTGAAATTAGATTTATATATTATATTTTTATAGACGGTCGTTTCGATCACTTGTTAGTAGACCTGTATCGGTTTTGTTGAGGCTCTGTGGTGGCGAAGCTCGCGCGGGAATCTATGCAAGGAGTGGCTTACGCGCTCTATATAATATGACCGTGCGACAAGCTTGTCACCGCACGGGTGGCGGCCACTTGTCACTGTTCCCTTATGATGAGCGAATGCGAAATCGATGTTTCGTATTTGCCAGCTGCAACACTATCGGCTGGCGATCGCTATCTATACCAATATCGATATAAAGAATGCATCGAGTATGTCGATAGCGTCACCCACTTCACAGCACTAGTATGATTTCGTTGGAAGGGTGACAGGTGGCGGCGGCCCTCGGAGCGTTGTATTATAGATAATATTATTTTTCTTGTTGTTTATGTAACGAAATCGAATGTTTTTTCTGTATCGCATAACTGTCGGAGTCGTTTGGTTCTTGGCGCGTAAAGGGGACGACGTCAAATGTTGGCGTCGTTTCGCGCGTTAAATGGCATTCTTCACTTTGCCACATATGATAATTGCATTGTTACCGCGCAAATTGCAAGCGCTAGAGCCAAACGAACTTTAGTGCGTTTGTGTTTCCCGTTTCTCCAACGGGTTTTGTCCAAAAATTACTTGTTGGCATATTGGACGCGTGTTTTTTTATTTATCTTAAGACGCGATCACACGATCCGCCCTTGGTTTTTTGAAATGCAATTGAAAACGATTTTTTAGACTATTGTGATGATATTAAAATGGATTTTGAAAAACACTCTCCGTGCGTTTCTACTTTTCTCTTTCCGGTATTGTGTGCAACCGACTCGAATCTATTGTTTATTCTACTTCTGTTATCTCTTTTCTTTCCTATCCTTTCTTTTCTGTCTCTTTTCTTTTTATCTTTTCGTGTGCGCGGGGCCTTCCAGGAGCCCCGATGCTAATTTGTAAGCGTGCCTCGAGCTATATTTTCTCCAATTGTGAACCAAAGAGTCCCAAAGACGCGGCTAAAAAGACAGTGCGATGGCGCGACGCCGCCCCCTCGCTTATTCCTATATCGAATAATTCTGGAGAAAATGTGGACTCGACTGTGTCTTGTTGTTTTACGGATGTATTTTGACGTTATTCCTATTTATTTAGATGTTTTTTTTTGTACACCTGTATTTTTTTTGTATGACATTTATTTTTTTTATTTAATTTTTATCGATCATTAACGGTTAGATGTTACGGTTTTTATCACTTAGCGTTAGGCGATTTCACGTTACTTTAGCGTTTATCGTTTATTATTTCAGTATTTCGATGGTTTTTTTTTTGTGTAATTTTACACTGCGTTTAAACTAGTGTAATTGAATAAGCTTTGCCCGATATAAAAGGAGTTTAAGATTGCACGTTGGCCGTAAAACACTTATTTAGGAGTATCTATCTATTTATATTTAACTTTTTTGAATAAAAAGATAGCAACCGATGGATAACGTTATGTAAAAAGTTGACGCAAAAAAAGTATTATTACTACTATTATTATTATTAATTATAAATATAACATGTAGATCCGAAATTTCCGAATCAGAGCTTTACCCGATATATTGAATGATTGTATTTATGTGTATAGTATTGATCTCCCGAAGTGGCGAGTTCACGATACATTTTTTTTATATCTATATCCGTATTTGTGTATCTGTCATATATAAATATGTATTATATCATTGTATCTATGTAAAATCACTAAACGGTTACGTATAGATGTAAAACTATGTAGTTTGATTTCGTTGATTTTTTTAAGAGTGAACTTTATTTTTTTGTTGTTTGAATATAGTTGATATCTTAGTGTAATGGCGCACTTGCGGGGAGTTGGAGTGTCGGGGCTTCCCCCGAACCGGCCGATTCCTCTATCATTCCTTTTTCGAACCCAATGCGGTTGTAAAGCGAAGAACGGTCTCTGTGGCCATCTTGTGAATTGACTCGAAATTTGCCAGCCGACTGTGCCAACCTGCCAACCGCACTGGCGGGTTCCAATCGTGGAGCTCCAACTCCCGCCAAGTCCCGTAGGTATTGTTTAAAACTGAAATACTTGGATTTTTATATGAATTTTATTATTATAATATGGTATTTTACTAAATATTAGTCCAATATTAAAATCTTTACCGTGTTTGTTTCATTTCGTGAACCAACCCAAAACGCCGTTTCATATACATATATCATGTACGCGTATTTAGGTTTCTTTATTTGGTAAATATATTATGAATTAGTCTTAATTTTTATAGAATCACTGATACTTTTTTTGTATTTGAATATTGCAGTTTATATATGTAAATTCTTTTTTCTCGATTCAATTTATTCCTAAATATTCCTGGGATTAACTTTTTTTGGTGAGCTCACGCTTGGAATCTGAGATTCGGCCACGGCTTTATTATACAACCATTTTGGCATCATGAAAACCTAAAATTAAATGAAATATATATAGCAAAATTCAATAACCCCCATTTGACATTTATTCCCCAGAGCCATTAAATTGTTGCGATGTTGACTAATGCGAAATTTATCCAAAGATTAAATATAGATAGTTTAATTGGGTTTCGATCTAAAGAAAGTGACAGGATGAGGTTAACAAATACTATACAGGTATAATCTGAAGAAATATACTTGAAATAATTAGGATATCACATTGAATGAACGTTGTTCTTACCTTCAAAAGTTTTACCATAGTATCGGCTGGTGTCATTACATTTCAAAATGTTTTCCATTTTAAATAAAAGAAAAAAACAAAAAATATTAAATGTAATGTCATAAAGCATGAAACTAGTTGATGGCGCTAGCAGTGAACTGGAAACAAATATTTACTGTTAGCCCAAGACCAAGGCCACCATACTAGACAAACTAAAATTATGAGACGAAAATTACTACGTGATTAGGTAAAGATAAATATGAGAATTATATTTCGCTTTTGCTCTAATCCTCGGTCGTTTGGTCTAAATAACCAACCAGTCTGAACCAGACTGAAAACCTCTGCATGGGCCGAGGGTTTCAGTCCGGTCGGGGTACCGTATACAATGCTTATTTTTAGTCATTTTAACTCGACCAGATGAAAATAATAAGTAACGTGATTTCGTGACGTGTTTTTGCACGCCTGACAAAGGTGTTTAATAGCCATTTGTCAGGCGTGAACAAGGCACGTGCTTTTAACGGCTGGGTCATGCCAGTCCTCATGTATACCTTTGGCATACTCAGGTGGACTCAAACTGAGCTCAACGCCCTGGACCGAAAAGTCCGCACAACTATGACGTCCCACAGAAAGCATCATCCGAGATCGTCAGTGATGAGGCTGTACCTGCCGCGGAAACATGGCGGGAGGGGCTTTTTAAGCGCCCTCACCATGCACAATCGCGAGGTGTGCAGCCTCCGTAACTACTTTCTGGCGAGATCGGATGAGTCAATCTACACGGACGTCATTAGTTGTAACAAAGGACTTACCCCTCTATCCTTACCCAACGAGCAATGGCAGGACCCGGGAGTACTGAGCGTTTCCGACCGAGAGACCGTATGGAAGGAGAAAGAGCTCCACGGGAGGTTCTACAAGGCTCTACACGAGCCTTTCGCAGATACTGTTGCCTCCCTTAACTCGCTACGTTTCGGTGACCTCTTTGGGGAAACCGAAGGTTTTGTCTGTGCGATACAGGATCAGGTTATTAAGACGAACAACTATCGGAGATACATCCTAAGGGATGGCACCGTCGTCATCTGTCGAGCTTGTCGCCATCCCGGGGAGTCGCTTCGGCATGTTATCTCCGGTTGTTCCATGCTTTCTAACTCTGAGTATCTGCATAGACACAACCTAGTAGCCAGAATCCTACACCAGGAGCTCGCTCTGAAATACGGCCTCGTGGAACGGAAACTGCCGTACTATAAGTACTCTCCGGAGGCCGTGCTCGAAAATGACCGCGCCAGGCTCTATTGGGACCGGTCCATCATCACGGACAGGACGATTGTCGCGAAAAAACCTGATATCGGGTTGATGGACCGGGCACAGTCGCGGGTATTTTTGGTCGATATTACCATTCCATATGACGAGAACCTCGTGAAAGCCGAAACAGATAAAAAGACGAAGTATCTGGACCTGGCTCACGAGGTGACCGACATGTGGGGTGGTGTGCCGACCGAAATTATCCCGATAGTCGTGTCTGCCAATGAGTTGATCCTAGTCAGCCTCTCCGAACATCTGAGGCGACTGGGACTCCGGGACGGAGCGCTCCAAGCTCTAATGCAGAAAGCGGTGCTCCTCGATACCGCCCGCATCGTCCGCCGGTTTCTCTCCCTTTCACCCTAACCCTCGGCCGTTTGGTCTCCCCTACCGAGGGCTTCCGTCTGGTTGGGTCCTATTTATATATGTATTATATACAATATTTTTATCTATATGTTTATTTTTATTCATAATATTTATTTTATATATGCAATATATATCTATATGTTTAATTTTTATCTATAAACCCAACCAGGCGAGAAAACAAATAAATAACCCCAAAAAATAATAATAATAAAGCTTTATTTAAACAAATAGTAGAGAACAAAAACATCATTTACAGTATTAAGCACAGTAAGTACGTTTACAAATCAAAACAGGTATCAGTCAAAACTAGGAAGAACATCTATAAGATTTATTTTATTATAGGTTTTAAATAAATTTTGAGTTTTATATTAACAATAACTCAACTCAGCAGCCTTGACTGTTGCACAAATGGGTAGGTGGACGGACCTGTAGTACGGACGGTGAAATACCACGTCCCCCATAGAAGACAGGTGTACAGTGGAAGTGTTCCATTTCTGCGTTTCCTCTGGTGAGAGACGTAGCTGGCTTTGGACTATCGCAATTCGTGCAACAGCAAAAGTTTCTGCGTGGTGGAAAGATGGATTTGTCTTCTAATTTATTTTAAATATAGGAATGTGTAAAGTTACTTAGAAATGAAGAACCAGTCTGGGGGATATCGACAGAGACCTTTGATAGCTCTACAGATGAATAGTCAACAGAAGGTCTAATAACGATACGTGCAACAATATAGTGAAGTATTACAAGAGATTATATTAATACAAGATCCATCTTATTATTTTACCTACCGCTCATCCTGTTAAATATTTTTTTATAGAAATTATTATAATATTTTTATTTTTAAAACCCAAAATATTTCAAGGTAATAATATTAATAATAGACTTGTTGCATTTATATCAATTTCTTACAAAATTAAGCTTTGCCATATCTGTAATTACATAATTTAGTTTTATACCACCCACATTGAAACACTCTGTAGTCTATGCTAGTTTTTTTTTATCTGTGGTCACGTCATTTTCACTGCATTAACGATATGCGATTGCCGTGCTTGCGAAAAGACAAAACAATAACAAAAACAAACGCCCTTACAACTCCGCAAGCGGCGCACGCCTACAACGGCTATTATGGTGGACAACGTGAAGGTGAACTACCAATCGGAGGTTTACGATGGCACCGGTGGTACTAAATACGTGCTGAACCACCTCGTCGACACACCGGCTGACGAGACACTCCAAGGGCAGGGAGCGGAAGGCGAGCTGTCCTTCAACCGCTACTGCCCACACTGCAACCTGAACTTTGACGATAAAGTGGAATACGAGCACCACAACGTCGAAATGCACGCTCAGAAGAAGAATCTCGCGTGCGGCTTCTGCGAGACGGTGTTCCGACGCCAGGACCACCTGAAACGGCACATTCAAAGCCTGCACACGAATGTTAAGTACTACCACTGTCCCGTATGCGACAAGGACTGCAAGCGGCAAGACATGATGCTGAGGCACATCAAAAAGAAACACGGCACCGAAACCGAGGTGTTCCGCTGTAGAGAATGCCCCTACCAGTGCAACACCCTCTCCAACCTGGAGAAGCACGAGTACACACATCTCGTGACTGAGAGGCACACATGCCCGCATTGTAAAACTACCTTCAAACGGCGCGACCACATGGTTCGGCACATCAAGTCACAGCACTTGAACCAACTCGTTGTCTGCCCTATATGCCAGCAGACGTACAAGAGGAGGGACCATGTGGTCAGGCATGTGCGGGAGAAGCACAAGATGGGCTATTTGAATGGAAAACTAGTGAAGTCGGCGGATATAATTTGAAAACCGTCAAATCATTAATTGGTCTACTTTTAAAGATAAGTTAGCTTTTTAAGCCTGTTAGATTAATTGCAAAAGTTTAAATTTAACACCACACTGATGTGTGTGTGCTAATTATTGAAATGTAAATATGGACTACAATATGATCTACATTAAGTGTAATTAACAATGTAAGGGGGTTGGCTAATACCATGGCGCAGCCTATGGTATTGTTTAATCAAATTGATAGAGAAATTATAAATGTAAGTGTTTTAAAAATAAATTGTTAGGATATTTTTGTTATCTATATGAGATTGGCAGGAAAATATGTAGTATATCTTTTCACCAATAGCCATAGCATATTTATTATAAAGGTCTAAAAGTTGAAAAACTTCTCTAAAAATGGGGCAATCTGTAGTTATTTCTGGTGGAATATTGTTTAACATTATCGAAAGTCCTACATGCGAACGAAAAGACAATATGATGTACAATTCAAACTTTGCTTAGATGATAACCATATGTCCTAGGATCAGATCTTTATAAAACCAACATGAGAGTTGAATGCGTTCACCAATGTGGATATTTTATTAATTATATGATTGGTTGTTGCTACTGACACATACCGATATCTATTAAAAGTAGTATCATTATTTCAAAAGCCTTACAAATCACCTTTGAAGGGAAATATGTTATTATTTTTGAATGTTTGTCATAAATTTCTATGAAATAATAATATAATATTATTAGGACACATTTTTACACAACATTCTCTAGTTCCAAACTAAGCAACACTTGTATGCGTACTAGATAACTGATAAACATACTTAAAAATATTTCTTTTGTTAATAAATACAAATTATTAAACGGTTTTATTTAGCTCGACCCATACGGAATTTGTTTGTTTATTTATTTGGGTTAAAAATAGAAATTGAAATTTAAGCACCTTGCCATTGTCAGATTGATCTGAAATTTGGTACACACGTTTAATTTAGATGACAATACAATATTAACAAAAAAAAAAACATAAAATAAAACCGTTTAACTTAAAAGTTTTTTAAAGTAATTATATATGTATAAACACCCAGACACTAGAAAAACACTATGTTCATCACACAATATTTTTCCAGTAGTGGGAATCGAACCCACACCCACTGGCACAGGAGGTTAGCACACTACCCACTATACCATTTAGGTTGTCATTGTCTTAGTGTTGGTTGTCAAATATTGGTGAAATGTACAAAAATAGTGAGTCACAAATACTTTCTTATACACAAGTTGCATTCACATTATGTCAAGTTTCGGCTTTAATACATATTTCAATGAATTAAGCATTCGGCAAAGTGTCGTTCGTTGTGGCGTTCTAAGGGGGAGGCCTATGTTCAACAGTGGACGTCTTGCGGCTGATGATGATGATGATGATGATGATGATGATGATGATGAAGCATTCTGCTTCCCAATTGCATGTCAGTTTGCTGCTGATAATATGATATGAGCTTTAAATGTTCATAAAATTTTCTGCTTGTTTCTTCGATATTTGTCTATGTTATTCCAATAGCCTGCAAGAATGTTTTCTTGATTTTTCGGGTTCCATACACAAAGGGGTAAATTAGGACCCGATTACCGCTGTCTGCCTGTTTCTCTGTCCATCTGTCAGAGAAACAGGTATGGTATGGTATCTCCTGAACCGTGTTAGTTGAAATTTTCACAGATGATGTATTTCAGTTGCAGCTATAGCAACAAATATTAAAAAACAAAATAACAAAATATTTAAGTGGGGCTCTTATACGACAGACATGTTTTTTTTTGCCGTTTTTATAGATAATGGTATGGACACTTCGTGCGCGAGTCCGACTCGCACTTGGCCAGATTTTTTTTTGTAAGTGCTTGTGATGTAAAACGAGTGCAGTGACTGAATTATATCTTTGGACGAAACAAAGTATTTCTTTCAATAAGTGATAAAAATGAAATATGCACTCCATTGCATTGAAGTGCATCTAATTTTATTTTTTGTTTATAACGCCCTTGCAGAACACCAGCATCTAACATACTTATTTCTAACTGTGACCTGTATGCAAAGGCATTTGAAAATACTAGGCTCTAAACTATGAGACTATTAGTCTAGGACTCATGTATAGTATGACTAGGTATACAGCGTGTCGTTACCATCGCGACAATAAATGAACACACATATAGGGGATAACTTTTTAAAGTTGTATTAAACATTTAAATTCCTTAAACATCAATATTTACAGAGTTATTAAATTTTCCAAAACAAAGAATTTTAGAACATCCTTACCTATAAAAGCGTAACGCAAAGTTCATTTGTAAAGGTCACAAAGCATATGAATGGGTTGAATGAATTTAAAAGAGACAAAACATACTGTTAGAAGGAGAGGCTTGTAATACGACGCTGTGGTGCGAGTTGTATAGGATGTTACAAATTTTGTTTCTCTTACTTAATTAGTTTGTTTGAAAAATATTTTTTTTTAATTATGGATTTTGTTTAACGTTAATATTTTTTTATGATTATTGGCAAGTAGCGTTAGACGTGTGTTCATTTATTGTCGCGATGGTAACGACACGCTGTATATAGTATATAGTATTTTTACCGAGTTGTAATATTTATTTCTTATGTTAAGGCCACCGCCTACATCCGGCTGTGTTTTGAATGAAATAGACTATAGAATAATATAAAATTCAAAATTAAAAGATTGCACTGTTGGATATATAATTTGGACATGATTTTATACTTTTGAATCAACGAGGTATCGCGTTTGCAACTTGAAGGACTTTGTAACTAACAGACAGTATTCTATTTATTTTATTGTCTAACCATCTAAGTTTTAAAATACGAATTTGTTTTAATTCTATCTTTGGAGGTTTTTTTTAAATTTTTTTTTGCTTTAATTTCAACTTTGCATAAGTTTAAATGTTAATTCATTTACTTATTACATTTGCTTCAATATAAGATTTCAAAGACTTGATTACCAAGATTTGTGTCAACATTAACAAGGAATCTCGCAGAAGCGACAGTCGGTAGATGTAGAGAACTACCACGCACTAGATGGCGCTACTCTTCCACAAAAGTTTTTTTTAATTACAATATCCACTTTTAGATAGGTTGGCAACACATGTGCAACCCACTAGGGATTACATTTTACATCAGGTGATGTTAAGCGAGTACAAATGATAAGAGACGCGCATGCCTTTAATGCAGTACATGTAAAATCCGAGTATTTACTCCAATGAAATACTGTACCGCTGAAACATAGTTGTTAATTACAATTTAACTGACAACTTACTTTTTTATGTAAGAACATGCCTAGGGAACTGGCGGTTTATTTTATGTTAAGTGATAATCCCGCCCAATCTCAAGTATACAAAGTTACTCTATGATCCCGCCTACGGACATTTACATGAATCTATAGTGGGCCCCGGTTACCTCCCTTAACAGACGAAACGCGAAAACAATACCTCCACTTCTCGCCGGTCTTTTAATAGCGTGACGGCCCGAGCCGAGGTTCCCTCGGGAGCCCTCGAGCTTAGTCACCATAACGCGTAATAATAATACGCGAGGTTCAGGCTAGGCGCCTCGAGCGCCCGGCCACCTCAAGTCCGTCGGATCTGTAAAGGCCCCTAAGGCCAACAGTGGCTCATCCAGCCAAATAAAAAAGCCGGTCTTTTGTGAGGCCGTCGTACATACCCGGACGGGCCTGTCCATTCGTGCAACAGGGAAGGCTGCTGCCAAGAGCTACCACAGGGAAGCCGTGATAGCTCAGTGTTCGAGCGCTCCCCTTGAATTCGTTACGAGCTCGATCAACCAAAGTTCAAATCCGGGTACTAGCACCAACGAAATGGTTAATTTTAAATGCTTATTTATCACGTGCTCAGCGGTGAAGGGAAACTTGAGTAAACCCGCATATTTTCGAAATAATAAAAAATATTTGAAGTCCGCCACTCTGCCGTGAGGTCGCGCACAAGTATAACTATAGATTTGTGTGTCACTCAAGTGCTTAATCTTTAGCAAAAAGTCAAATATTGATAAATATCACACTTTACGTGTTCAAACGCTGCATCAGTTGTTTTCACGGTTGCTTTTATGAAAGAATTGAATCACAACGTGCCTATTCAAAACATTATTTTTTTCCGTAGCACAACTCAATTTTTGCTTGAAATATATTATTGACGAGTTCCTTGCCATTTTTAATAATAAAGATACGCATCATCTGCAACCTGAAAAAGATATCGGAAATGTTGGCTGTTATTCTCTTATCAGGTGAATCGCTAGCTTTTTTAGCAAAATGTTTAGAGGCGGTCAAATATTGAAGTTTTCGGTTTTTTTTAACGATGATTTTATATTAATTGCTTTAAAAATTAAGACCCAAGTTTGAAATACGAGGAAAGCGATGTCTGAAGCACGATACACTATACAATTCGAACAAAGAGTACTTTTATATATCTGAATTCGAAATAATTAGAAAATTTATTAATGTATTCTATACCTACCATACATAAATAAATGGTTGTGCAACACTATTGGGTACCCCCACTACCCAACCAGATACAACACATTTACGCCTGGTTTCTGTAAGACTGATCAACGTTGAAATTAACTAATCAGTTGTCAAATGGCTTGTTCAATATCAATTGAGGAAGATTATTAGTACAAGTACAAGAGATCTGTTAAAGTATTTAACTTATTGCAATTATTTTTCTTTTTTTTCAAAATTAGGATCATAATTAAACGTTTTTATACAAAAGTAATATTAGCGACAAGTTCCAATTTGTCGTAAGCTCGTTCACCCGAACAGAAATTGCTCTACTTAATGTGTAAATAAGAATTTATCAAGGAAGTTTTTTTTAGTCTACTTCACTATATTTAGCAAATTGGCAACAGATGGCATTATATTACATACTTCATAGAAAATTTTACATAAGGTTTTTAAAAAAACAAACTTCCTTTGTACTTTGTTGCTTTTTCCAATAGCGGCAAAAATAGTAATTTCTCACGGACAAATATAAAATGGTGTTTGAATCATTATATTTTGTTTGATTATGGAAGTTATAGTGTACCAGCAGGAACACCTTTGAGAAGTAATAGAATATAGATTTGAGCTTCATTTAGATATTACTGTATTACAATTGACAAAAATTTACGAAAATTGAGACGCGCTATAAGAATGAAATGCAAATAGTTTTCTTTATTCTTTTAATTCCGATAAAAAATTATCAACATTCAGAATCTTTAGAAACCAATGCTTAAAATTAAGTTTGTTTTTACGACACAGTCGCAGACAAACGCCGTTTCCTACTTTTCAAAACAGTACAGTAGAAAAGAAATTGTTTCTAAAATCCTGGGGAGTGTTAAAAAAATCACACGGTGTAGTAGAGATGTATTAGGTACATTAATAAATATTGACTTAACTTCACCTTTAAAAATTGATCATTTTTATTCATATTATATTAAATCAGTTACATCAAAAAAAAAAAAACTCAATCGTCGGAAATATGTCTAATGAAAAATGATAACCATAATAATGTCTGGTCTAACTAGTTTATCGGTATTTTAGACAAATACTGAATAAAACCTAAATAAATAAAACAAAAACATTTTCACTATAAAAATATAAAATGGAAAAGAAAAACCCTAAAATTATCTAAGCTACCTAAAGCTTTCATTTTCACTTCATCTCTACGGGAGTGAAAAGGCACAAGAAAGTTTAAATTCATAAAAATTAGATTTTGGTTTTCCTGATTTGTTCGAGAATATTCTATCAAAGTAATACTTTAATCGAATGAGTCGGTACATAATATTATTCTTATGCTACACTAAAACAAGATAAGTAAATTAAATGTGGACATTTTGTATTACAAGTTAGTCAATTATGCAATCAGATTCATACATTCAGATAATCGGACATGCCGAATAACAAACATGAAAGGAATCTGATAAGTTCCCACCAAAAATCATTCATATGTTCAAAAAACATACAGCATTTATCTCAATACCTTTTTCTTTTCATAAATTTGTAGGACACACATTTTCACTCAATATTATTTATTAAGAGATTTAAAAAAAATAACTGCTTACTAATAAGATAAAAATTTGTAATTTTAATATTTTTAACTATGAAAATTGTATTTGTCCAGCTGCCAATAAGAGATGAAATGAAGTATTTTGTTAATATTCATATATAAAAAAAAAACTATTGTTGTTCTACCTTTTTGTGTTAAAATATTTATTGTTTTATGTTTGCAAAAATATAGAAATATTTAGCCTACTTAAATTCCTTTGAGATTATAAGTTCAACAATTCACAATATGAGGTACACATTACTTATGAGTATATCTATTCATTCATTGTAATAAATTCATAATACATTTAGAAAAAATTAAAGTGATAATTTTGTACACCCAGAAATCTTTATTGTTCTGACGGGTTGTGTTTAGTGGACACTGAATTAAACTATTTAAATTTATGTATTCCTTTCTGTAACATAATGACTAATGAAAGGTTTACAAATAAAGGTTTATGACAAGAAAATAAACTTTGATTTCAACCCAAACAAGTTTGTATAGAACAGGCATTCTACATCATCAAGATATAACAATATTGAAATTTTTCTAAGAACAACAAAACCCACAGTATCATTTCACAATGACCTTAACAGACAGATAATTTAACCTACATTTGTTTAACCACTCAATACTTAAACTCTTAACTCCTCTCAATTTGAATCTTTTGACATAAATTTGCAATTAACTAAACACTAAAAATTAAGTAAATTAACTAAGTTTGACTGCCAAACAATGCTAATTTTTCAATGCATCCGGATTATCTCAGAGATAAACCTTAAATTTAACTTTAAATGTTCATAAGATTTACTACCGATTCTATTTTTTTTACACAATTAATCTTTATGACAAAAGATCATACAACTTGCTACAAACAATAATTCACTTTTCTAAACCTATATTTAACACTCAATTTTAAGCTAGGGCATTATGCGTTTCCCTTAATTTGGTTAGTAACAAACACAGGTTTTACCTCCACTTTGACAACAACTGCAAATTTGTCACTAACATTTAACAAAAGATGCGATTATAATCCAATTTATCAATATCACCCAACCGATCATAACCTCTTGTGAATGCGACTTAAATGAGTCTGTAGAGATTTTTTCGCTTTGAACTTTAAAGAGCAGTGGTCGCACTGAAAGGTGGCATTTTTAAATGTATGCTTATTGAGGACATGTTTTGCGAGGAGCTCCTTGTTCGTAAACTTCTTCTGGCACTTCAGGCAGGAGTTTTCGGCCATCATCTGCTTCAGTTTAAGGTGTCGTCGCAGGCAATAGCGCGATTTGAATGTGATCGCGCACGAATCGCATTTGGACTTGCTCTTCAGTTGGTGCCGCTTTTGACAGTGAATGTCTAATGTGGTCTTCTTCGTGAAGACAATCTGGCACTCGTTGCATTCGAAGGTCGCCTCCGCCTGCTGCGCTTGGTGGTTGGACGTCATGTGGCGAAAGAAGTGGCTGTTTTGCGTGAACTTGACCCTGCAGTATTGGCAGGTGTAAATCAGTTTGCGCTCATCGACAGCGCCCTCGGGCGCTTCTTCGAGCTTCTTCCGTAGCGCGGGCCGTGTTATGCGAATCCTGGGACCAGTCCTCGTCTTTTTATTCATAACTAAACCGTTTCTGGACTTGTTACACTTTCGCACGGGCTGTTTACACGTAAGCAAAGGCAGTGCCAGTGCCTCATCAGCCCCGTACGACAATTTGCTATCACGAACGTGAGTAATGGAAAGCTTTGCTGTTTAGGGTCATATCTACTCTAGATACGCGAATAAATAAACACAAACAGAATACAATTTAGAACACTCAGCGTCGAAATATTTGACAAACGTCAAAATATGTTTGCAATGGAATGTCAGTGTATTCAAAATTGTACTACTCGATGACGCGTGGACTAAACTGTTAATGAATGTTATTTGTTTGTTATCATGTAAAGCTATTTTTATAAATATTTTCCCAAATCTTACAATTGATTATTTAAATTTTCTATGATAAAGATAAAACACATGACAGAAAAGTTGTTCTTAGTAGCATAAACATATTATTGCTTGTTAAAATAATTTTTACTACCAGTGTGAAGAGAATTTTTTTTTAATATTGAAGTTATAATTCTTTTGGCGCATTTCGAAAAAAATATGAGAGTAACATTTTTACGAAGCTCGCTCACCGATCTCCATAAAGCGACATGATGAGGTTGGTCGCAACAAACTAACCAACTTAACGGTATTACCATGGCAACCAATAACAACATAAAATGTGTATCACTACATAGTATAAAACAAAGTCGTCCCCTGTCTGTCTGTCCCTATGTATGCTTAGATCTTTAAAACTACGCAACGGATCTGTATGCGGGTTTTTTTACTAGATAGTGATTCAAAGGGAAGGTTTATATGTATAATACATTGCACCCGCGCGAAGCCGGGGCGAGTCGCTGGTTTACCTATCAATTTGAAGAAAACCGTTATCAATTGCATTTATTGTCTTTTTTATATAACTGTACTAGCACTGGGGATATTTTTTTTATTTATTTTTCTTTTCTTAGCTAAAGTATAACATCTTAGGTCAATAAGCAAACATACTTTTTTATGTGAGGTGAGAAGCGAGCTGGTACACCTGATGTTAAGTGACAACCGCCGCCCATGGACATTCGCGTCTGTGCCACAATTGCTGATGCATTGCCACCTTTTCATAAAGTGGGCTCCGGTTATACCACTGACTCACCAGACGAAACGCAGAACTATAACACTCCCACTTCTTCCCCGAAGGGACTTGCCCATTCGTACAACAGCAAAGACTGTTGCATGGTACTTCCGTCGAAGACCTGCAGGCCATTTTAAGTTACAGTCGAATCTTCTGAGCAGCTTCACCTCAGTAGAGAAGTTCAATATGTAAGTATCAGCCTATATATGTCCCACTGCTGGGCAAAGGCCTTCTCACTACAGAGGGTATTAGGGCATAGTCCACCACGCGGCCCTACGGCGGATTGGCTGACATTTTTTTTTTAATGTGAAAAGTTGCCAAGCGAACGGTTCACCTGATGTTAAGTGAATACCACCGCCCATGGACATGGAACACCCGAGGGTTCCAGATGCGTTGACAACCTCTTGAAAATTGGGCTCCGGCCACCAGACAGAACGCGGAAGTATTATACTTCCACTACGCCAGTCTTCTGTGAGGTCGTGGTACTTATCCCGACGAGCCTGCCCATTCGTGCAACAGCCGAGGCTGCTGCGTGGTCCTACCACCGTAAAGACGTCACATAATTATCTTCGAAATATTTTTTGTTATTATTTCGAAAATATGCAGGTTTCCTTACGATGTTTTTCTTCACCACTGAGCACGTGATAAGTCAGCACTTAAGATTAAAAATTATTTTGGTGCCGGCACCAAATTCAGGGGATCGAACTCAGGTTGCTTGAATTAAGAGCGTTCATTATGTGATTGTATAGTCATATACAAAGAGTATTGTGAAAAACGCCAGTCTGATCTGATCAAGTTATCATTGATTTATGGATTGCGTAACATACCTAATATTATTAACATATCAATAAAATCCGATATGAAACAGTCACGTAGATTTTGTAACACGTATTTCTTTCCGACATTCATACTTTTAACAATCGACACGTACTGTAACTATGTATTTTGAAAATTAAAAAAATAGCAGATTGTTTTTTTTTTTTTTCAGATTGCTTGCATAGTTTTTGTTTTAATTTTAGTACTTATTCGTGGAAAGATGCCAATAAGGTCGATTTTAGTTTAATAAAGAAAAATATTTAAGAAGAAACCGCAAGAAACGGTTCAGTCCATAAATATTTTTTTGTATGTAGCGCTTTTGTATTCTATTAAATTATTCGGTATTTACACTTAAAAAGTAAAAGCAACCAATATTAAAGTATGAATTTCCCCATTTAGCTATAGTATACATTTATTTGGCCACACATACGAAATTTAACGGATATGTTAATAATACTCATTATAAGTTATAAGATCTGGTGGTGAATACTGAAAGAAGTTTAAGTAGCACTAGCAGTACTAGAGCAGCTAAGTGGCTAGAGCGTCAGGCCGCGAATGCCGAAGACGTGGGTTCGATTCCCACAGCGGCGACAATCTTTTCGTACTTTTTCTACACGTTTTAATGTTCAATCTTAAGTGCAGAGATTAACACTATAAAAAAAAAAACTTTAAAACTAGCAGTACTACTTAAATTAGCAGTAGTTTTCCGGTGGTAGGACCAGGCAACAGTCGCCGCTGTTGCACGAATGGGCAGGTTCGTCCGGTTAAGTACCACGACCACACAGAAGACCGGCGTCAAGTGGCAGTATAATACTTTCGCGTTTCGTCTGGTGGGTGAGGTGGCCGGAGCCCAATTTTCAAAAGGTTGTCAACGCATCTGCTACCTTTGGGTGTAGCAGTTGTCCATGGGCTGTGGTATTCACTTAACATCCGGTAAACCGCCCGCTCGCTTGGCAACTTTTCACATAATGAAAAAAAAAAAACGTCACTGTAGCCGTATGTAATAATAACTTATTATTATATACTCCGATCTATATCCCATACTTCACCCAGGTTTGAAAGTAAACTTACCATAAAACATATGTAATAAAACTGCTCAATGCTCATCTTAATCCTTCTGCTCTGATACCACCTAAGTGGGGTCGGCTCAATATGTATCATGTTGTAAATGGTTTTGGATATATGTATATTTAGTTTATGCGAATACTATATAGGCCATGCGGGGCCCCCGTGACGACAGTGGCGCCCTGGGCACGTGTGCCTTTATGGTAAAAACGGTACTGCCCATATCCGGAACAATTATCTCTGGATCACACAAATTCCGGTCCCGTGTGGGAATCGAAGCCACAACCCCAGCACTGTAGCCAATAGATTGGAAACTGCGCTAGCGAGTCATAACTAAATTACTGTAATAAAACTACTGATATTGAAAATAATCTAACGCCTTTATCGATTGCAAGATCTCACCGTTGCGCAAACCTAATGATGCCTGAGTATATATACGGATGGTGGTGAAAAGACGGTCACAGCTGGACAGTGTACTGCGTGATGGTGGCGTGGAGTGTGACCGTCGCATTTGCCGTCCTGGTGGGGGTCACCGCCGACCAGACGACTTTGCAGGTGGACACGAAGCAGGGCACGGTGGAGGGCGCCCTCTCTGCCAATGGACTGTACTTCGAGTTCCTGGGAATCAGATATGCGGTTCCCATCAGATTCAGGGTGAGTGTATATTCTTCCTTTTTTATGTGTGAAGGTGGCAAACGAGCTGGCGGTTTACCTGATGTTAAGTGATAACCGCCGCCCATGGACATTCGCAATGCCGTAGGTTTGCGGATGCATTGCCACCTTTTTAATAATGTGAGCCCCGGCTACCTCACACACCGGATGAAACGCACAAGTATGACAGTTCCATTTCAGGCGTGTCTTCTTTGAGGTCTTGGTACTTACCCGCATGGACCTGCCCAATCGTGAAATCTCCGAAGCTGTCAACAGTCTTCTATATCTAGTATATTTATATCCATTCTATCTAGTATATTCATAAATAACGATATTATTATTATTCAAGATAAAGATAATTATATTTACTCAACACTACGTATTCTATAACTGTGGTAGGACCACGCAGCAGCCTCGGCATTTACACGAATGGGCCGACTCGTCCAGTTAAGTAACATGACCTCACAGAAGACCAGCATGAAGTGGAAGTATAGTACTGTCGCGTTTCGTCTGGTGAGTGAAGTAGCCGGTGCCCAAGTCACAAAAGGTTGTCAACGCATCTGCAATTCACGGACGTAGCTGATGTCCATGAGCGGCGGTATTCACTTAATATCAGGCGAACCGCCTGCTCGCTTGGCAACTCATCATATAAAAGAAATTTGAGGAATCAGATTTTAGCATTGGGTCCTTTTAAACGTGTTAAAACTCTCTTAGTAATGTTGCCGTGTTACAGGCCCCCGAGGAACCGCCGAGCTTCTCAGGCGTGTACAAGGCCGACAGCAGGGAGGTGCTCTGCCCCCAGTTTCCAGCACCAGATCCCCTGGCCTCACCCAGCGACAACGAAGACTGCCTAGTCCTCAACATTTACCTGCCTTCGCACCTCACCAACGCCACTCTGCCGGTGATGGTGTTCCTCCACGGAGGGGGCTTCGGAGTTGGCTCGGGCTCCCCCACCTTCTACGGGCCGCAGTATTTAGTCAGCCACGGGGTGGTCCTGGTCACGGTCAACTACAGGCTGAACGCGTACGGATTCCTCAACCTGGGGATCAAAGAGGCGCCGGGGAACGCCGGGCTGAAGGACATAAGGGCGGCGCTGAGATGGATCCGGGAGAACATAGCCAATTTCGCCGGGGACCCTGGAAACGTGACGGTATTCGGCGAGGGCAGCGGCGGCTTGGCCGCGATATACCTCACCATGTCTGAGTCGACCAAGGGTCTGTTCCACCGCGTTATATCGGAGAGCGGGGCGCCGTTCGCGCCGCAGTCTTTCGACACAAATCCGTTGAAAACGGCCATCAAAATCGGGAAGACGTTGGGCGTGAACACGAGGGACCCGTACGATCTCTACGAATTGTTCTCCGAGGCCGAGGTCGCTCGAGTGGAGGAGGCTGTCGGCAAGCAGATGAACGCTCAATCGGTGTTCGTGCCATCACTGGAGGAGACATTCGATGATGAGGAACCTTTTCTGCTGGACACACCATTCAAATACCTCACAAGCGGCGGCATCATCAACCCCGTGCCGATGATGATCGGCCTAAACACGGTAGAAGGGCTGACCAGCATGTTAGACTACAACACGATCAGCAGTCAATTGGACAGGATAAAGAACGAAGACTATTCAGCGTTAGACCAGAGGAGTCTAACGCTCACACCAAAAGATCGCGAGGAAGTGAGAAACATCCTAATGGAGACGTACTTTGTCAACGCGACTAGCGACGAAACCGTCCTCGGTGGTATCATAAACCTCAACACGGACTTTTGCTACGTCGGGCCGTTGTCTTTATTCACGCACCTGTACTCCAACGTGACTGGGCTGCCGGTCTTCGCGTACATCTTCGACTACCTGGGCAACAGGAACCTGGGGAAGATACTCACCAACAGCAGCATGGAGGCCACCTCGAACCGTGACGAGCTATTCTACTTGTTCGAGCTGGAGCGCCTCCCGCTGCCGATGGACGAAGACGACGCGCGGATGATCACCTTCATGACCATGATGTGGACCAACTTCGCAAAATACGGGTGAGGCTTTTGATGGTTTCTAACTTTTACTCACGCAACAGAACACGCAAAAGAATCACTGTAACACGAATGGATAGGTTGTCAGGTGGAGTACCACAGTTTCGCAGTGTAGCAGCGTGAAGTGGATAAATTAAAATGAAAATTTTCGTTTATCCAACATTCGAATCAAATATTCAACAATGATTATGAACCACCACTGGGGGTAGAATAGCAAGAGTAATTTATTCTACTCTGAATTGTGTTTATGGCCTGTAAATGTTAGAATGTGTTTATAATTATTATTAACTTAACGCTCAAATAAGTGTACACCGCTTCCAGTATAAACCATAAGGACGTTTATCTTTCAATGATGTAACCCGACAGACTAGATGTGTTCTATATAATTAAAAATATATGTTCTATAAATTAAATCTGGCTCGAAGGACCAGTGCCATAACCTTACAACAATTACGAAGTTTGGTAAACTGCTTTATCCAATTTAAACAATTACTACGATTAACGGTAATTAAATAGGTAATGCTGAAAGGAAAGAGACAGGTGACGTCCTTCTGTATTCTAACCGATGTCCTAGTCCACTGTACTAGCCCAGTACTAGGTACTAGGTATTTCGGTGGTAGGGCACTGCAGCAGCCTCGAATGTTGCACGAATGGTCTGGTGAGTGAGGCGGCCAGAGACCTATTTTCAAAAGGTTGTCAATGCATCTGAAACTTCGGGTGTGGCAGATGTATTCACTTAACATCAGGTGAACCATCTGCCCGCTTGGCAACTTTTCATATAAAAAGAAGGTACTAGCCCAACCATAACTTAATATTTTATGGTTTTTTTATATATTTTCAGCTCACCAACTCCTGATTCGAGAAATGGCGAATGGCTACCCTACCCCCACCACCTGGCCATCGACTTGGAGCCTCAGTACGTCGCAGAACTTACGCCAGAGCGCGCGTATTTCTGGCGCAGCATCTATTACAAGTACGGTGCGGATGTGCCACGGAAATAACAAAAAACGAAAACTATTAAGAGATAGCTTAATTTATTCTACTTTCGATAAGTTTAAATTATTGTATGTGTAAAGCAAAGCACAAATTAAAAGCGATTTATGAAATTCCAAAATAGTGTTTTATTTTCACAGTTTCTTCAATATAGTATTATAATCACATCTGTCTGGATGAACTTTATACGTAAACTAGCGGACCCGACAGACGTTGTCCTGAAAACACTACTAAAATCCGAAAACAACGGGAGGTTTCCTGGAGGTTCAGACTCGGTAGAATAATCGTTTATTGAAATAAAAACAAACTTTTTATCTTTGGAAAAAATATTCCCTAAAAAACAAAACGTGTTGACAATGCCATAGTCATTCATAAATGCGTCGTATACTTTTGAAACAAACTTGTGCGCGTATTAGTTATGAATGATCGCGCGTAAAGTAAATGAGTTGCCCATAAATCACGCACTTTTTGAGATAAGTTAAAATGAATATAATTAATTAATTAAGAGTGATTTTATATACTAAATAAGAGTAATTTCTCCCTGTATTTGTAATAATAATGCTTTAATGCTGTGGCCTATGAACCATCTCAAGTTATCAATTTATATGATGCTATTGTTATGATTAAACGTGGTAGAACGTTTTCTTCCGTATTTAATATCTTATAAGCAATATATGCACACTATATTTAAATAAATCACTTTTATGCCTTTAGGTATTCAGTCTGTCAATAAATTTCTTTAGCTCCTGTAACTTTTATCAAGTTGAGCAAAAGTTTAAAAATAAAACAATAATTACACATCACATTTTTATTAAATGTCTACATCAATACCATTACAAACTTGTGCGTGCCATAATTATATTTTAACGATTATCGATACAAACTAAGATACACAATAAAATTAAACGCGTTAATTTAAACAATAATTGTCTATGTTATTTATTCAAAAGTAAAGTCATAGAGAAATAGAGAGCCATAAAAATAAAAGCATGGCGGACTATCGTGATCAGCTGTTTCCGTCCCGTAAAACGAATAATTCTTGCGAAATGAATTAGTCTTGTGATGGTTGATTTTATTAACAATCTTACGCCCGGTTTCTGAAACACAGATCATTGTAGAAAGAAACTAATCAGCTGTCAAATGGCTTTTCAAATCTTGTATCTTGTATTAACTGATGTTTTTGCTTTCAGTCCCGAGACTATTAAAGCTTCATCGGACGCAGAACCGGTGGGCTAGCCAGAACCCACGGGTTTGGGCCCTCCGCTATGGGTAGGGTCGCGCATGTGCTCATGCGTGCGTTTAATTATGGTGTGTCATCTAAGGGCCATCGAGGTCGTGGTTCGGACCGAGACCCCGACGACTTTTCAAATGTTATTTGAGTTGCCATTAAGGTAGCTTTTACAAATTGTTTGAAATTATGACTAATTGCTTGAGTATTGACTAATTGCTAAAAATCACGGACCATTTATGATCAATTCGGACCACTGTTTTAGAGTTCAAATTTTACCATTTGGGCCACTTTATAGATGGGACCAAAGAACTTTTTAAAGAATAAGATTATACGATTTTAGTATGGGTTACATGATAACAGATATTTATAGGAATTTCATACAAAAATTAGTTGACGTCGAAAGTTTGTAAAATCTCCGTAAAGAGTCAAAGTACAATTAAACTATTCGCTACGCATTAATGCGGTTATTTTAAGTCTGTTCACTAATTATTAGAAGAATTAGTATATACGGTAGCCAATATGCCACTAATTACTTATTGTGAGTTTGACAGTAGCCCATAAATGTTTTGCGGTAGCTGATGCACGCTTGGAATAATAAATATCAGTGGAAATTCTTTAACCGCTCTTATCCATACTGAATATTATAAATGCGAAAGTAACTCTGTCTGTCTGTCTGTCTCGCTTTCATTCCAAAATTTTTTAATTGGGAAAAAGTGCTGTAAAGGGTTGAAAGATATTTATTTAAGGGCTTCAACGCGAGCGAAGCCGCAGGTGAAAAGCTAGTGTAGAAAATGATTGGGCAATGGAACTCTGAATGCAGAAGGAGACAGCCATTCTGCCATGAAAAAAAATACGTCTAACAAATTATCTTTACCATTGTTTAAGAAATATACGCTTTCTTCTTTGAAGATTTCTATAAATACATATTAATATATAAATTTGCACAAATGTGACAGAATAAAATTTAAAATTTTCAACAACTTGTTTTAATATTTTCCTTTCAAAAATATAGCGATTTTATGGGAATATTAAGGCACTGAAATTAGGTAAAAATTACTTACATATTTAGTCTCACATAATTCTCTATTATAGGTAATTATTAAATAGATAATACTCTACAGATATATTATGTCTACTTTTATTTATTCAAGAATTTTTAAGGCACCTATTTCCATTAATTGAAATTAATCTCATGCAGTAATAGACGTAGCCATTACGTGTCAAATTCAAAGAACATTTAATTATTAGATATTAGCATGGACGCACTATAGTATAAAAATATCATTAGGTAGGTTAGGTTACGTAATTCATTTTCTAACAATTTATATGATATAGACCAACGATATTTTATATTGAATTATAGTTATAGACAGTTTTAACAATTTTTAATTTTTACCCGACTTCAAAAAAGGAGGAGGTTTCTCAATTCGACCGTAGATATTTTTTTTTTTTTTATGTGTGTTCGTGGATTCGACTTCGTCGCTTATGAACCGATTTTGAGGATTATTATTTGTCTGCAAGTAGATATCCCAAGGGTGGTACCATAATAAGAAAATCCGGATCTGATGATGGCATCCACGAGAAATCGAGGGCCGTCATTGAATGTTATAGGTATTAACGAGGTTTTTTTTAATTTTCTGATTGAAGTCGGTTTTTTTTTGTTAAAAATTATACTTGTTCTTATTTTGATCGCAACCAAAACCTTGCACGTTTGTACAAATCTTTATTAATATGGAGTGTAGAATATAAGGAGCTCAATCTATAATAAGTGTCCAACACCTTAACTATAAATGAGGGAGTACAAAGATGGCGAAACATTGTTTTTAAGTTGGGTGACTCCGTGGCGCAATTGCCAAGGTATCGGCTACGGCGTTGGGGGTCCTGGATTCGGTTAGTTCGGATAGTTGTTTCGAATATGGACGTTTGTCCATGTGGAATTTTTGTATGTAAAACGTCCTTACAACACATGTCGACCCCCCACTAGATGGAGTGACGACCTGTGCAAATGTGCGAGAAGTCGATGGATGCAGGTGGCTCAGGATCGTACTTCGTGGCAGTCTATGGGGGAGGCCTATGTTCAGCAGTGGACTCAAACATGCTGAAATAATGATGATGATGATGAACACATGGATGGTGTTATCCTAAAGTAAGGGTTGTAATGGTTTTTCAATGTTTTAAAAAAAAATATGATAAACATCTTTGTGGGGACACATAATAGATACTACTCCTTGTACTCTACACAACCTATGGCAAATGGCAATTATATACAATAAATTTATATTTTAATACTATAGAATTGCTCTTACCTTAAACATTTTTAATTTTAACCGACTTCAAAAAAGGAGGAGGTTTCTCAATTCGACCGTAGAGACTTCGTCGCTTATGAACCGATTTTGACTATTATTATTTTTCTGAAAGTAGATATCCCAAGGGTGGTACCATAATAAGAAAATCCGGATCTGATGATGGCATCCACGAGAAATCGAGGGCCGTCATTGAATGTTATAGGTATTAACGAGGTTTTTTTTAATTTTCTGATTGAAGTCGGTTTTTTTTTGTTAAAAATTATACTTGTTCTTATTTTGATCGCAACCAAAACCTTGCACGTTTGTACAAATCTTTATTAATATGGAGTGTAGAATATAAGGAGCTCAATCTATAATAAGTGTCCAACACCCTTAACTATAAATGAGGGAGTACAAAGATGGCGAAACATTGTTTTTAAGTTGGGTGACTCCGTGGCGCAATTGCCAAGGTATCGGCTACGGCGTTGGGGGTCCTGGATTCGGTTAGTTCGGATAGTTGTTTCGAATATGGATTGTCCATGTGGAATTTTTGTTTGTAAAACGTCCTTACAACACATGTCGACCCCCATGTTATCCTAAAGTAAGGGTTGTAATGGTTTTTCAATGTTTTAAAAAAAATATGATAAACATCTTTGTGGGGACACATAATAGATACTACTCCTTGTACTCTACACAACCTATGGCAAATGGCAATTATATACAATAAATTTATATTTTAATACTATAGAATTGCTCTTACCTTAAACATTTTTAATTTTAACTACCTGATTTTATCGTATCAAAATATTAGATATCCAAATACTTAGTTATCAAAACAAATCAAGGCATTTAAATATATGTCGGCTATAAGTAGCCATGTTCAACGCACATAGTGTCACGTTAGAAATCGAAATTCGCGGCATAATTCCGTAAGTAACCACAAAGTGTCGTAATACAACGACAATTGACCATAGAGACCGCAGTCAAAAACCATAAACAACACTATCGATCTCGGGCAAACGCCCAACGGCTTGCGGCTTTGGCCGTGAGGAATTCGGCCGAAAAGACAATGGACCATAGAGAAATTTGTTTGCGCGCGTTTCCTTCAGCTTGAGCTGTCAGTGTCACTTGCACTGCTCTCGTGTCGCCTCTTCCCCTTCCTGTCTTTGTGTCTGTCGCTGTGCTTGTCTCTGCGTCTGTGCGGGCTGTCGCGCCCGACGCGGTGATGTCAAATGCCCGAGTCGTCGGTTGTGTGGTGTATGATGTTCGAGCCCTCCGAAGACTCCGATTTCTGCTTCCTCTTGGCCCTGTGGGGTTGATAGATAAAAAAGTAATGTAACAGACTAATGTCAAAATGCTGGGCAAAGTCAAGTAACAGACTACTAATGTCCCAATGCTGGGCAAAGTCTGTACAGACGGTTGTCACTTAACATCAGGTGAACCGTCAGCTAGTTTGCTACCTTTTGACATACTGTTACTCACCCCTTCTTCTTCTCGTTCTCAATCCCAACTTGGTCTTTGAACAGCTTGGTCAGCTCCAGCTCCTTGATTTCATCGGTGTTCGTGAGTATAATAGCTCTGGAATTGTTAAAAAAGATAATGTTGGTTGAGGATAAAAACAAATGCGAAATACATATGGCACTAGTGTACCGAACTGAGCCACTCAAGATAGACTGTTAGCTCTTGCCGCATAATACGTTCTTTATCATCTGTCACACTCACTTATACAGCGTGTCGTTACCATCGCGACAATAAATGAACACACGTCTAACGCTACTTGCCAATAATCATAAAAAAATATTAACTTAAAAAAAATCCATAATTAAAGAAAATATATTTTTCAAACAAACTAATTAAATAAAAAATAAACAAAATTTGTTACATCCTATACAACTACAACTGACTGATTCATACATTCAGAGACTTTTTCATTCGTTGCCCCAGCGTCGCATTACAAGCCTCTCCTTCTAACAGTGTGTTTTATCTCTTTTAAATTCATTCAACCCATTCATATGCTCTGTGACCTTTATAAATGAACTTTACGTTACAGTTTTATACGTAATGGTGTTATAAAATTCTTTGTTTTGGAAAATTTAATAACTCTAAATATTGATGTTTAAAGAAAGTAAATATTTAATACAATTTTAAAAAGTTCTCGTCTATATGTGTGTTCATTTATTGTCGCGATTGTAAAGACACGCTGTATATCCTTACTTCCTTACTTGTTTGTTACTCTTTCACGCAAATACTACTGTATTGATTTTGATGAAACTTTACAATAATATAGCTTATACATCAGAATAAGACATATATATACATATTTTTATGTATGTCTGTCTTTCTATCTGAATATTACGTCTTCAGTCTATTTTAAGCAGACGTTAACGGTGGTAGGGCCACGCAGCAGTCTCGGCTGTTTCACGAATGGGCAGGCCCGTCGGGTAAGTACCGCGACCTCAAAGAAGACCGGCGTAAAGTGGACGTATGACAAATACTTTCGCGTTTCGTCTGGTGAGTGAGGTAACTGGAGCCTAATTTTCAAAAGGTTGTCAACGCATCTGTAACCTTTGGGTGTAACAGATGTCCAAGGGCGGCGATATTCACTTAACATCAGGTGAACCGTCTGCTCGTTTGGCAACTTTTCACTTAAAAAAAAACGTTGTCATACTCACTTATATATCCTTACTTCTTTACTAACATCATAAAGGTGAAAGTTTGTATGTATGTATGTATGGATGTTTGTTACTCTTTCACGCAAATACTACTATATTGATTTTGATGAAACTACAATAATATAGCTTATACATCAGAATAAGACATAGGCTATAATTTATATACATATTTTTATGTATATCTGTCTTTCTATCTGAATGTTACGTCTTCAGCCTATTTAAGCAGATGTAGTCACGGGCAGCAGTTAGTGTCAAATAATGTAAAGCGGATCATATTTTAAACGCCACACAGTATGCACATGCGTCGTATATTACGTGATGCAAATACTTTGTACCCTTTTTACGAAAATTGCGCGGACGGAGGAGTATGAAATTTCCCCCACATATAATTTATATCGAGAAGGACTGCAGAAGGCTAATATTTTTTTGAAATTATGCATATGAAAATACATTAAATCAACAAAAAAAACGTTTTACACACTACCATATAGTACCATTAGTATTTAATTATGGTCGAATTTCGACCACTGGTCTTTATTACAGCATAATCGGGTGAAAATAATAAAACAATTCGAACATGGCTCTTGGTAAATACTTTAGAAGTAATTATCTTGTTTAATTTTTTTATTAATTTTTTTAATAATTTTTTTAAAGATAATTTTTTTTGAATTCCATCAAACTAAGATTAGATTAGTGAGTAGTAGTTATTTCATAATTTCTTGTATTTAAGCGATTACACATTATTAAATTAAACTATTCTGAAAGATTTACAATTTAAAAGGAAACGCGATAAATCTTTAAAAATAGTCTAATAGTCAAAGTTATTTTCCCTAAGCAGACATATTAATATCTAAAATCCTTAAAATAAAAAAAAATTAAAACATGTAGTGTTGAACTGGATATAAATTGGCTTAATAAGATGCCAATTTACGTTTTTAACTTCAAGGTTTATGATTTTCATAGACACAGCAAAGTATTACGGACGCATAAGTTATGAAAACCAAAATGTCAAGTTACAATCCCCTTCGTTTCGGCTTTTGTCTTTCCCCCTGCATTGTTTGCCCTCAAGTGTCAACTATTTTATAGAATCGTTGCTCAATGTCAAAGACAAAAAAACGCCGTAAATTACAGTCCGAGGATATAAACAGAGTGTCATTCTGAGGATACGTAGCGATTATTCTTTTTTAAACATCATACACCTTTTTATAGTCGGTTAAATACAGGTTGATACACGGGACAATGACATTGACATACAAATATGGATCTCGTATATGAAGTTCCGTATTTCTTAAACAAAAAATGTACGTGATGAGAAACACAACGTGGTACTCTATTTCGTAATGTCACTTTAGTTTATTAATGTCCTATTAATGTCAATGTCCCGCGTGTCATCGTATACTTAATTGTTATTGGTTGAAACTGTGATTGGTTACAAAACAAAACTAGTTACAAAACTCGAAAAGCAAAACAACTACGCACAGATAAAACAATCAGTTTTCAAATTGTGCGGCGACCTCTATGCTAAAACGAAGAGAAAAACTTGTTCGTTTCGCTGAATTTCGGAGATCGTTAAATTCCTCACACATACATAATATAAAAGTTGAGGGTGAGATAAACAAACGTCCTAGGTCATCTCGTCCACTGCCACCCTCGCACTCATTAAGCCACACCCTTCATTTTAGTGATGTGACACCCTCGCAAACGTTTTTACTAAAATAAACGAATGTTTTTTTCGTAAAGGAAGTTATGAATATAGTTGTGTTAGTAGCCCATTTTTTAAAGTTGGCAACTTATCTGCAACTTCTCAGGTGGCGTAGATGCTCATGTACGGCATTCTGACATATTTTGCAGGATGGGTCGTCGGCAGTGGCCAGGCCTCGCGATCTGAGTCGTCGGTTCGAATCGGCCCGCACCGACCTCGCGGCTTTTTTCAATTTTAACCGACTTCGAAAAGGAGGTTGTCAATTCGGTTGTACGTTTTTGTTACCTCCGAACTCCGTCGTTAATGACCCGATTTTAAAAATTCCTTATGCACTGAGTTCAGTTTACCTCCCGTTGAGTTCCATTTATCAACTCCACTGGCACTGAACATTGGAAATCGGAGATACATCACGCAACTCCTCAATATCAAATAAAACATTTATAGTGAGTGAGACATTTGAAGTCACTTGAATCAACACAAGGGAAGAGTGACTAGCTTGCTATGTACATTTGTTCACGTTTTGTTATTTAATGTGTTTTTGTGACTGTCCCGTGACCATGAATGCTGTTAAGGGTTCAAAACGTCGGGAATTGAAATTAAAAATAAACTCGATAAATCTAAAAAAAATAATTTCATTTATAACCCATGAAAGACTACGAAACCGTCAACATAAGGCCTCAGATGTGAGAAGCTGTTGTAACAGATGAATTAAATAAAAGCACAAGGAATGACCTGACCAATTATTGGATCTATCTGAAATAATAAAACTATGAAAATTACCGGCAAGTCGTGAGTATTTTATAGAGTGGTGGGATTATGTACCTTCAAGTTACGCGAATGCTTAACAAAACTATTGATAAATGCGCTAAGAGGTAAGATAAAAGATATGAAAATATCGACATATCGTACTTTTTAGAAATTTCGCAAATAAAATTAGTCACAATATATAACTGAACTGTTCGTTCGAACTTTCATATTGAAATATAATGGACAAACTGAGAGTTTCACGAATATACCTCTAGACACATGTCATAAATGAAACTTCATCAAGCTATTGAATTTTTTTTATGTGAAAAAGAGGCAAACGAGCTGGCGGTTCATCTGATGTTAAGTGATAATCGCCGCCCACATTTGTAACACCGGTTGCAGATGTGTTGCCACCTTTAATAAGGTGGGCCCCGGCTTACCTCACTCACCAGACGAAACGCAGTGTAACACTTCTACTTTACGCCGGTCTTCTGTCAGGTCGTGGTATTAACCCGGACGGACCTGCCCATTCGTGCAACAGCGAAAACTGTTGCGTGGTCCTACCACAGTTAAAATGCAATAATAATTTTGAACAAAGAAAACCGACTTCAAACAGGAAACTAAAAGCATTGTCAACACCTATAACATTTAAGGATGGCCCTCGATTTCTCTGGGATGCCATCATCAGATCTGGGTTTCCTTATCATGGTACCACCTTTGGGATATCTCCTTTCCAACAAAAAAAGAATCATCAAAATCGGTTCATAAATGACGAAGTTATCCCCGAACACACAAAAAAAAATTCGGTCGAATTGAGAAACCTCCTCCTTTTTTGAAGTCGGTTCAAAAATCAAAATCAAAATCAAAATATATATTTATTCAAATAGACGCTTGCGCGCTCTTATGAATCGTCAAATTTTACATCAAAGATTATGTGTATAGGTTCGTAAGGTATCACCGGTTCGGAAAGCGGTTTCTGTTGAGAAGAGACCGGCAAGAAACTCAACAGTTGCTCTTTTTTAAAAAATCAGTTTACAATATAATAGTACAGGTACAATAGTCTTGTTTTAGCCTACGTGAGTATCAACAGTATTAACCCCACACATTGGCGTCGTCAAGATATTCGGCAATGGTATAATAGGCTTTAGCCATAAGTTTACTTTTAATTTTTCGTTTAAATTCATCAAGTGGCAGACTTAATATCGACTGTGGGATTTTATTATACATGCGCACACTTTGCCCCATGAACGACTTATTTACTTTTTGTAGACGAAACAATGGCGTAGTAAGTTTGTCCTTATTTCTAGTGTATTATTTTTAAAAATATCGACAAGCGCTGTCGACTCTTTCAGCATTGCACGTTCACATCACTAACCCCGGCTATTCGCTCACCCCGTGTCAAGGTTAAGCGTCTCTTATAAACGGAATTGTATAAAAGACCCCTCTAGCGGAATCGAAAATTTGTCGGCGCGTTTAGTAAGTTTATTCGATGAGGTATCGTTACGAAAACTTGTAACAAAGTCTCAAAGAAGGAGACCATAGAGTTTGATGTTATTCTGATGTTTTCTTAAAAACATAAATCGAAGAAATTGGTCATAATAAAGGGAAACGTTTGGCACTAAGTGACATTACGTACGTATGAGATTAGAATGTGAAACTTCTTTCTTGGAATATTCTTTGTAGTTATAGTGAACGGAATTTTAGGGTTGTTTATCCTTCTTTCAATCGACTTCCATCAATCGATCGGAGCAGTTATGTCACACTAGGGCGCCGAAACTGAGGCTCTTACGTCAATTGGTGTAATCAGATTGCAATTCTATAGACTGTTATCTCTTTCCGTATCACACGTTCTATATCATCTGTCACGTTCACTTATATAATATGTCATAAAATGTGAAGCCGAACAATTTTTAAACGTCGCGCAGTAAGACATACGTCATCTTTTTATGACATCATTGGTTCCACCACATTACGGGTTAAAGGATATTAAATTTACTTTTGTTTTACAGGGACGCAAACGTAATCACATTACGCGAATTTAATAACGTGTTGTATTTGTCAGCCAATATGCTAAAAAGAAACTTTTTACGAAAAAATAAAAATTAGTTTTTCGTAAAAAATAAATAAAACAAAACCCGTTTAGTAGAAAAACCGTTTGTTTTTTTAATTCTACGAAACACTATTTTACTCGTAACTACTAACGTATACAAGCCAACATAAATCAGTGTTAATATAATGTATAAACCTTTGCGCCAACGATAATAGGTGAAAATAACTAATGGTGGGTGTGTTGAGTGTGATGATTGGTTGGTGCCGATTTTCCCTCACCTGATCCTTCCGCCTTCGACCCTGGTGTGGCGCTTGGGGTCGCTGATGACCGACACGGAGGTCTCGCCGACTTCGTGCCTCTTCTTGTGCTTCCTCGTTTTGTGCTGTCTACTGGGTAAGGGAGACCAAAGGGTGCAAGCTTAGGTACTGCTTTTCACATACAATACAACTACAATACAAAAATAAAGAGTTGAAATTGAGCAATTATTTTTATACCTTTAGAGCGTCTGAAAAACAATACAACCGATGGAAAGTTTTCGGTAGCATTGATGATTTATTTTTAACTAGTGACCCGCCACGACTACATATAAACCTTCCTCTTGAATCACCCTATCTAGTGAAAAACCGCATCAAGATCCGTTGCGTAGTTTTAAAGACCTAAGCATACATAGGGACAAACAGACGGCGTGACGAATTTGTTTTATACTATGTAGTTTTTGTTGATATAGTCTAAAAATCAATATACATAAAAATCAGCTTGGAAAATATACGTAAGGTAAGTAATGTTTGTATGTATCTTGATTACTAGATACCTGGAAATCGGCCCACAGACCAAGCTAGCAGGTAGGCATGCGATCGTAGTACATACTAACACTAGTCAATCATACACATTTCGTTCGTCAGAAAATATTTGACTTCTGGTGGCCCTGGGATCTACCCAGACGGACCTGTCCATTCGTGCATCAGCGAAGACTGTTGCGTGGCCTTACCTTGGTAGAAATAATTAAAAATATACTAATCTCAGGATGCTACAGAGGCTTTGTATTTTGATTTTCATTTAATAATAAATAAATTGTGCTTAATTAGAATAGGGAAGGATTATAGTATTTATTTAAATTTCATTTATTCTCAATTTTTTTTAAGTTTATGTAGATAAAATTAAAAAAATATAATCCGCAAATAAAAAAGGCCACAGATAAAGAATATTTGAAATACAAATGGTGTTTACTCACGCTCGCTTCTTGTCCTGCTCTTTCTTATCGGACTTATGTTTCCGTCTCTTTCTATATACGGACCCGGTGCCTTCTTCTACGGTCTCTAAATGTAAGACGTACAGTCTATATATCTGCAGTAGAATTACCTGTTTGCAAAATCCAAAAATTAAAATTATAATATTATGTGTATATAATAATATGGAGAGATGAATTATTAACGTGTTAGTCAGTGTTAATTAAACATGAAGTTATTGTGAAATAATTGATCAAATAATATGAAGTTTCTTTTTATTAACGCGATTACCTGGCATAGTTATTTTGTTATAATTATTAAACGTATTTTATCGTATCAATTTTTTAAATTAAAGTCCTATTTGTCATGTGTTTAAAACCGAACCAGCGTTAACTTATTATTATTAGGTAATTATTTACAATAGCCAAGTAGTTGCGAAAAAACTAAACAAGCTCCGCGTTTGACGTAAAACGTCAAATTTTGGCGCGAACTTTTGACAGTCGAATTTTTTCTTTTCTTCTTTCTTACAGTCTGCTTCTCGTTAATATAGGTTGTTACGCGGGACATTGACTTAAAAATGCGAAGCTCCGTATTTTTTAAAACAAAAAACGTACGTAACACTATGTGGTACCTACTTTATTCCGTAATGTCACTTTAGTTTATTAATATCAATGTCCCGCGTACCGTCGTACATTTAACAAACTGTAGCTCTCGTGACTCACCAGCGTGTTCTTGCAAGTGAAGAATATGTTCATGTAGTTTATAATCTTGTAGTGGGCTATTATGAGGAGACGGAACGCCAGGAACGGAGCGTCCTGTAACGCTATGTTCATGATAATAGCGCAGACTTCTATAGAACAGCAGCATGCGCGGCTTGTGTTCCTGCGAATGTTGCCAGTTTCAATATTAAAAGTGTTCTAAACGAAGATTATTGGGGACAACGGATAGACTTGTGAGATTTTCAGATACTGCTAAAATGAGAACAGCGTTGTCAAATACAAATTAATCTCCGTTTTCTTATTTCTGTCGAATAAATTGTTCTCTTCTAATAGTAGTATAATATAGATATTGATTAATGATATTGTGCAATAGGAATAAAAAAAATAGACACATTGACGAAATTGTATTCAAGGTGATGTGCCTAAAATTAATACTCCATGGCATACCATGGCATTCATATTTAACCATACATGTTTGTTCATTAATAAAATGTTTTTTCGGAGTGAGGTAAAAGTTAATAACAATGTTTAAAGGACCGTTATCATATAAGTGGCCGTATAAAAGTAAAAAAAATAACAGCGTATAAATGTCCCACTGCTGGACAAAGGCCTCCTCTGTACAGAGGATATCAGGGCATAGTCCACCACGCGGCCCCACTGCGGATTGGCGGACTTCACATATTTTGGCAATATTATTTTTTATTATTTCGAAAATATGCAGGTTTCCTCACGACGTTTTCCTCGACCGCCCAGCACGTGACAAGTTAGCACTTAAAATCAACAATTTCATTGTTGCCGGCACCGGGGATCGAACTCAGGTTGCTCGAGTAAATTGAATTATAGGCGAGCGCCCGGACACTGAGCTATCACGGCTCTATACCCAGTGGTGGGAAAAGCGTGGGTATTACCTACACTTTTCTTTAAAAGTTAGGACAAGCGATATCATTCTTGATACCCTCGTACTATCACTCCTTCTTATCCGTTAAAAAGAATACACCCAAAACAACTCAGCATTTATACAGCTATGAATACGTGCTCGAAGATCTTGGTTATTGGAACAGCACCGATTCCCTGGTGAACAGAGTAGGAGTATTTATACTTTCCCATTTATTCCAGGGTTTGTGGCCGGAGTCTCTTTAAAAATTTGATCTAACGCCATATGCTTTATCTTAATAACAGTGAAGCGTTGTCAAGCGTGAAATGTCAATTGTTGATGTGTCTGAATGTACTGAAGATTTGGCAGAGGGCGTTTAAGTGAGCAATATTCTGTTAAATACAACGATAGCGGTCTTGGGATAGCATAATGTATTGAACATGACCTATGTTTATCTAAGTGAAAATATGCTATTTAGAACAATTTATTCCGATGATTTAGATATCAGCGGGGCAAAGCCAGTCTATATTTACAATCAAAAGTGGTATATGTTCTTTTTAATCTACCTCAATGTTTGATTTGGCACGAATGTTGAAACGAATTTTTATTCTACTTAATGTCCATTCTCTTTGCTGTGCTCTGACAGCACTGTCAGATTTTGACGTCATAATAAATTATCTAATAATCTTGTTCATCTTTCGAATTTCAAAATGTTTATAGCGGCCTGTCTTTTGCTTGCTTTGCATCTAAAGATATGCAGTCTTTTTAAATTATAGGTTTCTCGTTATAATTATTTATCATTTTCTCTTTAATAACTAGCGGTAGAAAGCTATTGATAAAAAATATTGTACAAATTGGGCAGGAAATGAAAAGGTTTCCCAATTCTCATGGATGAACACAAATGGGTATCACCAAACGTGATCACGATCGTGAACTGGCACGTGTGTGTATCGCGTGTACGGCATGGGGCGTGCGTGCACAAACGTGTACGTACATGTCAGACCTATGAGCGGTGCCCCTGGTCTTCCGGGACTTGGTCGCGGTCAGCACCACGGTGAACTGCATCAGTGACCAGGACCAGATCGCGAGGGTGAGAAGCACCAGCACCTTCTCCGTGGCCACCTTCTCGTCTTTGAACGAATCGAAGAACTCTATGATGTCCGCCGCGGTGCCTGTTAAGAGTGTGGCCGTCAAGCGAGCGTCATTTTTTGGGTTCTGACCCATAGGGTCCCGATATTACTAAGACTCCGCTGTCTGTCTGTCCGTTTCACACCAGGCTGTATTTAATGAACCGTGACAGTTATACAGTTGAAATTTTCACAGATGATGTATTTCTGTTGCCGCTATAACAACAAATACTAAAAAACAGAATAAAAAAATAATTAGGCGGGGCTCCCATACAACAGATTTTTTTTGCTGTTTTTATAGATTATGGTACGGAACCTTACGTGCGCGTTCCGACACGCACTTGGCCGGTTTTTTATGTGAGTACGTAGCAAGCGAGTTGGCGGTTCACCTGATGTTAAGTGAGAACCGCCGACCGTGGACATTTGCAGAGGAATCATCAGAATCGGTTCACTCAGCTGAAAGTTCTGTGGTAAAAAACATAAAAAAACACCAGTCGAATTGCGAACCTCCCCCTTTTTTGGAGTCGGTTGTAAATTTACAAAAATCACTGCGAGAAGAGTTTCTCAACCATACTGACAACTGAATAATCAATCATACACACGCTTAACAGACAACGTCAGCACTGATTTGTCACCAACCATTAACAGAACGAAAGATTGACTCACCGATATACACGAGCAGGAGTTGGCTGAGCTGATCCCTGGTCAGGTCACCCTTGGGCAGCAGCCACCGTCCCACTATGAGGGTCAGCATGAGGAACTGCTCGATCAGAGTCACCCACATGTCCGTCGGGATCTTCGTGGCGCCCGGTAGAGGGATTTCCGTCTAAGAGAGTGAAGAACGAGAGAGTAAAAAAAAAGCTGTTGTAACTGTGGTAGGGTCACTTGTATCTTTTTACTTTTAATTTAGCCGATGTTTTTTCTTTATGCCTAGTAGACTATTAAAACCAGAACCCACGAGCGTGGTAGCAAAATCCATTACTGGGGAGTACAAGCTACTCCATTGTATATACAGTCAAACCTGGGTAAGTGAGAACTGGATAAGTGAGAAAACTCTATAAGTGAGAGTAATAGCCAGGACCCATCATTTTAAGCTCCCAAAACCTCTATTAGCGAGAAACAGAAACCTCTGTAAGAGAGAGTCGTTTTTCCCTCATGGACCTCCGTAAGTGAGACCTCTATAAGCGACAGTCGAGCTTTATTTATTTATATTATTTAGGAGGAACTATAGTTACAATAAAAAAAAGATACGCACATACAGTAACAAATGACAAAACAAATTACAAATTTAACATCTGCTATTTTATGACTCATTCTTAACTTTCGTGGAACATCCTACCATTGTTTTTGCAGTGTTTTCTCGTCAATATTGTACCTGTTCTATTTCGTTGAACTAAATAACGGTGTTATTTTATCGCATTCTTTTCGACTGTTTGTCGGACTTACTCAGTCTATAGTCAATCAATTGCGAAGGAAAGTTCCGTTCTGCATCATGTCAAAACGGAAAATTAAAGTACTGTCCATTAAGTGATAAACTTACAATAGTGAATGCATTTGAATCCGGAAAATCGCGAAATGAAATTCAGAGGGAGTTTAATTTACCAGAATACTATTATAAAATTGTAAAATCAAAAGACTCTATAAAGTCTGAATGCTCTGATGGACATGGAAATATTAAGAGGACTAGTTTCTGAATTTCCCAATATCGAAAAGTGCCTTTTGGAATGGATAAAACAAACTCTCGATAAGAACATTCCCATAGATGGACCTTTGTTGAAAGAAAAATCAAAAGAGTTTGCTACAAAACTGAGAATCCAGAACTTTTCTGCTAGCAACGGCTGGTTAGAGGGTTTTAAAAGGCGTCATGATATAGCTTTCAAAAAAGCAGCTGGGGAAAGTAAATATGTGGACCAAGGTGTGCGCAACGACTGGACTAAAGATCTGCCCAATCTTTTAGAAGGGTATGAAGGGTATGAAGCAGACGATATTTACAACGCGGATGAAACTGCTTTGTTTTTCAAGTGCCTTCCGGATAAAACATTTACGTTTAAAGGCGAAAAATGCCATGGAGGAAAACAAAGCAAGGAACGCCTCACACTTCACCAGTGTGTAAACATGAGTGGTACGGACAAACTCCCACTTCTCATCATCGGGAAATCAAAGCGACCTAGATGTTTTAAAGGTGTCAAGACTCTACCTGTTGATTATGCCAATAATACAAAGGCTTGTATGACCAAGATATTATTTAAAGATTGGTTGAAAAAAGTTGACAAACAAATGAAGATAAACCGAAAAAAAATTCTGCTATTCATTGACAACTGTGCTGCCCATACGGACTTACCAACACTTGCAAACGTAAAAGTAATGTTTTTACCTGCTAACACCACTAGTAAACTTCAACCATTAGATCAAGGCATCATTCACACTTTTAAACGCTTTTATCGCAGAGAAGTCGTTAAACATATTCTTACGAGTCTGGAAGAAAAACAGTAGCCCCGACATTAACGTACTTCTAGCTATGAAATTTGCTAGAAAAGCATGGTACTTAGTCAGTGACGTTACTGTCAAAAACTGTTTCAAGAAAGCTGGGTTTTGGAAAAGTACAGATGAGCAAGACCTGCCAGAGGAAAATGATGTTGAAGTTGGACCTAGCAACGAGGAATGGACTAAGCTTGTGTCTCACGAATCCAATATGTTAATGCCGAGCTTCAAAGATTTCGTTCAAATTGACGACGACGTAACTACCGCTGGAGAACAAACCGACGACGATATCGTTAATAATTGTGTGAACACCTGTATTTCTGGAAATGACAGTGAAGACGAGGCACAGATTCCGGAAACAGAAATAAAGATCATTCCAATGAAGCTAGCTTTAAATGCGTTGGAGACGGTCCATCAGTACTTTGAATACGCGGCGGTTGTTGATCAAGCAATATTCGATAAAATTTATGAGCTAGAGAAAAACATTCAAAACACTAAAACAGAAACCCAAACGAAATTGACGGATTTTTTTAAGTGTAAATAAGTTCTAAATAAATTAAATTACATAGTGCATGAATTTTTGTTTTGTTTTCGTAAGCATCTTGATACCTACCCTTATAAGGTACTTATATGTCGAAATCTAACATATGTTGTGCATATTATGCACATAATTTTATCATATCACATATGTATTTACTACATTTGTACTTGCTGTGACTTGTTATTGCTGCGTACCTCTATAAGAGAGAAATGCTACCCATGTACCTGCATTAGCGAGAAACTCGGGTTAGTGAGAAACCTCTATAAGCGAGAATGAGATTGTGCTCCCTTGAACTCTCGCTTATCCAGGTTTGACTGTACTGTTTAAAGTAGTCGATAATTTTGCAAATGTTTAAAGTAAAGTATACATGTCACAACGTTGGGCAAAGAACACCTCTACATTGAGGGTATCAGGGCCTAGTCCACCACGTGGTCCCACTGCGGATTGGCGGACTTCGCATATCTTCGAAATATATATTTCTTTTTTGTTATTATTTCGAAAATACGCAGGTTTCCTCACGACTTCACCGTGGAGCACGTGATAAGTCAGCACTTAAAATTAACAATTTCATTGGTGCCGGCACCAGAGATCGAACTCAGTTTGCTCAAGTATATTGAAAAAGGCGACCGCCCGGACACTGAGCTATCACGGCCCTTGGCAAATGTTTAACTATGGAAAATACTTACCTCGATGTAAGTAAGGTTCGCCTTCTTCTGCAGACGAAGGTCCACCTTGTGGAGTTCCAGGAGCCATATCGCCGGCACCACCAAGCCCAGGTAGATGAACACAGAAGGGCAGAACCTGCCACATATGGGTATATAGAGAACGGCATCAAAGAAGAATCTGGCGGGAAAACAATTTTTAAAGTTTGCACTACTGTAGCATAACATCCTGTGTTGTAATGACGTTCTACGAACATACCGCCCAGTTTCTGAAACTGCTCATGGTAGAAGTTAACTAATCAGCTGTCAAAGGTCTTTTCAAGTGTTATTTGAGTTGCCAAAAGGATTGTTAAACTCTTTGAATTGATCATTCTGGTCGTTTCCTTTTTTGTTTCATGTTTGTTGACACTTACATATATTGCACATTCTTTTTCTTCCTTGGCAATAAACGAGTATTATTATTATTAATAGAATGGAAGATACGTCCTTTCACAAGCCATTATTAAAACGGCAATTTCATAAACGAGTAAATGCCTAACATGTTGTTCAAGTACATTCTACACGGGACAATCATTATAAATTGCAATTAATTATTTCATTGGTGCCGGCAACGGGATTTGAACTCGAGTTGATCGAGTATAATGCACCTTTGTGCTCGGTAATTAACATGGTATCACTGTGCTATTTATTTATTTTGGATTACCATCAAAATGACATATATACAGAGATAAATAAACAAAATTTTATGGCAACATTTTACACGTAATCTCAATTATAGGTTGTCCACGACATTCAACAAGAGTATTTGTCGTACTCGTGGTATCATCGTTTTTGACTAACCTAAGACAAAAAAGTAATACAAATTTAAAAAAGTAAAGTAAAAAAAAAAAAATAAAAAAAAAAACAACACCAGGATTCCGGATCTGAAACGATTACAGCTGGCCGCATAAATACTAATTGTCCCGTGTGAGAACCGAACCCATCTCATCGAAGGGCTCTGGCAGGCGGCAACAAAGGTGGGATAAAGAGCAGGAAAAAGAATATACTACTATACTACTTATTAAAGACATGTTATAAAACATAGCTTTTACCGATTTATACAACTATAACTCAATGACTCAATAATTGGATAACAATAGCACTTAGTTTTTCCAACAGAGCAACAGCCTTAACTACCAATAACCAAAAACTAACTTGCGTACACTGTGAGAGTTTAATTTATACCCCTCAAAAACCAATACCGACTACCGCCCCATTCTAAGATGTAGGAAATATCACGACACAATAGGTATCAAACCAACAACTTTTAAATAAGTCGCAACAAACTGTACTAATAAATCATTGATAAATTATTGATTAGATTAAATATGTGCCATAATTACAACATACTATAATATTTAACAGGATCAGATAAATCGCGCGCCTGAAGACCGCGTGACAAGCTCGTCTGACAAGCTCGTGTGACAAGCTCGTGTGACGAGCTCGCCGCCCGAGCTAAATCACGAAAGGTGAGACTATACAGGCCCGGCCTCTAATGCGCGTCAGACCGGACGCCATTAGCGAGGTGAGTCAATACTTTGGTGACCGCACCCGACTCCTACGCCACGCTAATTGTGTCAAATGTATCAACCCCCCCCCCCTCACCAGCTCTTTTCCTTTTCGCGAGACAGTAGGGTTTTCAATTATAAGGACGCTAGCTGCTGCGCGCCTACGTCTGCGTAGAATAGGCTGAAGGCGTAACATTAAGAAAAAAAGACAGATATACATAAAATATGTATATAAAGTATGGCCTATGTGTTATTCTGATGTGTAAGCTATATTATTGTATAGTTTCATTAGAATCCATTCAGTAGTTTTTATGTGAAGGAGTAACAAACATCCGTACATACATACAAACTTTTGCCTTTATAATATTAAGTAAGAATTTTCAAATTCGTAGAAAATTCCCCAGTAAGGTACCTAGCCCATACCCTTAACACGACTCACATGTTTTGCGGAACCCACCTATCTATCTCTGTATTAATTTTGTAATTGATTTACAGAAGTTGCCTAAGTATTACCGGAGCCCAAGATCCGATACCAATGAAATTAATAAGGGACTTTACAATATACTTATAATACTTACTTTATAATCATCATTTCAGCCTGTTTGAGTCCACTGCTGAACATAGGCCTCCCCCATAGACTGCCACGAAGTACGATCCTGAGCCACCTGCATCCATCGACTTCTCGCACATTTGCACAGGTCGTCACTCCATCTAGTGGGGGGTCGTCCCACACTGCGATGGCCAGTACGAGGCTGCCACTCGAGAACCTTTCTTCCCCAACGGTTATCGGTTCTACGAGCTATATGGCCGGCCCATCGCCACTTTAGCTTGCTAATCCTCTGTGCTATGTCGGTTGTCTTAGTTCTACTGCGGATGTCTTCGTTACGAACTCTATCACGCAGAGAAATACCGAGCATAGCCCACTCCATAGACTTGAAGACTTTATAATACTTTCAAATAAAATAAGAATCATCAAAATTGGTCCGCTCAACCGAAAGGTCTGAGGTAACAAACATTAAAAAAATACAGTCGAATTGAGAACCTTTCTCCTTTTTTGAAATCGGTTGAAAAGAAGAGAAGAATCATCCATTAAACGCTTCAGATCGTTTTATCTACGCAACGGATTTTAATGCGGTTTCCAACAATAGATAGTGATTCAAGCGGATGGTTTATAGTTAGTGTACGTGCATATTATAACAGGGAAAAGGCGAGAAATTCAATATCTACATTGTACTCGGGGCGGGTCGCTAATCCTTACCCACTTATCCTTACTAATATTATAGACGCGAAAGTTTGTTACTCTTTCAACAAAAACTACTGAATATATTTTAATTAAACTTTACAATAATATAGCATACACATCAGAATAACACATAGGCCAGTGATTCTCAACCACTGTGCCGCGGCACTTTTGTGTGCCGCCAAATTTTGCAAATATATAATAATGTTAATATTATTAAATTATATCATTTAAAAAGAAAACTATTTTTTGGCATTAGCCAACATTAAAACTAAAAAAAGATCAAGATTGTTAAAAGTAGAATATGAGAGTAGCATTGTCATTTAAACGACCAAATATAAATGAAATTATCAAAAAACATCAAGCTCAAATTTCGCATTAAAAATATTTTTATTATTAGCTTGTAATTTATCCCTTAATAAACGTTTAGTTATTATTGTAATATATATTAGTTTATTTCGTATATTTAAAATTTTTATCATAAACGATTTATGCAGTGTGTTGTAGTAAGTAAGTAATTTTTATCTTTTTCTTTGTGTGCCGCCAAATTTTGAAATCGTTTAATATGTGCCGCAACAAAAAAAAGGTTGAGAATCACTGACATAGGCTATAATTTAAAAACATATTGTGTGAATTGTCCAAAATATAGGTAATGCGAGATATTCTGGTGTAAAATAAAAAACTCATTGTTAATTTCCTTGGGCCGCGCGGGCAAAGCTGCGGTTAACAGCTAGTTTTATTACATTCTTCATTGATTTCGTTTAACACTCTATTCGACCAATCATCACCGTTTATCTACCTCTCAGGCACGAGAATGAATAAAATATCTCGCAAATCAGGCAGTCTTTCTTGACTATGATTTATCTTAGAAATATAAGTCACTCTGAGAACATATTACTTATAGGTTTCAATGGGACTGATATGTGCATATTTGTGTAAAAGTCCCTAAATATAATAAAGAGAAAAAAAATCTGGCAAAGGTTTCCGTTATTCCACCCCAAGTCTGCTCAACTTTGGCGACACTATAGCGTTATTTAACTTCTAGCGTCCTTGCTCGTTCCGCTACGCTAAACGTTCACAATGAAACCAAATGTCAACTTGACGTTACTGCGGACCCCGAAAGGTCGTATTAGCCTACGTCTAGTATTTTGTCATTTAGCCGAGTCTAGAAACACTGATTTTGCATTGGAGAAACAATTTCGGAGTTATTTGCCGAAAATTTTGAATTAGTGTAAATTGTATAACCATTTACTGGGGTAGGGCCACGCAACAGTGTTGGCTGTTGCACGTACGGTTTTTTTTTTGGGCTGGATGAGCCACCGTTGGCCTAAGGCCTTTACAGTTCCGACGGGCTTGAGGTGGCCTGGCGCACGGGGCGCCTAGCCTGAACCTCGGCGTATTATTATTACGCGTTATGGTGACTAAGCTCGAGGGCTCCCGGGGGAGCCTCGGCTCGGGGCGTCACGCTATTATTATCACCGGTTTGGGAGGCACGTACAGGCAGGCTCGGGTAAGTACCACGACCTCACGAGGCGTCAAGTGGAAGTGTAATACTTTCGCGAATCGTCTGGTGAGTGCGGTAGCCGGAGCCCAATTTTCAAAAGGTTGTCAACGCTGCAACCCTCGGGTGTAGCAGATGTCCATGGGTGGCGGTATTCACTTAACATCAGGTGAACCGCCTGTTCGCCTGGCAACTTTTCACATAAAAAATATTATATAAATAAATAAAATAAACAAATGAAGAAGATATCCATTACATACAAAGCCTATCCTCATCTTTCTCTTGACCATATCCCCACTCGGTGAGGTGGGTGTAGCATGAGAATCATGATGCTAATTGTAAAGGCTATGTTTTACGACCGGCCGCCTAACTGACGTCACGTGATTAGGATTGACTGTCAATATACAGGGAGATTTTTTGAAAAGTGCCCAAATTTACACAGGAGGTTCAGACTCGGTAGTATAATCGTCTATTGAAATAAAAAACAATCTAAAAAAAATCTTTTTCCAAAAAAAATTCCATTCTATTCCCTAAAAAACAGAACGTGTTGACAATGCGGTAGTCATTCATAAATACCTAAATTTTACTGTGCACGAACTTGCGTGAGTGTTAGTTATGAATGATCGCGCTTAATAAATAAGTTCCGTATAAAGCACGCACTTTTTGAGATAAGTTCAAATGAATGTAATTAATTACTTAAGAGTGATTTTAAATATTTATCATTTTAAATAACATTATTTATGTCTAGAACTTAAAAAAAATGGATACACTTAGAAAAGCCACCCTGTATCATACGCCGTGATAGCTCATTGTCCGGGCGCTCGCTTTCAATTCAATATACTCGAGCAACCTGAGTTCGATTCCCGGTGTCGGCACCAATGAAATTGTAAATATTAAGTGCTGACTTATCAAGTGCTCAGCGATCGTGAGGAAACCTGCATATTTCGAAATAATAATTCTCAAAGAACATTTCGACGATATGTCAAATCTGCCAATCCGTGGTGATCTATGCCCTAATACCCTAAATACAGAGGACTTTGCCTAGCGGCGGGACAAATATAGGCTTTACTTTAAGTGATTCCAGATCACTAAAGCAGTATCCAGAACCTATACGGACTAGAAGACCTTCAAGAGTAGACCTTACTCTCAATTTTAATCCCTCAACGTTTCTTATACCATAATGACGATATTGAATATTGCAATATTATATAATGGTGTCCTCTAAAAGTAATTTGAACCATGACTTTTAAATAAAAAAATGAGTGCGTGTAACCTTAACATGCAGTTGAAGAGATATTAAAAAAATCTTTAATTAATTAATAATAATTAATTTTATTATTAATGTTTCATTAAATAATAACTTAATTTATTATTAATGTAATAATAACTAGTTTTTTTTTATTTTAAATGTATAGTTCAGATACGTAAATACATACGGTGTAAATATTTAAAAATCGCACGCTATACAAGTAATTCTTTTTATCAAAGAAAACAAAACGACTTCAAATATCTCGCTCTGTATTAATTTTATAATTGATTTTCAGGAGTTCCGTATCTCCGGAGCCTAAGCCAGCCCAGCTTTTAAATAATAAAAGAATCATCAAAATCTGTTCACTCAGTGGAAAGTTCTCAAGTAACAAAATATAACAAAAATTACAATCGAATTGAGAACCTCCCCATTTTTGGAAGTCGGTTAAAAACGCGTCACCGCCGCAACGCGTTTCCGTTGCATTGTCGTCGTCCAGAGAATTCTGTTACCGAGTTAGAAACCCGTGGGTTCTGGCTAGCCCACCGGTTCTGCGTTCGATGAAGCTTTAATAGTCTCGGGACTGAAAGCGCAGGCAAAAGTAAGAAAAGAAGTAATTGTGGAGCTTACCACTTCCACTCCTGGTTGTCTTTGATGGTCAGCGTGAAGACGCCCTCGATGATGAGGAGGAGGATCGGCGAGGCCAGGTACCAGTATTCAATGCTGTCCTTGAATAAAGTCACCTGCCATATGGCGATGATACCGTGGCACGCGAAGACCAGCCTGGTTATAACCGCCTTGATCGTCGCCAACACCTTCCCGACTTTCGCCATTTTGTTTTCGACGTCCGTTCTAAATGGTCAATCACTATAATGTATATATAACTGCTTATATCGTCTCCGTGCGTGTCGCGAAACTTTCTAATGTTCGTCCGCCATTTTTGTTATTAATTCGCGATTTACGAATACGGAAATAGATTTGTAATTTTTCCGTTTTGGATTTTTTTTTAATTAACGTGTACAATTCCTGAACAGGTTTTTTTTTTTTTATTTATAAACCTTCTTTAGAGTAATATTTCAACTGGAAAGATAAGTTAACATTTTCTTAAAGATTATGAAGTCCTGCTGTAGGACTATGTATTAAAGTGAAGATTTTAATTACTTATAATTATTTATGATTGTTTAGTCACTTTAATGTTTTCATTTTTGGTGAAAGATCGCAAAAATTTTTAGAAATGATTTTTATTTCGTTTGTTTTTGTTGTAAATATTCTTTAGTACTTTTCGAAAAATACGATGAAACATTCTCTGTTTATAAAATTAAAGAATTTATTTTAAGGTATTGTATCACATATTTTATATATCAATTTCTTCGTTTTCGAAATTTAAAACAATGTTTGATTTTGTTAGATAATAATGAATAAACATTTTCAAACTGTATTACAGATCCTTCATTCATTAAAACTCTATAGATAATATTAAAAGTTTTAATCTTAATTATTTTTAAATTATTATGTATGTAAAGCAAAATAATTTATATAATCTGTAAACACAGATGATTTCTCGCAACGCACTTTAACTTTAGATACTATTTTATTTAAAAAAAATATTTTATATTTTGTTTTTATCGGTTGCCATTACTTTTTCGATTAGGCATTTTCCATCATTATAGAACCTCGTTGGGTCGAGTTTGAATTTATCCGTTAGCAGAGCGAGGTCAACGAGTGTCCGGGGCGCGAAAGTGACTGGAAGAGGCGAAAGTAGCATCGTTTCGCGACAGACAACCCCTGCGACGTTTTACTCTAACTCCCAACCATCGCTGCTTTACTTAGCATCACCTCACGAAATAAGGGCACTGAAAGAGAAATGGACGTGAGAACTCTATTAGGGTCGCTCGTCGGGTTCGTAAGTGCGCGCGCAAATCACTGCCAGGCCAATCGCGAGTAGTTTGGAAAGAAAAGGGCTTGGGGATTGCTGCCAAGCGATGTTTGCGTGTACACAAGCAAATGTTAAACCTTAATGTTAAATACATAAAGTTGATTTTCGTATCAATTTTGCGATTTTGTGCGTAGTTAGATTTGCGAGCGGGTAATTCTTCAAGGGTGATATTTGCGTGTGTACAAGCAATCGTTAAACCTTATTACAAACCGTATAAGGTTGATTGTCGTGTGAATTTTCGAATGTTGTGCGTAGTTAGATTGGCAAGCGGGTAATTCTGCAAGGGTGGAGCAAGGCAAGAGCGACACTGTCGGCTATTTTACTCAATCACGAGAATAGACTAGCGGATGGGCTGACTCATCGCGATTAGGCGGTGCCACACCAAATATATTCGCTGCCTAATATCTCATAGGTAATTTTTTGAAGTGAAAACTTCTGTAGCTTTGACTACATATGCTGTTAGATGATATTATATGCTGTTTCATTAAATAACATACCTACTGTTTAATTATATTGATTAACAGGTGAGGAGGTGGCAAGCGAGCAGGAGGTTCACCTGATGTTAAGTGACAGCCGCCGCCCATTGACTTTTGCAAAACCCATAGAGGTCCTATATATCTCCCACTGCTGGGCAAAGGCCTCTGTACAGAGAGTATTAGGGCATAGTCTAACGCGGCCCCACTGCGGATTGGCGTACTTCACATATTTTCGAAATATTATCTTCTTATTATTTCGAAAATATGCAGGTTTCCTCACGATGTCCTTCACCGCTGAGCATGAGATGCACTGGGGATCAAACGTAGGTTGCTCGAGTGTATTGAATTAAAAGCTAGTGCTCGGACAATGAATTAGAAGCTTACAAATAGCGTATAATACCTATTAAATTAATAAAAAAGGTGAGTGAGGTGTTTGTGTGTTTTTAATTTTTTTTAAATTAACACCTTTTTTAAAACCTCCTCCTTTCACCTTTTGTGGCTTAATCGTGGTAATTAATTCATATTTTATTCTAATAAATTTTATTCTTTTAAATGGACCGCCCTACCCTTTAAGGCAGAATTGAAAGGAATTTTTTCCGTTTTAAAACAAAAAAAAAAAACTTTATAAAAATGGTAATTATTGTATAAATAAATACGTTAATGATAATAACCCATGGGAATGAGTTGATCGCTCCCAGGCTATTTCTACCTAAACAAAATCTATATTTAATATTTTAATGTAATGTTAAAATAAAAAAAAAGACAAAAAGAGGATAACTAACCTACTTGACTGTTTTTAGTATACTACTTCGTTGCGTATAAAGCAATAAAAGAAAGAGAGCTTTAATAATTTTACCCTAAAAGGGTATAGGGAGAGAGACAGTTGATGTAATTGTGAGTATATTCTAGAATATCCGTAAGGAATTTATTTTTTAAACAGAACATTTATAAAACAAAAGGAACATAATCTCTGCACAAAATAATAATAAATCACGTTTACGCTTTGACGACCGATCACCGCAGTATATATGTCTTATCTATGGATCACCGGTTCCCCTAAAGCGTAGCTCCGCACGAGTTTTATAGGCAATCTCAATAATTTAACTCCCATACTATTAATCGTCTCTACTCCTATACTGTTAAACTTCTAAAACTCCCATACTTTTAATAGTCTCTACTCCTCTAATGTTAAACTTCTAAAACTCCCATACTAATAATAGTTGATACTCCTATGCTAATAATCTTCTACAATATATATACTCTGTAGTAATTGGCACGTAAGATTGGGAGAAATTTCTATACGTATTTGCTGAAATGCTGGTCATTCGTTTAAAATTAAAAAAGTAAAGTATACAATATGTCCTTTACAATATGTCCTACTGCTGTTTTACGAGTAACAAGTAATAATTAATCATCTGTTCGAGAATAGATAATAAGCATTATAATAAACGAATGAATGAGTTCAATTACGGTCTCCTCACCAACGAAATCGTTAATTTTAAGCGGTCACGTATCACAAGCTCAGCGGTGAAGGAAAACACCATGAGGAAATTTGAATATTTCCTAAAAAAAAATTCGAAGATATGTGAAGTCCGCCAATACACGATGGGGTTACATGGTGGTTTTTTTTGTTTTTTTTTTTTTTTTTTTTTGGCTGGATGAGCCACTGTTGGCCTTAGGGGCATCCGACGGACTGGGTGGCTTATAAAGTACTATTATTTACTTATGGTGACTAAGCTCGAGGGCTCCCGGGGGAGCTTCTATTATTGTTACCGGTTTGGGAGGCCGCCAAGCGCGTCTTAGGGCTTTGGCGGGCAAAAAAGGGGGAGGGGGACCTTTCAGCACGCGTTTAGCATTCGACTGTATTTTTTATCTGACTCTTGGTTACCTCAGTTAACTTTTCGAATTTTCAATTCGACTGAACTTTGTTACCTCAGAACTTTCGATTGAATGAGCCTATTTTGATGTTTCTTTTTATATTTGAAAGCTGGTGCTTCCCGTGTGGGCCCGTATTAATTTCATTGGTATCGGATCTTGGGCTCCGGGTATACATAGGGAACCCGTGTAAATAAATTATAAAATGATTACAGAGCGGGATATTTGAACTGGGTTTTGTTTATCGTTAACAAAATAATGGACTTGTTCTCAGATATTTGTCCGTTATTATTGAAAAATAAATCCTAAAGATTTGAAATATAAACCAATAAAGTTTCACTTCTTATACGAGTACTAGAAAACAGAATAAAAAATTATTTGGGGGGGTTCCCATACCACAGACATGATTTTTTTTGCCGTTTTTGTAGATAATACTACGGAACACTTCGTGCGTGAGTCCAACAAAAGATATTCCATCAAGGGCTCTACATTCTTCATAATAAGGTTAAATAGATTTTCTTTATATAGATAAATGTATTATATATAACTATATTATACCTTATGGCTTGTTAATAAATAGGTATTAGATTTTTTAACAAGCACTAGGGTATATAATACATTTATATCCCGAGGTCCTACCTTATTTATTAATAAGGTATGACCTCTAATATTGCTATAAAAAATCAACTATAAATAAAGTGAGAAGTTTTCATATCTTTATTAATCTATTGCATTTTTAGCAATGTGTGGCGCCATCTAGTATGAATATTTTAAAAAATTAAGCAACTTGCAAATAATATAGAAATACAAACATTTTTATCTTGTTTGCAGAGACTAGCACAGAAACTAATTTTAATATATTGTGAAGCCGGTTCTATACATAACAATCATATATTATATATATAGAACCGGATCTAAACATTGTAATCCTTAATAAACTTAAGTTCAGGTTTAAATTTATCTAAATACCTTTCCGAATAAAACGAGATTTCACAAAAAGGATATTTTCATTGGGAATCACTCTCGTTAACAATGTCTTATCGCGCCACCTTACAAGTTTTAAGGTACTTGCATTGTCACGTAGCTCAAAACTTTGCAAGATAGCGCCGTCATGCCAGATCACTTACTGGAGGAAAAATATGTGGAAATACATAATTATATAATTTGTGAATAATATAAAGCTAGTTATTTATTTATTTTATCTTAAACTTAAAGAAGGAAAAACTATAAGAAGGAAATTCATTGATTGAGATAATTCTGATTTAGCATGAGCTCAAATTGATGAGTGAATTATCTAATTTCACGGTATCACAAAAGAAACGAATCAATTAAACACCATCCGTAGCTCTTTAATTGCGTTGAAACAAGTTGTGTATTCAGACGGTTATCTCCAAATCGTAAGCAACTTCCATATCGATTGCCATGCGCCTCCGAATAATTCTCCTTTATTTGTTTGTCATTCTATGTGAGTATATTTTTACTTTCAAGGAATTAAATTCAGTTAAGGCATTAGACCACAGATCTGCTACTTTAAGTAACTATCAAGTTCTATATAGCTTTTTACTAGTCTAGAGTTGAAAATGAAAAATATTTTTACTAACTAGTACGTTATGCAGCGGTTATTAAAGTCTTAATTGAATTCCCAATTAACGCAAAAAATGACCTGAGCTAAAGTTCTCTCTTAGCAATTACTATAGGAAAGTGAAAAATATTTTTCCTAACTAAACGAGCAATTCTTGTATATATATATATATATATATATATATATATATATATATATCGCAAAACGGAAAGGCTCCCGCGATTTTAAACGAGCAATTTAGTTTGTGCATAGATATATAGATTCGGGGGGAAAAATCGATCTAGCTAGGTTTCATTTTTAGAAAATGTCCTTTTATCCCTGTTTTCAGGGAATGACCTGGCCCCAAAACAGACGGGCGTAGTTCGCGCCACGATCATTTACACATTTATTTTTTACTTTTTTTTCGATTCCAGATCATTGCTCTCTTTATTTTTAATTTTTTGTCGATTTGTTATTTTGTTATTTTTTTCCTTTTTTTTTAAAGTTCTTTCTTTTGTGAAAAACATCATTTCATATTTTCTTATTTTTACGTCGGTAAGATCGAAAAATATTATGCATATTTCATTACTCAGTAATTTGTATCTAAATGTAATTTCCAAAATACACGATTTACCAATAAAAAAACAAACCGAGCAAAGCTCGGTCCTCCGGGTACTACATTTTTAAACTGTACGGTTGAAAAAAAAAGCTGGCTTAACTGAGCGCAGATTTCTTCTTTACGAAGACTCAATTTTTTTTAACTGTCCATTTTTTTGCTTTGAATAGCTTCTTATCTCGCGTAAAAATTGTGTATTAAAAAAAACCGCTCTACATTTTGATATAATTGAACTAAGTATAAGAAAAATCTTAAAGAGAAAGTTAAAAAAGCCAATTTGTATCCAATGATGTCTTGGTAACTTAGATATGTTTATATACTTTTACCGTATATTATATATTTTTACCAAAAAAACTGCAATAATTATCTATATATTAATACGTGAAGCAGAAACTCTGTACCCAGTTTTACGAAAATTGCGCAGACTGGGAGAATGAAATTTCCCACACTTGCTGGTCCATACATATAGAGGAGTGCTAATATTTTTATAACTTTGCATAAAAATACATTAAATTAATTAAAAAAAAAACACCACACACTACCATGTATTTAATTATGGTCGAATTTCGACCACTAGGCGACCAGTAGTTTACTTTATCGCGCAGTACGAATTTGTCATTGGTCGAAATAAATAAACGAAACAATTTGTCTTAGGTGTTAAACTATTTTCTATTTGTGTTAACAGTGAAGAACAATCGGGTGGATTGCAGTCCTAGGCATTCTAAACATAGGCACCGTCTAAAGATAGATTGGCCGGAGAAGAGACTCGATAGACAGCGAGAGGAGTCGATAGGAGAGGCGGGACAGAGTGCAGAGGGCGATCCACACTTGGAAAAGTCGGAAGCCCAGGACAGATCTGAAGAGGAAGACTCGAGAGGAACCGTGGACCTGGAGGAGATGATAGCCAGAGCTGGAAGCGATGACGCGTTACTCTACGACCTAGATGACGTAGAGTTGAGAGTTAACTTTGAATAGTGTGATAAATAAATAACCACAGATAAAATTCCGAAGCCAGGTTTCGAAACGTGAAATAAATACATCCGCTTAGATGTTATTTCTAAATTTGTTCCTGATCTTATTTCCTTTGTCACTCCTATTGCATCACTGCCGTTAATAAGTGAATTAATTGATTTATTAAGGTACACAATGGAAATGGTGAAATGTGATGAGTAAACTTCTTGCACTATATACGATTACCTAATTTTGCTTTGTGCAAAATAGTGTGGAAAAAAGAAATAGTTGTGCTTTCTTTACGCAAATCCTACCATTTCTAATCCAATATGGCGGCCGCCGCAAATGGGCGTTTATAAATTCCACATTAACTCCTATTATGTGGGTATCAAAAAAATAGCTTTATGAGAAGAACAAAGTAAAGTGAAGTCATTCTAAATCCAATATGGAGGCGACCGCACAATGGCGATTTATAATTTCGACTTAAACCCCTAGGTTATAATGTTATAATTATTGTACATATTTAATCTAATTAATAATTTATCAATAATTTTTAGTACATTTTGTTAGAATAGAATTTGTTTGTAATACAATAATTTTAAATAATAATTTGTGAATTTGTTTGTAATAGAATCTTTTTTATTAAGCACTGCGTTTACGACAGGGATGACGTCATCGCCACGTCATTCAGGATGGTTAAAATGAAACAAACAGTGGGACAACACGCGTGTATCAGTAAACGGGGAAGTCCCGGTCGACGCAGCCGGACCAAGAGTGGAGGCCGCCAACCAGATCCTTGACCCTCGACTTGTGGACATCATCGAGGAGGTCGAGAACCGTGTTGGCTGCGACCTGGGAGTCGTTGCCTCGTCTGCAGACGAACGTAACTGGAAAGACGACCTTCGTAAATTATCAAATTAAGCTCGGAGACTACAGACAGGCATAAATTCAGCAGTCTAACTAGGGCTGACAACCATACTTTATAATAACGTACCCTACTTTAGTTTTGGGTACTTTACTTTATTTTTTATACTTTATTTTTTCTCTACTTGAAAAGTGTGATACTTCACTTTTCTCAGAAACCGTTGGCAACCCTAACCGTGGTAGGGCCGCGCTGCTGTCTTCGCTGTTGCACGATTGGGCAGGTCCGTCCAGGTATCGCGACCTCACAGAAGATCGGCGTGAAGTGGATGTTACACTTCTGCGTTTCGTCTGGTGAGGGAGGCAGCCGGGGCCGACTTTATTTAAAGGTGGCAACGCATCTTCAACCCTACGGGTGTTGCAAACGTCCATGGGCGGCGGTTATCGCTTAACATCAGGTGAACCGCCAGCCCGTTTGGAAAATAAAAAGTAACGCCTGGCGCCATCTAGTGTGCATCATTTACAGCATGCGACACCTTACAAAGAACACCAATGTACGCGCAGCGAAACACATCGCCAGGACCCTTTTTCACTTAATTGTGTCAACTGCACAACTTTTTCATTTTTCTGCCCTTATCCCACCTACGTGTAGTCACAATCTCTGGTAAATCTGACGGAGTGATACCCAGTGATATCCGCTTCACAACAAGCACGGGACAAGCGACCCTTTTCGTAATACCGAGAGTATCACACACCTTGATCCCCGCCTTCGACCATGCCCAAGACCTCGGCGATCTTCGCCCCGTGGAACTTCTCGAGAGGATAGTTCACAGCGCCATCTATCCGACACATGTGGAACTCGGCCTCGCTGCGGACGTCAACGAGGCGGTGGTTGGACCCGGCGTCTAGGTCCAAACCCTGGAGACGCCTACCCAGCTCGTCAGCCGTGATGCGGTTCTGGGGCGGCAGGATCTGGAGGTCGAGGTCCTGAAACGTCGGCACCTTGGTACGGCCTCGTAACGGCTATTGACGGACTGGCGTTCCCCTGCCAATTAGGTTGACAATGGACGGCGTTGAACATTTTTCGTCTGGTGAACCGCTTATTTGAAACCGCTTGTAGAGTCACGGTATATTAATCAGCATTAGGAAACTACCTCTAAACGTTGTTACACCGTTAAATACGTATTTCACTGTGCAACGTCATCATTTATCCGGATGCGGATTGGCGCAGTGGGGTCGCGTGTTGGACAATACCCTCAGTACAGAAGAGGCCTTTGCCCAGCAGTGGGACTTGTATAGACTGTTACTTTTCTTTTTTTTATAAATATAACTGTTTGTATCTTCAGTATCTTATAATCTTATTATTATTAAAGACAACCTCGGAAGAGATTATAAAGAGCAAAAGACATTTGTACACGTCTTAACTTTCTGTCTATATTTCCCAACTTTTTATTTAAACAACGACAAAGTAAGTTGTAAGGAAATAAAAATAAAACAACGATAGAATGCAAAAAAATATATTAATAATTCGCACTTCTTTTTCATATTCGTTATCCATTGATTGCATCTCAATGCACGGATGATAATTATCTATGATAAATTACATATTCGACTTGTTCGTAAGATCATATTGTCCAAATGACTTCATGTTCTATGAAAGTGTGATGGTCCAACTATCCAGTAAATCAACGAAATTACATTTTTATCGTCGAAAACGTCAAAAGTCATACAGTATCCAATCGAAGTCAAGGTTTGGACATAAGTTGTTTCATGACATGGTCGAATTGACGAACACACTACAGGCTGGATACAGAAGTCCGATATAGTCAATCTCAGAAATGGCAATAGGAGGACAGTAAAGACATTTGTATATTTTTCAACCAACCGCTGTTTATACCTCACGTGTTAGATTGGTGATAAATTAATATAGTCAAAATAACTAACATAGTCAGCAGTAAGGGGTTCTTAAAGTAGCTTTCACTCAGAGATATACTTCAAGTGCCTTCGTAGCTTAAAGTGATCACCGTCAAACTAACTAACGGAGCCAAACGAAGCTCAGAATGATAATTGACCAGGACTTTCACTTTCATGCACTACAGAAGCGATAACACCAGATAGTCAAATTGACTAACATGTCAGAAAAAGGGCAAAATGAAAAACCACAACGCTTCATCCACATTCAACCTCACAGCGCCACTACAGGGAGATTTCCGCTTCGTCGAAACGACTAACGCGTGAAAAATTCCACTTCGTCGAAATGACTAACGCGTGATTCGGTCAGAATCAAACACCAACGCTCAACGGTCACCACTGGGCGTCGTAATAGTAGTCAACCGGCGCCAGGCCGTCACAGACGAGAGGTTCGGGCGCGTTGTGCTGACTGACGAGGTCGCATATATCCGTCTCGCTCTTCGGCCTGAAGAACCTCACGTTCATCGCGGCCGCCGCGTTGCTAAAGGTCTTCCTCGAAGCGGGCGCCCCACCCCCCGAGAGGGTTTGCCTCACGTACACACTGTACAGCTGGTTGAGGTTCCTCACGCCGTCCAGGCTTATGTACCGGACGCCCGTGCACCGTGTACACTTCGGCGGGGAGGTGGGCAGGGAGCCGATGTACGAAGTCACGTCCAGCGTCTTCACTGGTGTCTTCGGCGCCCTGGGCCTGTCTCCGGCCATCCAGCACCTCACCATCGCCTCCTTCACGCCCAGCGTGTTGAGGAACATCACCCGGCAGACGGGCAGCCGCTGCCCGTTGTGCGTCAGATGGTACAGCCTCGTATCGCCCTTCCTGGATACTTCGCCCTTGTGCTTGAGACGTCGCCGCTTCGGCGGAACGGTGTCCACCAGCGAGCGGACGTGATCCCTCTTCTCGCGCCAGTCCAGCTCGCTCCAGAAGCGGTGGAACATCTCCCGGCGGCCCTCGTCCGGGATGCTGGAGCATCTCCTGTGGGTGCCCTTCGCGCAGAGCTCGGAGCTGCAGCGATTCCCCATCCTGCGCTCCGATTTCGGGACGTCCTGTATCCACCGCCTGCCCTCGCGGTCGACCGTTTCCGCCGTTCGGAAGCCGTAGTAGCTCTTGCCGGTCATCCTCCTCTCTTTCTCCTCGCGACGCCGCTGCGTCTTGAGCCGCGCCTCTCTTTTCCTCTGGAAGGGAAATGAGAACGTGGAAGACCGGTGGTGGTAGAAAATATGGGAAGAAATATAAGATAGTTCAGCGGATGAAAGAAAACATATGTTAAAAAGAGAAAGCATCCGTAGTGTTAGGAGAATATTTGGTTATCGAGTCGCGTAATTTCTACCACTAATTGTACGATTATATATATACGATTTACACATCCAACAAAATTGAGTATTTAGTTTCTAAAAGAACGGCTATTTTCATACGTCTAACGTTGACAGACTTTTCCTGATTTTTCGACTCAGTCCCGTTTATTAAGAATTTCTCGACGATGTCTAAAAATAGTACTGTCCGTATTATTACAGACTTTAGTTTTTTTTTTTTTGTTAATTATACAGGTAGGCTTTTCTAAGTGTATCCATTTTTTTTATTAAATTCCACACATAAATAATGTTATATAAAAAATGATAAATATTTAAAATCACTCGTAATTAGTTAAGGCGCTGTATGCAGTGAATTTTTAACTATTTGGGTGGTGAAGTATGAGGAAGCGGAGGAGGGGTAACGCAGCTTGGCGGCGCGCAGCGCGCGAGTTTCGTCGACGCGCCGCTAGACCATTCATTACCTAGTGTGTAGTGATGGGCCGTAGGACACTATCGATAGTATCATGGAAGGCTGTCGAAAATGTACACAGATGATCCCTATAATATCTTTTATAGACCATGATTGTACTTTACTTTTATATTATTATAGGAATCATAATAAACAAACAAAAAGTATGAGAAAGCAATCAACAATTTTAGAAAAACTTCCTATTAATTATTTTAAATTATCAGGAAACTGATTAGAATTGATTAAAAATACATCTTAAGGTCAAATAAATTAATAAAGGCAAATGACATTTCTTACAACAAAACAATAAATAAACGAATAATTATTTATTTTGATTTAAAGTAAAATTTTCTCATAAAAATTTTAAACAATTTCATAGTATCTTTTTTGTTACATATTTTCTTAAACTTTATATCTTTAATTTATCCTTTAAATGTGAAAGACTTACTACGTTATATTAATTCTTCAATGAAATTATATTTAAAAAATTATCGATAAAATTCCTTATATCGATAAACGACAACAATTATAACTAGAATCGAAATATTGTTCCCTTCCGCAGACATCGTGTAGCCTATTGGTCCGAGCGTCATGGTTGATACATCTTTTTCCAATTTTAATTTGTTAATCAATTAATTATTTTGTTGTTATTTGATAAAATGTGGAAAATACAAAAATTATAAAACAATTATCGTGTTCGTAAAAGAATAGGTTTCATTTTAGTGTGAAAAATTAAATATTTTAATAAAACAAATTAAAAACAACATACAATATAAGACTTGTTAAAAATTTTAAATAATGAAAACTTGGTTTATTATATGATAGATTGTTCTCGAACTGTTGCGTTCTACGTTCAACAAATACAATAATATTTCGTTGTAATTATTTATAAAAATAAAAAAATCAACAAAAATTAAAAAAAATACCTACAAAGAGAAAATCACCAAAAAATATAACAAAGAAAAATGTAGGGATTTCAACCCAATCCCTATAGAATGATGGTCCTTTACACAATGTTACCAACTGTTCAAAAATTATACTCCTAAAACAATTCGAAAACCGACTAAAATTTATTAAATTCAAACAAAAATTTCTAAATTTAAATCAGGATTTTTTTTATATTATAGGAAAAGGCAAAATAATTATCTGATAAAATAAACCATGGTCAAGAACATCAAATATAACATAATTCATTTGAAATGAATATGTTAAGAATAAAATCAAAACAATATTAAAAAAAATTATTAGAATACATAAAATATTCATACCAGACACATAGGCCTTGGCCTGACGTCATCCAAAGCAGCACTGAATTTTTTTTAAATAAGTTGTTTTGTGTAGTTTTTTTCGAAAATGTGAATAAAATTTAACTCCTAAAAATATTCCCATAAAAATTTACCTCCCAATAAACTTCCATTCCACATTTTTTTATTCCTAAATTTCGGAAGAAAATTCCTAAGTTGGCATCCCTGCCTTTACACTGTTTGTATAGGACTGATAAACTTATCAATGACAAGATAAGATATTGAAAAAATTACGGTTTAGTTGTTAATTCATACAAATAATTAAAAATACGAAATATGTGAATATATATTTTTTAGTTTCGTGTTTTCGAAAGATCTAATAAAATTATAACCCTCAATAATAAATAAATACGGAACATATTTCGTAACGGTGAGCGGAAGACGAGCGGCATAGGACCATCTAGCAAGGCGCCTCAGCGCTCTCTGTTCAACGTGTGGAGTTGGAAGAGAGCCGAAACAACGCCGCGGTGACGCGGTGTTTTGGCCATCGCGTTCGAATTAATTTTATTGAATTAAATTAATATTTAGAAATATCTTACATCAATCAAAAAATTAAAACAACAATCCTTTTTATTAATATATTCTACACCACTGATATTAATTTCATTAAGATTTGTTGATGTATTACGTTCATTTTTGGTTTTGAATTTCTCGTTTAGAGGATGGTTTCATGATTTTTTTCTATCGAGAAAATATATCGAGAATATGTTTTGGAAACAATGTTCCCTTAGAATGTACGATCAAGATTAACATATAATTTTTTGCTGCTATAAAATGTGTAGATTTTGCTAAAAAATTTTTTGAAAAACCTATTTTTACTGCATACAGCGCCTTAAAAACAATCATTTGAACTTATCTCAAAAAGTGCGTGGTTTATGGCAAACTCATTTATTTTACGCGGGATCATTCATAACTAACACGCACACAAGTTCGTTTCAAAAGAATACGACGAATTTATGAATGACTATCGCATTGTTAACAAGTTCTGTTTTTTAGGGAATAGAAAGGCCATTTTTTTGAAAAAAAAAAAAGTTTTTTTTGTTTCAATATACTATTCGATTATACTACCGAGTCTGAACCTCCTGTGTGAATTTGGGCACCTTTAGAAAAGCCACCCTGTATAGAGACATCTTAGCAAATTACCGGCAGCCCCAACTCGACACCTTGTCATTTGTCTCGTCTTATTTAACGTGATCCGGATCACGTGAAATCAGGTCACACGCCCCGACAACCAAGACGCAGAAAATGTTATAACAAACACAATCGACGAAGTTATTCATTACCGCGAATGTTGCAATATGCACCAAAAAAGTCTATGTAGCAAAGATAAAGATATGCGAGTGAAATGGGAAAGAACATATAATTATAAAGAATTACCACTTACCCGCGTCGCCACAACATTCGCAGTTTTGAACTTCCGCGCATGCAAACACACACTGAACACAAAAGAAACAAAAATAAAGCAAAAACACACGGGGGCGGAATTAAGCATTTTCAATATGGCAACATTTTGCATAGCGATTTATTGTGTTTACGCGAAGTGTACACATTGAAATTTAAATTTTATAGTGCATATATCTGCACTTATGGCGAAACATTAATATTTGTAGAAACATTTGGCTGCGGGAATCGAATCCAGGTGTTCTGGATTTGCCCACTCGCTTTAACCACTGAGGAATTAGCCGTTTAGCTTAGTGGTTACCATAAACTAGAAAAACATTTTTTGTAAAATGTGTTTTTGTATAAATTCAAACATTGTTTGTTGATCCCGTTAAGAGGGGTCACCCTATTGATAACCGGTTTAGTAATTATGCGTTCAGTGAAAAGTTTTAGTGCTCGTCAATATTGCATTGAGACGGTAGGGCAGGTATTTCTGACGATTTCCTTGGTGTTTGAAAAAATTAAAAATAATCTTTGAAAAAAAAAAACGAGGTCACAAGTTCGTACCAGATTCAGATTTAGAATCAAATTCTGCATATGCTCTGTTAACTTGTCCGTCGTCTATGAAATCACCCTGTATACAATATTAATATGACTCCGTGGCGCAGTGGCCAAAGCTTGGCTTCGTCACAGAGGGTCGTCGGTTCGATTCCCGGACGTGACAACAATTTGTGTGACACCACAGTAATTGTTTCTGGATCTGGGAGTTTTTACCATGATAATAATTTTTTATAAAAATAGAAAAACTAATTTTACAAAGAACATTCCAAAAAGAATGAATAATGAAAGAATTCCTTTGAATTAGGTATGCCTAGTAAAAATCTTAATCTTCACTGTCTGTCAACCCGCCGTCTGTCTGTCCCTATGTATGCTTAGATTTTTAAAACTACGCAACGGATCTTGATGCGGTTTTTTTTTACTAGACAGAGCGATTCAAGAGGAATGTTTATATGTATAATACATTGCCCCCGTGCGAAGCCGGGGCGGCTCGCTAGTGCCTATTAAAAGCTTACCTTCTCCTTGGCTTGGGCGTTGCAAAATGCCTCATAGTCGATCGGTTCCGTTATGCTTGGTGTTTCGGAGCAGGCGGCGCATTCTATATTGCGCGGTCGTAGTTTAACTGCAGAGGGGATAGAGTCAACATTTAGTCGGTTCAGACACGAATCAAGTCAACATTTAGTCGGTTCAGACACGAATCAAGTCAACATTTAGTCGGTTCAGACACGAATCAAGTCAACATTTAGTCGGTTCAGACACGAATCAAGTCAACATTTAGTCGGTTCAGACACGAATCAAGTCAACATTTAGTCGGTTCAGACACAAATCAAGTCAACATTTAGTCGGTTAAGACACGAATCAAGTCAACATTTAGTCGGTTCAGACACGAATCAAAGTCAACATTTAGTCGGTTCAGACACGAATCAAGTCAACATTTAGTCGGTTCAGACACGAATCAAGTCAACATTTAGTCGGTTAAGACACGAATCAAGTCAACATTTAGTCGGTTCAGACACGAATCAAGTCAACATTTAGTCGGTTAAGACACGAATCAAGTCAACATTTAGTCGGTTCAGACACGAATCAAGTAAATATTTAGTCGGTTAAGACACGAATCAAGTCAACATTTAGTCGGTTCAGACACGAATCAAGTCAACATTTAGTCGGTTCAGACACGAATCAAGTCAACATTTAGTCGGTTCAGACACGAATCAAGTCAACATTTAGTCGGTCCAGACACGAATCAAGTCAACATTTAGTCGGTTCAGACACGAATCAAGTAAATATTTAGTCGGTTAAGACACGAATCAAGTCAACATTTAGTCGGTTAAGACACGAATCAAGTCAACATTTAGTCGGTTCAGACACGAATCAAGTCAACATTTAGTCGGTTCAAACAAGAATCAAGTCAACATTTAGTCGGTCCAGACACGAATCAAGTCAACATTTAGTCGGTTCAGACACGAATCAAGTAAATATTTAGTCGGTTAAGACACGAATCAAGTCAACATTTAGTCGGTTAAGACACGAATCAAGTCAACATTTAGTCGGTTCAGACACGAATCAAGTCAACATTTAGTCGGTTCAAACAAGAATCAAGTCAACATTTAGTCGGTTCAGACACGAATCAAGTAAATATTTAGTCGGTTAAGACACGAATCAAGTCAACATTTAGTCGGTTCAGACACGAATCAAGTCAACATTTAGTCGGTTCAAACAAGAATCAAGTCAACATTTAGTCGGTCCAGACACGAATCAAGTCAACATTTAGTCGGTTCAGACACGAATCAAGTCAACATTTAGTCGGTTCAGACACGAATCAAGTCAACATTTAGTCGGTTCAAACAAGAATCAAGTCAACATTTAGTCGGTTCAGACACGAATCAAGTAAATATTTAGTCGGTTAAGACACGAATCAAGTCAACATTTAGTCGGTTCAGACACGAATCAAGTCAACATTTAGTCGGTTCAAACAAGAATCAAGTCAACATTTAGTCGGTTCAAACAAGAATCAAGTCAACATTTACTCAGTTCAAACACGAATCAAGTCAACATTTAGTCGGTTCAAACACGAGGATGACTCCGTGGCGCAGTTGCCAAGGCATTGGCTTCGGCGCCGGTGGTAGTGGGTTCGATGCCCACACGGGCTAGATGTCTAGGTTTTTGCGAGTGAGGTCATCCGCCGCTTAGCTTAGTTGGTAAGTCGTCTGGGTACGAGACCAGAAGACGCAGGTTTTAATCCCGTAGCGTTCAGGGTTTTTCGTTCACTTATCTACAAAAAAAAAAATTACAAAAAGCTGCATATATTCGAAATAAGTAAAAGTATTTCGAATATATGTGAAGTCTGCTAATCCGCAGCGGGGTGGTGTGAAGGACTATGCCCTAATAACCTCTGTACATAGGAGGCCATTGTTCAGCAGTGGGACGTATATAAGCTGTTACATTGCTTTACCTCTTTTATTCTGACTTTGTATGCCTTTGACTTATTCAACTTGAACCTGTACGCTAACACATTTTTAAAGATATGATTTTTAAAAATTTTATATTTTTATAGTGCTAATCTTTGCACTTAAGATTAAACATTAAAACTTGTAGAAAAAGTACGAAAAGATTGTCCCCGCTCTGGGAATCGAACTCACGTCTTCGGCATTCACGGCCTAACGGTTTAGCCACTAAGCTAAACGGCTGATTGCCACACCAACGAAAATCTTTACGTCTTTTATCTAAATTGTTCTTAAGGATTTGAATCAGGCATCCATTGTTATATTCTTTTCAGCATAGAAACAATTTCGAATATCGTTTTACAACGATAATTCGAACGAGAGATGTCGCCATTGCTTTTATTTTTTATAGTATTAATCTTTGCACTTAAGATTGCCATAATAATGATGTTAGTCCTAAAACGGTGTTAGTCATAATGACGATGTTAGTCATAATGACGATGTTAGTCATAATGACGATGTTAGTCATAATGACGATGTTAGTCATTATGACGATGTTAGTCATAATAACGATGTTAGTCATTTTGCTGGGGCTTTTCGACCCTGGTAGGCGTTTCATTCTGACTTAGTCATTACATGCCCACTCACCAGTCTTGAATGTGACGTCCTCCCCGTCGAACATCAGTAGCCTCCCCACCAGTAGCTTTTCGTGTGTTTGACCGACGATGAGCTTTATCGCTTCCATGGCTTGTAGGGCGCCTGTGATACAAAAAAAGTCCTAACTGTATGGTCGAAGGCCTTACATGGCTTTATATATGCTCCATGCCCATTTTGAATGGACTTTTTGCCGGAGAGAATTTATACCTGTCCAGAGAAGAACCGGAAAGAAACTCTGTGGTCTTATACTCATTCTTTATTTAAAAAAAAGCAAAGTAACAGTCTATAGATGTCCCACTGCTGGGCAAAGGCGTCCTATGTAAAGAGGGTATAAGTGCATAGTCCACCACGCGACCCCACTGCGGATTGGCGGACTTCACATATTTTCGAAATATTTTGTTTTGTTATTATTTCGAAAATGTGCAGGTTTCCTCACGATTATTTCACCGCCGAGCATATGACAAGTGGGCACTTAAAACTAACAATTTCATTGGTGCCGGCACGGGGGATGGAACTAAGGTTGCTCGAGCATATTGAATTAAAGGCGAGCGCCCGGAGAATGAGCTATCACGGTTCCAGCAGTGGGACATGTATAGGCTGTTACTTCACTTAGTTCAACCAACAGCATTTGGTTCACTTGATGTTAATACCGCCGCCCATGGACTCTAGAGCACCTGATGGCTTGTGTTGCAAACCTTTAAAAAAGTGAGCCCCGGTTACCTCATTCACCAGACTACACCAGTCCTTTATCTTTTGTCCAGCCGATGCTCATGACCCTGAGGAGATAGCAGAGACACCTCACCTATGACACCCGGTACGGGGCCCATGACGCCGTTTGAGGAACAGCTGCCAACTGCCTCCGCTGGTGGGGGGTGGGGGAAGAGGCAGCGGTAGCAGGGGCCTTGGTACATCATATCCTGTAACAAAGTTAGACTGTTATCTGCTTTGTTATATAGTTAGCGTTCTCAAATAAAACACATAACTCTATCTTTATATATATTTTAATTCTTCTGTAACTTCTCCTAAACGGCTGGACCGATTTCAATGAAATTTTTTGTGTGTCTTAAGGTCGATTCGAGAATGATTCGAGAATGGTTTAGATTCACAATTCGTTTTTTTTATTTATAAGTTGTCGGATTTAAATCGCGTATACAGGACAACGTCTATTCGGCCCGCTGGTATAATATAAGGGTAGTAGGGCCACGGAGCAGTCTACGCTGCTGCATGAATAGACAGGTCCGTCCGGGGAAGTACCACGACCTCACAGAAGACTGAGCTGGAAGTTCTGCGTTTCTGCTGGCGAGTTGTGTGGCCGGGGCTCAATTTATTAAAAAGTGGCAACACATCTGCAATCCTACGGGTATTGCAAAATTCCATGGGCGGCGGTTATCACTTAACATCAGGTGAACCGGCAGCCCTGTCGCCACTTTCTCACATAAAAACAAAACGCAATAAGCCATTGAATGCTAGTGAATACGGCTAGGTAATGGCAGTAGACCAATCATGGGCTATGATGAAGACCATCACCGAATATATTGACTTGATTATACAGCGTGTCGTTACCATCGCGACACTAAATGAACACACGTCTAACGCTCCTTGCCAATAATAATAAAAAAATATTAACGTTAAAAAAATCGATAGTAAAAAAAAATATTTTTCAAACAAGAGTAAAAAAAAGAAACAAAATTTGTAACATCCTATACAACTACAACTGAGTGATTCATAAATTCAAAGAGGTTTTCATTCGTTGCCACAGCGTCGCATTACAAGCTTCTCCTTCTAACAGTATGTTTTGTCTCTTTTAAATTCATTCAACCCAATCATACACTTTGTGACCTTTACAAATGAACTTATGTTAGTTTTATACGTAAGGGTGTTCTAAAGTTCTTTGTTTTGGAAAATTTAATAACTCGGTAAATATTGATGTTTAAAGAATGTAAATGTTTAATACAATTTTAAAAAGTTATCCTCTATATGTGTGTTAATTTACTGTCGCGATTGTTAAGACATGCTGTATATTAAACGAGTTTAAGGATTTTATCGCGTTTTAATTTTCATTTTACATAATTCCCGACATTTCGAACCCTTTCCAGTGTTAATGGTCACGGGACAGACTAAGTTATTACATGTCTTGATGTCAAAGTTAACCATCACTCAAGTCAACTTTTGGTTATATGTGATTTTTCAAATAGAAATACACTTACCCCTTCGTTGGGATTCACAGCTGCCCTATAGCCATATACTGTGAGCTGACCTTCCATCTTGAGAGCACTCCCAGATATTAGCGGGAGCTGGGGAGAAATTATTTATTTAATAAACAGAACTAATTAGCTATTTAATAATAAAAATAAACTAGACAGTCATGGGCTGTATCAAAAACAAGAAATCACATACACAAATGTCATTCAATATACACCAAAATGGCCATGAATAGGTCTAATGTTTGAGGAATATGACAATGAAAGCTGCCCAGCTATTCTCAGTTTTAGAGTTTTAACATAGTTGGCAATAATATCACTCTCTCAATGAGGACAAACCAATGATACATTGTAAGCCATAACCGTCAAAGTCCGATTAACTTTATTACAGTGTGCCTAGTAAATATAGACATATGTAAATAAATATACACGCACACATTCATACATACATACTGTGACAGACGGGTGAAAATACTACAAGTATAAATATATACTACAAACCCAAAACGGGATACGATTACGAAGACTCCGCCGTCTTTTTGCCTGTCACCAGGCTGTATCTCATGAACCGTGATAGTTAGACAGTTGAAATTTCCATAGATGATATACTATTACCGTTATAACACCAAATACTAAAAAACTTATTAAAAGATATTTAAGCCGGGCTCCCATACAACAGACATGACTTTTGTTGCCATTTTTATAGTGACCCTCGTGCGCGAGTCCGACTCGCGCTTGACCGGTTTTTTCCTGCTCTTAGCCCACCTAAGGGCCGGTCATGTCAAGTCAGTCATGTGAATATTGTTGTTAATAGTATTGGCTAGGGAACAAACAAGCAGATCCGGAGTAATTATCTGTGAGTCACACAAATATTTGTGCCCTGTGGGAATCGAACCCACGACCCTCGTCGCTACTTTATCAAATGTTTTGTATAACAAGTAACATACAAATAAACTCACCTTTGCCATAGCACAGATGTCGTTCAGCAGATACCTGGTGGGTACATTGTCGCTGCAATCCAGGACCACTTGGTAACCGGAGACTATATCCAGTGCATTGTTTGAATCCAACTGCATATTGTATGGAGTTATCTTGATCTTAGAGTTTATACTGGAAGATTCATAATAAAAGTTGTCATCGTCTGTTTGTTACATTACCTTCAGTTGGTCATCAAAAATTTACATAAGAAAAAAAATTTTTAAACTATATAATGTGTTAATTTGAAAGAAACATGCTGTTTTTAAGAAATGCCCAAGTATAACTAGGTTAAAAAATTCTTCTTTTTTTTTATTATTATTTATTTAACCACTGTAAACACATAAGTATGATGTTGTCATGAAAAATCGGCGTTAAATATTTATACTTTTGCAAGTCTGTTGAGCGACATAACCATCAAAGGTTGGCAAAAACAGAGAACCCCTCAAGAGATAGAATATCCATGAGCAGCAGTTGTCATTTAATTGTCAATAAAAAGGTCGAAATCCGGTTGATGTGGGTTCGATTCCAGCACCGGAGAAAATTTGTCGTCTTTTTTCTACAATTTTCAATGGCACCTTCATACATAAAAAAAAAAACAAATTACATCAATAATTAAAGTGAAAGTGCTGATTTGTACAAAACTTCTAAAACAATACTAAGAAACTTAAAAACTGAGAGGAATAAGACACCCTGTGCCAATGTGTATAATGTTATGAACTAATGCTCTGTATACAGAGGAGGCTTTTGTCCAATAATAGCACTTATCCAAAGGATGTTACTTTATTCTTTTTTTCTGGGCACAAATATAAAGCCTTAGGCTTTTATGGTTAAAAAGAGAAAGTGCTATAACAATCCCAATACACTATTTTCTATTAAGACCTACTTCCTCAATGCCTGCGCAGCCGACTCCACTTTACTTGTGTTCTGATCTCCTTCACCGTGGAGTATTTGCCTGTGGATATTCGTCAGGTCCACACTGTCGTAATCCACTATACCAATTTCTCCTGTAATCAAAAGTAGATAAACATTATTATAGGTGAAACTGATATTCTCACATAAATAAATAGTTTGAAACAGTGGTAAGTAGTACAAGTTACCTACTAATTCAATATTCAATAGATATGTATTCAATTCCATTGAAGAGATTTATGTTGTAATTGGACAAGTAAAGTCACTATTTACTTTTTTTATTCGCACTATATAGAGGCTGATTTTTTTAACGAAGTACATACTTTGACATAATTGAGCATTCCATAATTCAAAAAAAATATTAACATTTTATTTTGACAAGAAATAACCAGAAAAATATCAATTCAAACATTGTTCGTTTTTTCCGTTAAAAGTGGTCATCCTATTGATAAGCAGTTTAGTAAATATGTGTTCAGCAAACTGTTTTACACTGTTTTAGTGCTCGTGAATATTGTATTGAGACGGCAAGGCAGGAATTTCTAATAGGCTGTCCATAATAATTTATAGAAAAAGTACGAAAGATTCTCGACCCCTGTGGAAATCGAACCCACGTTTTACAACGATAATTCGAAGGAGAAATGTCGCCAATGCTTTTTAGAAATTTAAACTTTTTATAGTGCTAATCTATAAATAGGGTGTCCATAATGTTTGAAAAAATTAAAAATAATCTTTGAAAAAAAAAGGCCACAAGTACATTTCAGATTCAGATTTAGAATCAAATTCTGCATATGCTCTGTTAATATGTCCGTTGTCTATAAAACCAACCTGTACATAAAATATAAGGTATATGTGATCCTCATGGTATTATTTAAACAGACTAATGATTGAAAAATTTAAATTCAAACCATGTACTTAGAACAACTAGTAAAAAATTCTCACCAACTCCTGCACCGGCCAAGTATATGGATGCAGGACAGCCGAGCCCTCCTGCACCCACCACCAGAACCTTAGCAGCACAGACCTTCTCCTGACCTTGTACTCCAATATCTGGGAGGAGAATCTGCCTGCTGTATCTGTGGAGGAATAAAAATAAAACGACTATAGTTGAGGATGCATCAAGCAACAAAAGCATCTCACTGTTGACTATGGACATTTGTACCATAATTTTAGAGGTCAGGCCAATGGTCACTACTATATATTTATGTTGACTTTACTTTGGCTATCTGTGAGACTATATCTTTCCAATTAGAGCCAGTAGATTCAATCTGAGCTGAGACTAATAATCAAGTTTGAGAAAATATATGAACTCTAAAGTTCTATAGAAGATCAAAGTGCAAAGCTATGGACTTCGTTATATTTATATCTGTGCCTCCTGTGATGAGTGATACAAGTCGAAAATCACCATTTTACAGGATAGCGAAAACAAGATTTAAAAAATTCTAGTTCATGAATTGGATAGACTGGGACGAAACTTTGTACACACTCATATAGATTAGACCATACTCTTCCATCGTGCATTACAATTTTGTTAAAAAATGTTATACTTTATCAGCAATTCGTCAAACACCTTTGAAATGTACCTTCTGTATGGTAAAATATTTGCTAAGAAGATGCGTTACATGATACATGTACAGTTAAACCCTATTGCACGTTAGTATAGCCTTTGTGAAAACTGATATACGTGTAATATAAAAACAAAAATAACTTGTTAGAATCTCTTCCTATTATAATTTAATAATCAAATAAATAGTGAATGAAACGCCTAGATTCGTTTTTTATAGTGTATATCGCCCTGTTGTGATAATTTCTCTGAATTGTATCAGTTAGCTAAAATTCTCGTGATTTGAAACATGTGTTATATGATACAAGTGTAATTATACCTGACTGGAAAAATTATATTGATTGTGTAAATGAATACAACTATTAAACAAATAATAAAAAATTTATTGTACTTCCACTAAATTATTCATCTCTCATTATTACCTTCAAAATCTATAAATTATATATCTGGGATCAGTCATAGTAAGAATAAAAATGGGTACCATTCAGTAGGTACAGGATTTATTATTATCTTAATTGTAAATAGATTAATAAACATAGAAAAACTAACAAACATAACAACATTTTCTTATCTTTCTATAGGAACCCTCTCTATGAGTAAGGTTACCTTTTGACTTAAATCAAACCCAAAAAGAAATAAAAACGTCAATATCAGAAAAATCTTATAAAAATCAGTCTTCAGTCTTAATACAAATCAGTCGTTTTCCTAAATCAACTATAATCGACTCGTAATCTAATCTACTCAGAATCATCGTCATTATCCGGAGGAGAGTCTTTAACGTCAGTCTTACAGTTTAGACTTCTATAAAAATCATGTGCGCTTTCATGGATAAAGCATAGCAATTGTAGTAGATCCTTCTTCTTTTCGGTTGAAATGGGAATCTTTGAGTTGTAAGCTTTTGGTACCGAATCAATTCCCACCATATCGTAAACTTTTCCGCGTTTCGAACAATTAATGGTCATGTTTTCATAGTCTTTGAACTCTTTTTTGTAAGAAAAACAGGGAAAGTTATCTTTAACATACATAATCGATCTGACATCACACCACAGAAACTTTTGAGTGTCCGTAGTTTTTTTTATGGTAAGGAATTGTTTCGAAAAAAGACTGAAGTCGTAAAACATAGTTAGAGACATTTCGATCACAGTAAACTTTGCACATTTATTTGAAGCTGTGCGAACAAGTTGGTACCAATCTCTTGGCAGGTGAATATCTATGCTCGTGTGTCTCTTTTTACGCTCAATCAATGCATGGTCACTGTCAGCTTCCATGTGAGTATGTCCAGGTACGAGAAATTTATGTTCGATGGATTGTAATTGATGAGATTGTTTGGCAGCTAGCATCAACATTGTGGTAACAATAGAGTTTTTGTTTTGACCTGGGCAACTATCAGAGTACATAATCAACTTTTTGGCTCTTGAGTTTATGTTAGTTAATTGGTTTATGATGAAATCATATAAACATGAAGCAATGTCGTTAGCACCTCTATTACCTTCAGACTCAGGCCACATGTAACAGAAAGCCTTATTAGATTTTAGATCATGTATGGTCAAATTATACGTCCATAGTTGCCTTTTATAAAATGCAACATTCGTTTGCAAGTAAGGGGTAGGCAAACACTGTTGTAAATCAAAAGTTATGACCATTAAATCATCGCTGTTCTGGGCTAACTGCTTATCGACTCGTTTTTCTTCATAAGCGGCCTTTGAAGCCTCTTGATGCTGTTTCAGTTCCTTTTGCAGGTTCGCAGCCTCTTCATCCGATGCGTATTTCAACTTCATGTTTAGGCGGTCACATTTTGAACAAGTATCTACCGAAGGCTTTTTAAATGACAGGTTCATCGTAACAAATACCTTTTTAAAAATAGTTTTGCTAACTGGTGACTCAGTCTTCAGTTTGTATAAATTGTAAAGTACTTGCAAGTTAAGTTCAGAATTTAAAAACTTTTTGGTAGTTTTGTTACGGCCATAGTGACTTTCTGTGCAAGGGAAACAAGCAATATGAGCTTTAATTTCCTCTAATTTTAAATCAGGAATTGACTTACCAGATCGACGTGTACGTGGTGGAAGGTGACCACCATTTTTTCTAAGTTTCTCGCATATAGTCTGAAGATACTTGTGGCTTTCGTCAAAAGTCTTCAAAAAACACCCTTTACAAATTGCGTGTTTGGCATGATCAAATCCGTGAACGAAGTATCGAAAGCTGACGTTCCGTTTTTTCTTGGGAGATGATTTGGACGTCTTTTTTTTTGCAAACTTCAATACATTTTGCAACATAATCGGACCTCCTATCATAACTTCCAAGACTCCAATATGTTTTGAACAGAGTGTTCCTTAATTGCATTGGTAACCTCTCTTTGCATTTCTGACGACAGTTGTCCAGATCACGTAATTCACGACTTCTTTTTGTTTTTCCTGAAATTGTTGTGTATTCCAAGCCGGTGTTACGAAATAGTGTTCTCTTCACTCTGTCCTGCCTTCTTTCTTTGTCACTTTTTCTAGGCTTCCTCTTTTTTCCGGAGCTATTCATACCGTTGCGTTTCCAGAAAGAGCATCCAGGAGCAGGATCTTCTAATGTATCAGGTGGCGATGGTGTTTCAGCAATATTTTTTACGGATTTTTTAGCCGTTTTTCTTCTTTTAACCATAGTAATTTCATCATCACTGGATGACGATGATTCATCGGTGTTGCATATGTAATCATCACTACTAGATGACCCAAAATCACCATCATCATAAGAGTCTGAGACTCTTAAATCCTCCAGTAAGTAATTTGCAGTATTTTCATTAATCTCTGAATGAAAACTCAGTCCATTACTCGGTCCTTCATTATTCTCAATAACAGAATCGGTAAAGCTGTTGGTAGATATTTGATTTATGTCTTCGTGAATAGTCCCGAATGGATAATCAATTTTTGGCTTTTCTTGTAGTGGTCCTTCAATAGTCTCACATGGTCCTGTAACATCAAGTCCGAATCCGTCTTCAATATTATTATATTGCTGTAACAGTTCCTTTTCCGCTGCATATGATTCCTGTGCAATGATGTCACGCTCGAAAGTATTTTTCGTTATGTCATATGACGCCAAATACATAATTTGGTCTATTCTAGATTTTGTACTTGATAACTGTAACAACAAAATATTAATGAGTTTTTAGTTAATTTAGTACTTTAATTAAACTATTTTTATTTTTGTAATTTAATGTATTTTTTAATTATTAATAAAAAATACATTAATACAAATTAAAATAAATTTCAAAAATACAAATAAATAAATACGTAAACGACAATTGATTAAACAAAACAAATAAAACCTTAACTGCGAACATACGTAATGTTCACCAATATTTTGTGCCAGGTAATTCATTTCCATACTAATTATAAAAATATAATTAAAGAAAATATCGTGTAAAATGATATAAATATCAACTTACGCGTCGATTCATGGCGAATTCGGGCGTGACCTCATTCCTTAAAGGCTGCAGTGACACTAGCGAACAGCTCACACACCTCACCGCTCGCGCATCACTTCACCCCCGCACGCAACCGCTGCCCTAACCTTGTTTTAACTTGTATCATTTAACACTAAAGTTCTTAGTAAATATTTTTTAGAAAATGTTTGCATTTTCAGATATATCTCAATTTATATTAATTTTCACATAAGAATAGATATTGTGTCGAATGATGTATGTTGAGATGTATTATTTATCACAGAAGTAGGCGAACTTAACATTCAGATCGGTAAGTACATGTCGAGTTGTACCCTGTAAATACCAAAATAAACTTCAGTTCAAGTTGATGTAACTCGAATAAAATTATTTTTCACGAATAATCATTAGAAAATTAAATGTGAAAATTGATGTTATCCTACTTATACCACAAAGTACGAAAAAAATTGTGTGGAGTGATACTTTACTGGTGTTATATCTTGACAAAAATCAAAATTCACGATTTTTTCATTCAAATTCCCATTAGTTATATCACTTTGCACGAAATTATCTCGGGATCTATAGCAGATAGAAAGACGTGAGTCAGACCCAAAGCTTGCTAATTTTTTACTGATTACTTATGTGTTAAAATCTTAAAAAGGGTACAACTCGAGTTGTATCACTGATCACAGGAGGCACAGATATATTTATGTGAAAACTGCATTAAATGATAGTAAAGTAAATTAACAGCCCATATTTGTCTCACTGCTAAGCAACTGGGTCTCTATACAAAGGGTATAAGAGCATAGTCCACCATGTGGCCCCATTTGACGGACTCACATAAACGCAAAATATTTTTTTTGTTATTATTTCAAAATATGCAGGTTTGCAATGTCTTCCTTCACCGCTGAGGATACGATAAGTCAGCACTTAAAATTAACCGTTTCATAAGTACCAGCAACAAGTGACCGCCTGGACACTGATATGATAGCATTTTTGAATTTTTCAAGTGCTTGCAGCGACACAATCGTGGAGCAGTTTTGTTTCACAACTGTTGTGTTTGTCACACTTCCAGGTCTACTGTGAATCATAGTACATCCCCTGATGGACCTGCACATTTGTGCAAAAGCGAAGACTGTTGCATGGGCTTGCCACTGTAAAAACAGTTTCATTTAATAATCACATTGTACTACTTTAACTTTTTGTCATGGCCAATCCATTTGTGCTTGACTATATCTTACCTGATGGTAATTTGTCAATTCAGCAAATGATCATTGGTAGACTTAGATAGAGGTTTGATGTAAGCAGTATCAATTATTTGATTTTTTATACGGAGGCTGTGACATAGTAGTGTAATATTTGCTCTACAGAACAATGTTTAAAATTGGTATATTAATAAAATTGTCTAAAGCACATTTGAAAAGGATTAATTTTAATTTTATTAGAGACCTCACAAGCTAAGTAGAATTTGCACCTGGTAAGAATTCTTATTATTTACCTCTCAATAGCCCACTTAGGTAGTTTGTCGCCGTAGTGCACTCTCGTCACGTTTTTTAAGTTGGGTTCGCACCGTGCACTCCTATTTTGATGTAAATTATTTGGTTGAGCCTGAAAATACAGCACAAATGGGTCAGTTATAAAAGCAGTAACTTAGTGTTTTCTTCTCATTTTAGTTGTTATTTAAACTGCTTTTAAAAAGATAGGAGGCGTTCTTGTTTGAAAACAAATTATAATTTAAATTACACATTTAGGGATTACGTGTTTATAAAAATGGGGTAATAAGTATTTTATACTTCAGTGTCTATGTACACTTTACTATATAATTTTGTAGATAGTATAAAATTAAGCAGTGCATACTATGTTATCAATTAAGTATAAGAAGAGCTCAGACCCTAATTTATGTTTCAAACATACCGGCATCCAATTACTTTTCATCTCGTACAATTCATTTTCTTTTTCTTGTAAAATTTTACGTAAATCACTTATTTCCTTTTCTAAGCATTGTATGCGATCCATTTTAGTATAACTATAATTGATGCTTAACTATTTATTCAATTATTTACAGTACGTATATAAATAAAAAATTAAAATGTATAAATAAACATATTGACTTGAAAAGGTAACGATGTCAAAACGTCAAAATTCTAATTTTCTAAGCATGGGCAAAGAATAGCAATATATCAAAATACCGATACTTTTCCATATAATAACCGATATATCGTCGTTATTTTTAATCGCGATATATCGATGTTCGATATTTGTTTACTTTAAACGCAACTCTGGTTTCGCGTTTTATGTTATTAGATAATTTTTGCAGGCTCCTCGCGCATCATTAACTTTAAAATATTCCACTACAATCTTTATAAATGCAAAGTAACAGGAAGACTATTGGCTGCGTGCACGAAAATACTAATACTATTAAACCAACAATGTGCGACGTATGTGACCCTAAAGTATTTTGGGCCGTGGGGTTCGATTCGCCCCGTGCCTCGTTGGGGTAAGTTTATGTCCTAGGCTTAACGCCGCGTCTGGTGACAAGAGAGCTGGTTCTTTTCTCGCTCAAAGGATAAGCATAACTATTCAGCAAGGAAATGCAGCTAGCGTTCTTGGTACCATGCCGCGTGGATTAGGTTTATTAGATAATATGTAATTTTAGATAGATTTAATCTTGTAAATATTAGATCAATAAAAATTGTGCAGACTCCCTAAAGTTAACAAACAATGAATAATTTTCAGATATTTTTTTATTTACTATTCTTCGTGTCTATTGTTCTTTTTTGCGAATTTTGAATGATTTCTAAATATCGATATTTTACTGACGATATATCTATATTTTTCACTCGATAATTATGGATACTGTTTAAAAATGTCGAAACGATAAATATCGATATATATTTTTAATTGCCCATCCTTAAAAAATTCATAAATGACAAGCGATTAATGGATTTTTTTTTTCAGTTTAGTGTCGTTATAACGTTATCGAATTTATTTCATATCGGTTATGTATCCAATAGTTAGTTTTCATATCGATATCAAAAACCATTTTCAGAATCAGTCACAGAATCAGTTCGAACAACATTTCGTTTAATATATTTCTGCGAATAATACAATTTTAAGGCGAGCGCATGGATAGTAAGCTATAATGGCTCGCATTAGTATATTTTACTCGACGAGTACAAATGCCGGTGCCGTCACAAATGAAATTATTAATTTTAACTGCTTACTTATCATATAGTCGTGACGAAAAACATTTTATGGAAATCTGTATATTATTGAATAATAATAAAAATAAATACATGTCAAAAATATGTGAAATCTGCCAAGTGCGGTCGCGTGGTGGACTATGCCTTAGTACCCATTACCCTCTGTACATAGGCCTCTGCCCTGTAGTGTACGGTAACCAGCATAACATGGAATTTTGTATCAATATTTGATTATTTAGTCCATTTATATGATAACATTTTCCAATGTGTCAAACATATTTAAAAATAAAGTTAAACTAATCTAACTATATAAACCTACTTAAATTGTTTACGTTGTGTAAATATATGTTTATATAATTATGTAATGTTTTAAAAAGGATAGTTCGCAATAAAGTACTTATTTTGCTTTATTTATTTACTTATACGATAAATATAATGGTTTTGTTTTTTTTAAGTACTAATTATTATCAATTACGCACGAACGTAATATATAGTAAAAATTTAAGCCAAATAAAGGCACACGCAACCAAGGTCGACACCAACTTTTGTAAAATTTAAGACTTCAAAAGCTAAAATCAATCCGAAAAATTTCCATACATTTTTACGTTACCTATGGTAATTCTGTTATTGGTATTGTCTTCCCAATTCGAAGCCAGGGCAATTCAAAATAAAACAATAAAATAAATATTATTTGTATATCCTATAAATTCGAAACTAACTAGACAATATTTAATTATTTATAAATTTACTGAATTTTTTTGACAATGTTGCGGAAAGTTTAAGACATTTGTTTTGCTAGTTACAGCTACCATCTGATACTAAATTTGGTGTACTTGGTCACTTAACATTAGGTAAACCGTCTGCTCGCTTGGCAACTTTTCACATAAAAAAATAATAATATTTAAAACAAATCATTCAAAACTAGATCTTATAGCTAGATCTTATTTTTCATATAAAGTTTGTTATCCATATATTATAATAACCAAAACTATCATAACGGTATTCTATTCACTCCACTCTTCTCTTTTCGTCACTATAGCAACTATGCGTTAGAAAGTGATGAAGCGAATGACAATATCATAACGGAGAAAACCTTGCGCTGACATCATTTTACTTGGTTGTGGTTAATGGTTATTGAATATTATGCTTAGCCACTGTATTGTAACCCTTATTGACAGCTGAATAGACGTCCACCGGTTTGTCACCTGATCGGTGATTAATTGCGTAAAGCGCCTACGTCATGGCTGATTAAAAGTATATTTTCTAGCAAATAACGGCAGCTTAAGCGAAATAAAAAATACGTATATAAAGCTGAAACTATAAGGAATCAAAATATGTGTAAATTAAAGTACAACTATTAATCCAAAACAAAGAATTAAATATGAAAGTTGAGAATATTGGTTAAATTTCACGTAAATATTTTTTTTTTAAACAAGTTTTTACAAATAAAATTGTATCAAATCTCATTTGATATTTATTCTTTACTAAACTAGACAATATAAGCTTTAATTTGATACCAAAAGTGTAAACATTCATTGCGTAAACTTTATACAATAAACATAAACATAGACCTTAGTTATGTCAGTACAGTTTTTGTGATATCGGATATCAGTTTCTTATATCGATAATAAAAGATATGTACCACGTAACCGTTTTTAGTTACGTTTTGCTAGATGGGATACATGCCTAGTTAGTAGTAGTAGAAGTAATAATTTTGGCCTAAAGGTCCTTGATACCGGGCCATAAAATCCAAAAAAAATGATTGAGATGCTAAGTCTATGATTGAAACACGAAATATCAAAGAGAATGTAATCACTACTACGTTTATTGCGAAATATTTTCTTGAACAAATAATTTCTCTACCTTACACTACGTTTCAAATAAAGTTATAATGAGTTAAAATAAAAGAAAGTGTATGAAAGTTGAGCTTCCGGAAATTAAAATATATTATAGATTAAAGACAAACGTTAACCTTTTTGACAGCTGTCTTTTTCACATTTTACATCGCACGAGATTACTTACGATAATTTTGATTCATGTTGCAGCTTTAATTAAATTTTAATCAAGTTTATACTAGTTCTTAGATCGGGAAAGTACTACGTGAGTTTTAAGTTTACTTACATACAGTGTAGTTTTTGGTTCTCATTCACTTTAGTAAATGTATTTGTGCATAAACTTATTGTTTTATCTCCCGCACTGTTTTTCTAGAAAATTTTTCATTCCCGCATTGTAGTATATCTATACAATGTATCCAACACGATTACCATTGACGGTTTCAGTAACTTACCTGGCACGTTTGTTCCCTATTTACTTGTTTCAAGTTGTGGTGCAGTTTTGCGGACCCGATGCCGGTTTTAATAATTCTCATGAATCTATAATATCGTAGTGTAGGATTAATACTAGGATTGATTTCATAAATGGGCTTTTAAATTGCCTGTGCACTTAATTATTTTTTTAAAAGTTAGCATTTAACTTTTTTAATGATAAGACATAAGAAGTTTCTTTTGTGACATTTTTCTAAATTAAAATTTTACATTTAGATTTTATGTTTGAATCAGTCAGTTGAAGTTGTATAGATGTTACAAATTTTGGTTCTTTTTTATTTAATTAGTTTGTTTGAAAAATATATTTCTTTAATTATCGATTTTTTTAACGTTTTATATTTTTTTATTGTCACGGTTGTAAAGACACACTGTATAAAGGCCATTGTGCAATGTAATGGGCAATTGGCTTACTATGATGTAAATGTGTGAGTGAGGTGTGTATGCACAAATATGTACGGTGCAGCTTTCTAAATACTTTAATTTTTCAAATATATCTATATATAACCCTTATTATTGAAATAAAAAAAATATTGTAAGAAATTAACTGAACTCTTTAAGTTATTTTACATCTACCAAAATACTCTCCTTGTATAAACATTTAATTACACAATGTATTGGAACACATGCAATGTGATGATAATTTCAAATATTGATACAAAAAAATGTGATAAAACTGTGATAAAAATTGGCCCAGACATTTCCATAAATATGTCATTAATTTTAAGAGAATAAGTTAATCAAGGTTGGTTGTCAAAATGTAAGGTAGTTTGTAAAAAAGTACATAATGGCTACAGAGTTTGTTCCGAAAATGTTTACATAAAAATTATTATCCTCACAAATGTACACATCATTTACAGAATTTGTCAATCACAATGCCCCAAGCCAGACGTAAGACCCCTTTCAGCGGGAAAGCGAAAAAACAGCAGTTACAAGCGAAGAAAAACAAAAACCTCTTGATGACATGTGAGTAATGAATGTTACTTGTTTAATTTATTTTTCTACTGGTATACTATTATGGTGGAAATGTAAACGAAAATGTTATAATGGGGGAAACGCGGTGGTAGAGGCTAAGGACCTAATTTATGAAGAACTGAGGTCTTTCACTCCTAAGTTTCTTAGGGTGAGTTGTCTCCATCTGTTGCGGTGGAGTGCTACACTAATAAGGGTCCCCTGATGACTCCCGTATTCGGCGCCGGGGGTCCTGGGTTCGATTTCCGCAGGAGGCAAATATTTTTGTTACCCAATAAAAACTAAATAACTGTTTCGGATGTGGTTATTTGTCCACGTGAAATTTATGTATGTAAAACGTTCTTACAACGCAGGATAATGTTGCACAGGCCGTCACTCCATCTAGCGTAGGTTCGTCCTACAAAGCGATGGCCAGTACAAGGCTACAACTCAAGAACCTTTTTCCCCTTCTGTTATCAGTTCTACAAGCTATATGGCCTGCCATCGCCACTTCAGCTTACTAATCCTCCGAGCGATGCTATTTTTATCTAATATATAAAATTATCCTGTCACGGTGTTTGTAATGGAACTCCTCCGAAAAGGCTCGACCGATTTTAGTGAAATTTTGTGTGCATTTCGCCGCAGGCAGCAGCTAGTTCTACTATGAATATCTTCATTGTGAACTCTATCATGCAGAGTTCCTCATATGGCCAGCAGTGAAGGATCAGTCTCGGTTCCAAAACTGAGAGATATTAGTTAATTTCTACTTCGTTGTTTAGATTTCGAGAACCTAACGTAGTACCAGAACTGCGTGCACACCAGTTTCCCAGAGATTACTTTTTAATTGAGACGGGAGTAAGCCAGTAAGTGGTTCACGTGATGATAAATCATTGGGCGTCTGCAACACCTGTGGGGTAGCCAGTGCATTACAAACCTTATTGACTACGCTCAGGTTATATTACAATCCAGACAAAACGCAAAGGTGTAATAATCCCACTTCACACAGGTTTTCTGTTAGACAGTAATTATCCAGACCAGTCTACTGCTTGGTGTCACTTGGTGCTGTTGCCTTCTAGCACAGTAGATTGGACCATGAATCATGGACATAATTATGAATGTGGACCTTCCAGCATCTGGCGGTGCCAGCGGTTACGACGTGGTCTCCGTCAACTACCAGCCGAACAGGCGGGGCCGGGGCGACACCAATCGCTACGCCCTGAAGTTCTACCGGGAGACAGATGAGGAGTTGGCGTTGAAGAAGGAAGATGCAATGTTAGTAGAACTCCTTTATTGGTTTTCTGTTGTTCACCAAACATTTCATTCATTCTTTTAAAAGCACGTCTGTTTAGACGAACATAGAGACAATGTTTTTATGTATGTATGTATGGATTGAAAACTTCTAGCCCCAAGGCTGTTAACAGGTGGTAGGGCCATGCAGTGTTCTCTGTTGTACGAATGGTACCTTGTCGTGCCACAACCTCACAGAAGACCGGCCTAAAGTAGAAGTGTTACACTTCTGCGTGTCGTCTGGTGGGTGAGGTAGCCAGGGCCCACTGTATTTTAAGGTGACAACGCATTTGAAACCCTATGGGTGTTGCAAATGTCTATGGGCGGTGGTTATCACTTAACATCAGGTGAACCGCCAGCTCGTTTGCCACTTTTAAAAATAAGAAAAATGCCTATGCACAACTCTGGGGATTGTTTATTGTATTTTGTGTGGACAGAGTAAATCCGAATGGCCACTGTGACCTAGATCTTTCTAGGTATTGTAGTCTTAAAACATTGCCCCCTTACTTCAAGATAACATTATCCTATGTTGTAAGGACGTTTTGCATACATAATTTGACGTGGACAAATACCCAGATCGTAAACAATTAGCTCTGTGCTCTTTCTAATTGCAGGAAACAATTAGCTCCGGTGTGATTCCCTGTTCTTTCTTATTCCAGGAAGGCCTTGAACTCTGTGAAAGAACAGGACATGGAGGTGGACCCGTCGGACTACTTTCCCACTGAGCTGACCTTCCCGAAGAGACCACCTTGGGACTTCAGCATGACGACTGCACAGCTCGACGCTCAGGAGCAGAAGTATTTCAGGGTATGGAGCAAATTTCGATGAGTCCGTGGCGCAGTTGCCAAGGTATTGGATTTGATGCTGTGGGTCGTGGGTTCGATTCCCAAACGACACAACTACTTTCGTGACCTAGAGATAACTGTTTCAGATCCGAGTGTTTGTACAACATAGGCTAATGATATCTTACAAAAAATATTATGATTGTAAGCGGTTTATATCTGGGTGTTGGTCCTTGTTTAATTTTTGTAAATTGATATATGAATGAGAAGTTCCGAATTTTGAGTTTTCCTGAAAAATCCCTTGAAATTACCAAACATCCCTTTAATAAAAATAATGGTTCACCGAGGTGATTACTTATGTATCATCTCCCGCTACCCTGTACCCTTTAATAAAAGTAATGGTTCACCGATAATAACTTATGCACTGTGTGATCGTTCCCAGGAGTATGTGGACAAGCTCCAGGCGTCCGAGCACTGGAAGGACATGTCCTACTTCGAGCTGAACCTGGAGACCTGGAGGCAGCTCTGGCGGGTGCTGGAAATGTGCGATGTTCTTCTGCTAATAGTGGACGTGAGATTTGCTGTAAGTACACATTTGATAAGTCAACATTGTTCCACTCTTTTAAAAGGAACAATTTATTTTTTGTGTAAGAAGATATTTGAGTTTTTGTAGATAAACGAACAAAACTTTTGGGCTATGGTTACAAGCATTGCTAATTTTTTTTATGTGAAAAGTTGTCAGGTGAGCAGGCGGTTCACCTGATGTTAAACAATAATTAGGGTTGATGTATGTAGAGATGATATTAGACCCACTAGACACTAGACTTTGGATTTTCGCTTTATTTAGCCATTACCTTTATTGAATTGAAATATGTTAAAGTAAGCATCGGCACAATGCCTTCAAAAGCTTTAATGTGAGAGTTGAGTTGAAAGGATTGAGTTTCCGCACTCTACAACGGCTAAAGAGAAAGTCCCCCAATCCCAGGGTGTGATGTTCCCCCCGTCCCTCTACGACCACGTGGCGGCCCAGAAGAAGGACATGATCTTGGTGCTGAACAAGATAGACCTGGTCCCGGCGTCAGTGGTGGCCGCTTGGAAGGACTACCTCACGGGGCGGTTCCCCGGCCTGAGGGTGGTCTACTTCACCTCGTGCCCGGGCTACAATCTGCGGGGAGCAAGCAGTGATAAGGCCGGTAAGACACAGCTGCACTCGAAATTTATGATTGTAAACCTCCTTACAACGCTGGATAATTATATACTAAAGTGATGGCGACTAAAAAAAAAAACGAATAGGTAATTCTTTTATTGGGCAGTGTATCTCGACGGCGCCAATGTGTGGAGTTAATACTGTTGATACTCACATAGGCTAGAATAAGACTATTATACCTGTATGTTTATTGTAAACTGATATTTTTTTAAAAAGAGCAACTGTTGAGTTTCTTGCTGGTCTCTTCTCAACAGAAAATGCTTTCCGAACCGGTGGTACCTTACGAACCTATATATATAATTTTTTATGTAAAATTTGACGATTAATAAGAACGCGTAAGCGTCTATTTGAATAAAGATATTTGATTGATTGATGATTGATATACATTTTTAAAGAAAGTGCCAAATTTTTTTTTTTTTTTTTTTTATGTGAAAGTTGTCAAACGAGCAGACGGTTCACCTGATGTTAAGTGAATACCGCCGCCCATAGACATCTGCTACACCCGAGGGTTACAGATGCGTTGACACCTTTTGAAAATTGGTTTTGAAAAATATTCACAATATATCAATTTACACAACATTCTCCCGTCCCAAACTAAGCAACACTTGCACTATGGGTATCTAGTACCGATAACTGATATACATACTTCGACATACTTTTCTTTTGTACATAAATACAAATTATAAATATATAAACACTCAAACACTGGAAAAACACTGTTCATCACACAATTTTTTTCCAGTAGTGGGGATTGAAGCCCACACCCTATGGTACTGAGAGGCGGGCTCACTGCCCACTTCGCCAATCGGGTCGTCGTTTTTTTTTTAGTGGCTAGTCTCTGCGAGCAAGGTGAAACATAAAATGTGATTTTTTCGTTGGTAAATGGATACAAAAATTTCCGAGGAGAGGTTTGCTTTGTCACACAAGTTTCCGTTCTATACCGTTCTGTTCGGTTCCAGGTCTGCAGGTGAGGAGGCGGAAGGGCAGGCAGCGGATGTGCGCCGAGGGCGCCACGAAGGTCCTGGAGGCGTGCAAGGACATCGTCCAGGGTCGCGTGGACCTCAGCTCCTGGGAGAGGAAGATAGCCGAGGAGACGGACGTGGAGTTCGACGACGACGAGGAGACGGAAGTAGGTGAGTTTCCAGTCCGTTGACAAATATGTATGTAAAAAATATGTATGTATAAAAATGTTTTTTAAAAAAAAAAAAAAAAAAAAAGAAGAAAAAGAAGAATATACAATTCGCTTGGACTTCTGAAGAGTAAAGCAAGTTAACAGGTATATGGGGTGTAGAAAACTGGAAGCATTGTTACTGCACACCTGAATCAGAATCGTTTTGTATTACATCTATAATTTTATTTTAATGTTAACTGTGGTATGGCCTTACTGGAGTGTTCACTGTTGCACAAATGGGCAGGTCCGTCCGGGTAAAATAGAGGTGTTACACTTCTGCGTTTCGTCTGGTGAGTGAGGTGAGCTTCAGTCCACTTTATTTAAAGGTGGCGACGCATTTGCAACCCTACGGGTGTTGCAAATGTCCACGGGTGGCGGTTATCATTTAACATCGGGTGAACCGCCAGCTCGTTTGCCACTTTCTCACATAAAAAAAATTGTATAATATATATGAACTGATTTTGTCCTATTTAAAGTACAATCTTTTCCTGTCTTTATTGTCTGAAGGCAGGAAGATAAATAAATTGTTTATTTTTATGAGGGAAGGAACTGATGTTAACTGATAAACCTTCGCCCATAGACATTAGCAACACCAGTTAGGTTGCAGATTCGGTGCTGTCTTTCATTAAAGTGGGCCCCGGCTACCTCACCCACAAGACGAAACGCAGAAGTATGACTTCCACTTCACGCGGGTATTCTGTGAGGTCGCGGTACTTCCCCGGACGGAGCTGCCCATTCGTGCAACAGCAAAGACCCTACCACAGCAAATGGGTTCACTGTTTCATGTATTAACTTATATTTATTACACACTAGCCGCTACCCGCGACTACGTCTGCGTAGAATAGGTTGAAGGTGTAACATTAAGACAGAAAGACAGATATACATAAAATATGTATATAAATTATAGCCAATGTCTTATTCTGATGTAAGCTATTTTATTGTAAAGTTTCATTAAAATCCATTCAGTAGTATTCGCGTGAAAGAGTAACGAACATCCATACATACATACAAACTTTCGCCTACATCATACTTTTTACTCTCAGAATAAATCGCCCCGAAGTATATCTGCCCATTTGTGCACAAGCGAAGACTGTTGCATGGCCGCACCGTGAAGCAAAAAATGTAACTCGCATCAAAATCCCTGACCGGTATACAGCGTGTCTTTACCATCGCGACAATAAATGAACACACATATAGAGGATAACTTTTTACAATTGTAATAAACATTTACATTGTTTAAACATCAATATTTACCGAGTTATTAAATTTTACAAAACAACGAATTTTAGAACACGTACGTATAAAACTGTAACGAAAAGTTCATTTGTAAAGGTCACAAAGCATATAAGCATAGGGTTGAATGAATTTAAAAGAGACAAAACATACTGTTAGAAGGGGAGGCTTGTAATGCGGCGCCGTGGCAACGAATGAAAAAGTCTCTGAATGTATGAATCAGTCAGTTGTAGTTGTATAGGATGTTACAAATTTTGTTTCTTTTTTACTTAATTAGTTTTCTTGAAAAATATTTTTTTTTAACTATGGATTTTTTTAACGATAATATTTTTTTATGATTATTGGCAAGTAGCGTTCGACGTGTGTTCATTTATTGTCGCGGTGGTAAAGACACGCTGTATAACGATTATTTCAGGCGAGACCATACTGGAGAAGGCAGACACGTCCTACTTCAGCCACGAGAGGTACAAAGGCGGGATCCTGACCCTCGGCTGTGTCGGCCAGCCGAACGTCGGCAAGTCCTCGCTGATGAACGCTATCATGGGCAGGAAGGTGGTCTCGGTGTCCCGGACCCCGGGCCACACCAAACACTTCCAGACGATATATCTTACACCGCAGGTTGGATTTTGTTCTTCCCATTAATATTTTAGCCAAGTTCCTCCGGATATACAATGCGAACACGAATGCATGAGCTGGAGAAGCAGTTGATAGCGGGACAGATGCAGGGGAACCGCTCCAGGGGACGAATGTAGTAAAACTATTGTAGATGCACCAGGAGAAACTTTACAATGATCCATTGAACTGGCGCATGATAGAAGCAAATGGCAACAAATTACATATGGTCACGATCCTCATTATTGAGGGAACAACGAAGAAGAAGCATTAATTTTGGCCCGTTGGGACAATTTATGCTGTGTCCATAAGTACATCTGCGCACAAGCCTTCTGCGCTTCACGAGTAAGAATAGAGCCTGCTTTTAGACACTTTGACATAACTTCATACTGCAGTCCCAAAAAATTAGGGCCTATATTGCAATTGGCCTAGGTCGGTCCAAGATAAATATTAACCATTTATGTATTTAATTATTTCTGAGGTTCACCTATGATGATTTTAAAATCGCATAATCATAAGGCACTTAAGTGCCTTACAGTTTACGCCTTACTTTTAAATTATAGGCGAGCACGGACTTTAAATCCTCTTATTTTTGCGATTTGTGTCTGTGGCTCTAGTGACAGTGAAAATGAAAACTTTAATATCATTAAAAACATCGATTCATATTTACTGAGTACTGCATGATCCCGAAATAGTTCATACGTCATGTCATATAGACGAAAAGTTGTGACAAAATTGTACTTTATACTCTATTATTTTTCTCATTCCCGTTGCCAACTTCACAGATGTAAGTGGATTTTGTTGGTTCAGCTTCTATTAGCCATTCTTATTCACCAGGTGCGGCTGTGCGACTGTCCAGGACTTGTCTTCCCTTCTAAAGTGCCCCGTCCGATACAAATCTTGATGGGTTCGTACCCCATAGCCCAGTTGAGGGAGCCCTACACCACAGTCAGGTGAGTCACATTTCACCGGGTTCGAACCCTGTAAACTTGTCTTGGTACACATACATCATGCAAAAATAACATCTAAATAATCATATACAGCGTGTCGTTACCATCGCGACAATAAATGAACACACGTCTAACGCTACGTGCCAATAATCATAAAAAAATATTAACGTTAAACAAAATCCATAGTTAAAAAGAAATACTTTGGGTACGGAACCATAAAAAGGATAGCATAATTAAAGCAATAAGAAGAAAGAGGACGGCAAGTGTTTGTCAAAATCCCGAGTTGCATCCGTCTTTCTCGTCATCGTATTAAGGCGCGGTACGGAGATAAAAGACATGGAGACTATCGTCGGTGTGGCAATCAACCGTTTAGCTTAGTGGTTAAAGCGTCTGGGCGTGAATCCGGAAGACGTAATTTCGGTTCCCACAGATGTTCAAAAATTTTTTCTACAATTTTTATATTATCATATGTAAATAAACACTGTATAGTAATTGCACTTACCACGACTTCTCACCACGCCCCGGTTTGACTGGGAGAGAATGCCAAATGGCATTACGTTCGCCCATCGTAATCCTTGCTTAGGGAAATTGCAATGAATAAATAAATTTACTTTAATGCTTCATCTTAAGTGCAGACATTAGCACTATAAAAAAGAATTCAAATCAAAATACTTTTTCTATAAGGCCTTTGGCTAAATCTTTACTAAAGATCGTAATAAAGTTTTCCTCCTCCCCTTTGTCAATCCAGTGCTCTTGTGGCGTAACACATGAAATTTCCATTCCAGATACTTAGCGGAGAGGCTGGACCTTCCGAGGCTTCTCCGGATGGAGCACCCCGATCAAGACGACACCTGGTCACCGAGGGACATCTGCGACGCGTGGGCGAAGAAGAAGGGCTACTTGACAGCGAAGGCTGCCAGGTTATTTTTGAAATATCACTTTTTTGAGTCGTATTATCTTAACTAGCCGCTGCCCGCGACTACGTCTGCTTAGAAGACGCTGAAGGCGTAACATTCAGACAGAAAGACAGATATACTATATAAAATATGTATATAAATTATAGCCTGTGTCATATTCTGATGTATAAGCTATATTATTGTATAGTTTCGTTAAAATCCATTCAGTGGTATTTGCGTGAAAGAGTAACAAACATCCATCCATACTTATCTTAATTATGTAATATTCACTGTTTGTTCCAAAGTAGAATGGAAAAAAATCAGATTGAATTTATAGTTTTAAGAAAAATCTTTTTTTTTTTCAGACTGGATACTTACAGAGCGGCGAACAGTCTCCTCAGAATGGCTTTGGACGGGAAGATCTGCCTCTGGCTTAGACCGCCTGGGTTTAGCAAGAATAGAGGTATTACTTTTTTTATGTGAAAAGGTAGGTAGCGAGCTGAAGGTTCAACTGATGTTAAGAGAAAACCGCTGCCCTTTGTCATTTGCAACACCCGTAGGGTTGCAGATGCGTTGTCAACTTTCAATAAAGTGGGCCCCGGCTACCTCACTCACCAGAAGAAACGCAGTAGCATAGCACTTCCACTTCCCACTGGTCTTCTGTGAGGTCGTGGTACTTACCCGGACGGACCTGCCCATTCGTGCAACACGTGTAAATACGTGCAAATTTACCGCAGTAAAATTAGCAAGAGATAAAACTACCCAGCGGCTAAGTTCGTGGTTATCAAAGCTCATGGATGTAGAAAACGACTATGTGCATAATTTAAAGTAAATTGGTCCATTTATTTATTTAATGATTTCTTTATTTTGCGCCCCTGATGGGGCTTTGTAGTCTTTAAAGGATTTAGTACTAATGTATTTATATAGTATTTTCAATAATGCAATTTCAATGCAGTTTCTACCAACTATAGGACAAAAATACTTTGTACAAACGCGCGCTTCTTTTAATAATCAAAATCGACGTGTGACGCCCCCCGCAGACAAGTACGAGGGCTGCGACGAGCTGAGGTACGTGCGCTGGGTGCAGGCGCTCGCGGGATCGGACGCCGCGGATCCCGGGATCGCGGACTCCGGGGTCCGGGACGCGGAGTCCGGCGACGACTCCGGGAACTCGGAGGGGTCGCGGAGCGCGGACGGGTCGGGCGACGACGGGAGCGAAGCGAGCGGCGAGAGCGACGACGAGGAGAGGGCGGCGATGGCGAACAAGTTCGCCGCGCTGGCGAGCCTCGAGTAGGGCGAAGCGCGCGCGTTGCCATGGCGACGGTCACGCATTGCGCCCTGGTGTATGCGGTGTCGTGGCGACGGCGGTCGACGTGATGCGTTGCCATGGAAACGGACTAGCAGTTCGTCGTAATGGCCGTCATGGTGAATTAAGCGCCGCGTCGACTTGAGTGCGTTGCCATGACGACGGTTGGTAGTTCCGTCATTATATGCGTTGCCATGGCAACTGGCTTGCGGTGCCTCGCCACGGTAACGGTAGTGTCGCGTCGACGTGAACGCGTTGCTATCACGTCGGCTGGCAGTTCCTCGTGGTGACGTAATGCGTTGCCATGGCGACGGTACTTGCGCCGGCGCCGAATGCGTGTGTTTTCTTAGTGATGTGCGGTTGTTATCAATCGTGTGATTCACTGAAAATATAATAATTGGTCTACGTGGAGGACTAACGTTATGTATAGTCTGTGAAGCTGGGCTTAAGCATTATATGAAACGTATGCTTAGAATTGCACTGTCGCTTGTTAATTTCATATGAAATCTTTATTCCTCCTTCGTGTATTCACATTGTGATCCGTCAAAGACTTGTATTCATTGCTAAGTAAATTATTTGTTTAACACTCGAGTTGTTTTATTGCTACATTCAAAGCTTGTCTCTAACTCACGTCTAACACTGAGAAAATCATGCGGTGCATAGCGTGTGAACCCTCTGAGAAAAAATTCGGTAATTTTCCGGAATGAATCCAAAATATGCTACACACATTACACATAAAAAACAAAATAAACTGGAAAAAGGTTAGTTGATCAATTTAGTTCGGTGACTTTACAAACTTCAAGAAACTTTTTTTTCATTCTTTTCAGCCTGTTAGAGTCCACTGCTGAACATAGGCCTCCCAAATATACAATCTACGTAAAATTTTCAAAGTTTATTTCACGATTCGCGATTTTCGAATTAGATTTCGAATTTCACGATTTCGGTGAAGACAAATATTCATTTGAATTAACATTTAGAAATTATAATTTATAAAATAATGATTGTGCCCGTTGACATATCAAAGGTCGCATCTTTGGTATCATTTTATATACACATATACAGCTGTCGTTATAACCGCGACAATAAATGAACACGCGTATAGAGGATAACTTATTAAAATTGTATTAAACATTTACATTCTTTAAACATCAATATTGACCGAGTTATTAAATAATAAATAAATAAAAATAAAATATCTTTATTCACATAGACGCTTGCGCGTTCTTATGAAACGTCAAAATTTTACAAGAAATTAACACGTTCGTAAGTTACCACCGGTTCGGAAAGGAGTTTCTGTTGAGAAGAAACCGGCAAGAAACTCAACAGTTGCTCTTTTTAAAAAAATCAGTTTACAATATAATAGTACTGGTACAATAGTCGTGTTTTAGCTTAGGTGAGTATCAACAATATTAACCAATATCTTGACGACGCCAATGTGTGGCATTGGCGTCGTCAAGATATTCGGCAATAGTATAATAGGCTTTAACCATAAGTTTAATTTTAATTTTTCGTTTAAATTCATCAAGTGGCAGACTTAATATCGGCTGTGGGATTTTATTATACATGCGCACACTTTGCCCCATGAACGACCTGTTTACTTTTCGTAGACGAAACAATGGCGTAGTTAGTTTGTCCTTATTTCTAGTATTTAGTTTATGTCTGTCACTATTCTTTAGATAATTATTAATATTATGTTTAACATACAAAATATTACAATAACTATATTGAGACGCAACAGTGAGTATATTAATCTCTTTAAAAAGGTCTCTGAGTGTATTCCAGGCTCAGATGTTATAGATTGCTCGGACAGCTCTTTTTTTGAAGAATAAATATAGAATTTATATCAGATGCACTACCCCACAACAAAATACCGTAAGACAAGATGCTGTGGAAATAACTGAAATAAATAAGTCTGGCAGTGTCGATGTCTGATAGCTGCTAACCTTCCTAATTGCAAAAACAGCGGAGCTTAACCTTTTCGCAAGAGATGATAGATGGGGACTCCATTGGAGCTTTGAATCCACTGTAATTCCCAAGAATACAGCGGACTCAACAGGATTAAGGGTTACGTTATTTAATGTTAAGCTAAAACTTTGCCTTCTTACGCTGGGAAGGGTAAAAAGAAGGCATTTAGTTTTTTTAGCATTTAACACCATATTATTAACGGTAAACCAGTGGAGGATACGCGAAAGTGCACTATTCACGTCGTCATAATCCGACACGTTTCGGTCAACCTTAAAAATGAGCGATGTGTCGTCAGCAAACAGTACAACATCACATAACTCACTGGCATAAAAGGGGAGATAATTTATATACACTAAGAATAATAATGGACCCAAGATTGATCCTTGTGGGACACCCATTTTCATGGGGACCCTGCGGAATTTACATCATTTATAGATACTTTTTGAATTCTATTACTAAGGTATGAGGCAATGAATTTTCAAAGACAAAGAATGTTAGAACATCCTTACGTATAAAACTGTAACGAAAAGTTCATTTCTAAAGGTCACAAAACATATGAATCGGTTGAATGAATTTAAAAGAGATAAACATACTGTTAGAAGGAGAGATTTGTAATGCGACGCTGTGGCAACGAATGAAAAAGTCTCTGAATGTATGAATCAGTCAGTTGTAATTGTATGGGATGTTACAATTTTTGTTTCTATTTTATTTAATTACTTTGTTTGAAAAATATTTTTTTTAGTTATGGATTTTATTTAACGTTTATATTTTTTACGATTATTGGCAAGTAGCGTTAGACGTGTGTTCATTTATTGCCGCGATTGTAACGACACGCTGTATACTAAAAACATGCATACTAAAAAATTTATAATTAAAAAAAAATTGTAAATTAAATTTACTGAAAAAAACTTACTATAAAATTTACTTTTACTCCAAACAAGAGCTTGCTGTATAGTGCTAAATCGGTTCATTACTTTACGAGATTATAATTGTGTTACAAGTAAGCAATCTAACGTGTGAAATTTTCGCATAGAGCTATGATGCGTCACCGAATGGTAATATAATAAATTTTTTAAGTATTTATCGACGAAAGGTATTTTATTTTATTTTAAAGAATAATGGTGATGAATATTTCAGTCTGCCTCCCTACCTTTAATTTAGACAAATTGTGAATAGATGGCGTTATCATACACTGAGTATTAAAAGGATTTTTTTTTTAAAGAAAACATCAACTTTATTCTATTTGGCTATTTTGGTCAACAGTAAGCCTTAGGAAGGTGTTGGTATCCTTAAATTTTACGAAGAATTATGGGATTCATGACGTTCCGGCAAAAAACACCGATATCACAAATATATGGTAGAGAATTTACTTACTAAACTTATATACTTAAGTACTTGTTTTTGCCAGCTTTAACATTATGTTATCTTAACATAATTTACTTAATGAAAAATAAAGTATCAAATTATACATTTCAAGAGATAGATACTAATTTTGGAGAGCGTTCATGAATTTCATTATCTGCACGAGTATTAAAGTTTTGATCTATATATAATTATTATCTTATAATGACATGAGAATTTTTTATAAAAAGGTTGTAATATCTCCGTTACTCAATTACACTGTAGTTCCCACAACAAAAAACTGGCGCGCAACTCAAACATTAATACGACAAAACGTTGTTAAGTTATTTCAACGCCATCTAGCGAAATACTTACGAAACATTAAAGAGTTGAACATAAAGAGTATAGGTACAATCATAACGTACAGAAAGCGTTGATAAATAGTCCCTGAGATGGCGTTACTAGACTATAAGTGTACATACATTTCGAAGAAAGCACAAAAAAAAAGAAAAGGAGACAAAATTAAATTGAGTTTTTGAACTATATATTGAATAACATTCGTATTTTTAAGTTTTAACTTTATTTTTTATATCCTTTAATTTCACGTATTTCTTTTAGGTACATTAGCGCAATTGGTTATTTATTGAACCCTTATTACATATATTTTTACGGACAATTTTTAATTAAAACTTATATGAGATTAGTAGACTAAACAAAAAGTCAACACTAAGGAACTGTGACAAACTTTTTGTATAATCCCTTAGAGAAAAGACTCAGCCATTTAAATAAGTAAACTGAGTAAAATATCAGCCTAAATCTCTCACTGCAATGGTGTTTAATAATATACGAGTAGATGACGCATGTCCACACTGCGCGGCGCATATAATTGTTCCGATTTACATTGACATATGTAAAAGTGAATGTGACAGATGATATAGAACGTATATGAAAAGATAGCAGTCTACAGAATTTGCAATGTAATTACACTAATTGGTGTAATTTGAGGGCCTCAATTTCGGTGCGCTATTGTCATATCTTTGTATATAATATCATTATCTAACACACGATAATGATATTATATACAAAGATCATAGTCCATCACGCGACCCCATTGCCAATTGGCAGACTTCACATATTCTCGAAATATTTTTTTTGTATTATTTTGAAAATATGGGTTGTCTTTCAGACTTCGGAAACTTAAATTAACTGTTACCTAGCTGCCCGCACCGGCACCTCGGGCAACTTGGGCTGCTCGACTATAATGAATTAAAAGCGAGTGCCCGTAACACTGAGCTATCCCGGTATGTATGACTTAATTATAATAAATAATTAAGTCATACATCCAGCCGAGCTGTGATAGCTCATTTTCCAGGCGCCTTTAATCTTAAATACTCGAGCAACCTGAGTTCGATCCCCGGCGCCGGCACCGTGCTCGGCAGTGACGGAAAACACCGTTAAGTAACCTGCATATTTTCGATATAATAAAAAAAATATTTCGAAGATATTGTGAAGTCCACCAATCCGCAGTGGGGCCGCGTGGGGGAAACTACCCTCTGTACAGAGGAGGCCTTTGCCCAGGCTGTAACTTTTGTGACAATTCTTTGGCACTTTCCAACCTGAACCCTTGGACGTGTTTCAACATATGAGCCGTCATAATATGCCTCTGTGACAGATGTCAT